ACAAGTCCCACTTCTATTCCCGCAACGGTGTTGCCCTGCTCTTTAGTGGGGCTTACCCGTTTTATGATCTTCAGGCAAAACCATCTCTTGTTGCCTATGTATCCGTACTATTCAATCGCTATCTCGCTGTGTCGGCTAAATGGGCTCCCTATCAGTGATCCTTCACGTCGTCTATGGATCTGTTCGTCTTTCCGATCGCTCGGCTTTCTTCGCCGTGGCTTTGCTGACTCTACTATTCACCTTGTTTTCGGGGATTATTCACCTTGTTTTTGGGGACTTTAATATGACGATGGAACCCGATCTCGATCAAGCCTTTCCTTTCACCATTCACATGACTCTGGGAGGTCGGAATTGTTTGACAAGTTAATCACTCTTGGCTTGTTTAATTTTTGGCGGCTCAAAAGCCCACTACTTCGGGAGTTTACAGGCCCCTGTTCTAAGAATCGTTAAGACTATTGTCTTACCAGTCTCGACTTGTACGACAGATTTATCCACTCGTCGTCTCATCTTATGGGTTCTAGGTTGGTAACGCGGATCACGTCCCCGTTACGTTTTCTGATTCCTTTCACTTGTTGCCTCCAGGAGATCGTCTATTATTTTAAATTTCCACCCTGGCTGCTTCAATGTGACCAAGTTCAGGCATGCCTTCGCGCCAATCTTCTCCGGCTTATGACGGTTCTTGATCCTGATCGTAATTCAGGTTGAATCTTGGATGAACACAAACGCCGTGACAGGATTTATCTATCGCATGAATATCTTCGCCGAAATGGTCCTACTGCTGCCCAACTCTGTCGCCTTCTTTCTGATTTTCGGGCTGCTGAGTCCCGGTTGGCCGTCGCTCCATGTGCGTCCAATTAAATGCACCGCGATCAGGCTTACCAAAAATTCAGTGAGTTTTCGTCTGCAAATCGCGCCCGCAATGCGGTTTCGAAATTTGACATTGATGTTACGACTGGGAAACAGTCATGCAGGCATTTTTTTGCTCTTCTTCGATTCACGGGGTTTGGGATATCCAATCCTTCCTTGACCTTTTCTAGGCTTTGCGGGCTTTTTCAGTATAGTACTTAGCAAATTCCTTCTTCTCAAACTGCCATGCTTGATGCGCCAATTACGGCCAAACGATTTATACTATGCAATTCATCATACTACCCAGCGCAAGGCGCCTGGTTCCGACGCTTTACCTGACGAATACTATCAGTTGTTTCCTTCCTAATTCGCTCTAGTATTGGAGCTTGTCGATTCGGCCCAGTTCCGCAAGGGCCAAATGCGTAAAATTCAACGGCGCGCCTATCTCTCCCTTCTGTTTAAGAACGACTCTCGCTCGGATCCCAAGAACTATCGACTTTTGACTCTGCTGAATCAAGATGCTAAGTTCGTTCCTAAGGCGCTAGAGCCCCCAACGCCGACTCGTTACAGCTGGCGCTCTCCGAATCTTTTCTCTCTAGTGGCCGCTCGACAACAGCTGTTGTTCTTAACTTGTCCAATGTTTGGCCGTTCCTTCTCACTAGCGCTCTTCTCCATCTACCCTTTGCCGCCGTACCCTATGGTAGGTGTACTGCATCGTTGGACGTTCGAAGTTCACGAAATCGATACGGCTCCCAACTCCGTCATCTTCATTCGACGGTGCCTCCCTCTCTCCCGCTTGCTTTACTTAGTGTTCCTCCTATTCGGTCATCTCACTAGACTTTGGATCGTACGCTACACCGTGATACTCTTCCCGTTTTTTCTGACTCCTTTTTCGGCTTCAGCACAACGGTCTTGGTTTTTGGTACAAGTATCGTTGGCTTCCTTCCGACATTACATGTATTCACGGCTGCCCGTCCCCCGAAACTCCCATTTACCTTCTTTGGGAATGCTGCATGGCTCTGTTGGAATAACAATTATCACAGCCTTGACCAAAAGTGATCTTGACCATTTTGGTGCAGTGGTATGACAATAATAATTCCAACACTCCCCTAAATTGACAACCGGGCACATATTTCAGATTCTCCTGGTTAGCTTCTCAGGGATCGACTATTCGCACCCGACGGGAATTAAACTCGCGTCAGTTGGGCTCATAACCTATTGTCATTTCACTGCACCATAATTACTTCTTTGGTGTCTTTTCCTTTCGCCCATCCGTCGATTTTTCAGTATTCTATCTCTTAGGATCAAGTGCTGTTTCTCTACAATCTTGCGGTCCCTGCGGCTGCAAGTGCTACATACGGTCGACTCACGCCTCTGCGACTTCTCAACATCCTTCGATGCTTACGCACAATTTGGCTCAAATGCAATGCTGCCATTTACGCTCCGCTGTCTCTTCAGTTCATAAGCATTTATAGGCGATGTCTAGCTATGGTTCGCCTACACTTTCAACAAATGTTCAAAACCGCGACTTACCCTTTTTGCTCTAACTACGTCCGCGAAAAGTCCCAACTTCTTGCTTTTAAGACAGTTTGGCATCGTCAAGACTTTGTTAAAGACACGTTCTTGTTTTTCTGGAATAATTTTCGCAATCAAGGCGTATACACTCACTTTATTTTAGCTGCAAAACTGTTTAAGTTATATGTGTGATCGAGCTTCTGGCCTTTGCCATCTACTCTATTGGTTTCGGCTCGCGACTTATCACAGCATTTTGCCATTCTTCGCAGTGCCTTTGGACAGTTCATGTCTTCCTCTTAAGTCTTAGTGAAGGCTCTACACTCTTTTCAAAACCGTTACTTTCGGTTTTGATCTGATGCGTTCGGAGCTAAATTAGTTCAAATTTTATTGCTACGTTCCTTTTTGGATTTCACGATTGTTATGGGAGTATCCGCCGCTTTCGTGACGGAAGTGGATTCAACTCCTCAACCTTTCGGCTTTCGTATAGAGATCGCAGTTCACGGCACAACCTCTTAAGTCAAGACTTGCATTGTTGCAGATTGTTCACCATTTGCAGTGTGTTTCACCGTAGTGATACCGTGTGATGTCAGGGAGTGATCCCATTTTGCTAAAGAATACGGCTCAATTTTGTCTATTCGTGGTAGCTTCGTGCCTTATGCTGCAGGATAATTTGCTCGCAACGGAAAAGTGTCTAAACATTCTCCGAAGATGCCGAAGCGTCTTCAAAGGTGCGCCAGAGTCCTACCGAAGTAGGCTGCGTATAGGTCTGCATTCGACCAAGGGCTGACGCATGGTTATTCTCGCTATCATCACAATGACTTACCTCAAAATTATCGCACATGTTTGCTTACGCTCTTTCCGTTCACTTTGATGTGTACCCGGCTTATTGCTTCGGATATCGTCACCTTAGTGGGACCTTTTGGTCTTTTTTTGTCGGTTGGATCGGTCTCTTTATCTACTTTTTTCTACTCTCTACTTGGTGACCTTTTGGTCCCTATTTTTTTCTCTACTTTGTGAATATTGGCTGATGCCTTACGGCGCGCCCTTCGCTTTTCCGCCAACTTTTGTACCCGGCTTTCTTGTCTCAAGGCCTACTCACCCATTCACCAGTTTGTCCGTCTCAAAGTCAAGTGGACGTTATCATTTTTTAGTCTTCTTTTAGTTTATTTTGGTTTGAACTCACCATTTAAACAGTATAATGACAAGTATTCAGACAAAAAAGCTAGATATAAACATAAGTGCTAGTGTCTGTGCACGTGACTAACATTATACAAGTCTGTGCACGTGACTAACATCATACAAGTTTATAAAAGGGGTAAGAAACGATACTTGGAAGTGAGGATTATCGAGCCGACAAGTTTATTAACCTAAATAAGGCTCTCCTTACAGCTGCAGCTTTTTGGCATCAGCATAAACCACCGTGTTGCAACTGAGTTTAGTTTGATGCATAAACGCTGGCTTATTTTTAGTTTCTCATAAGAAAACAAGATTTTATATTGTAAGCCGTCCGTACATTCTTTCTTGTACCAAGAACTAGCTTGACATCAAAAAGTATCTGACTTCGGCAGCGAATCGTGTGCTTATATCAACCGCTGCACTTCCAAAATTTACAATTTCAAAAATGTTGCTTAAAGAAGATTAATCGCTCCCATCACAAAAGATGACCAAAAATAGCGGTTAATGACGAGACAATGTGGAAGTAAACCTTTCGTGTACAACCAATGGATTTAAGATAAGACGAAAGCACTATGACTATGACTGGTAAATATCCTGCGGGACAATGGTCCAATTTGATGTTGTCGCTATCAAAGCGTCAAATAATGGCTGAGTATGCTTATCCGATGACTTCGCTTCGAGTCAGCGACGCTCACCTAGATGCTCACGATTCAATAAAGATCAATGACTCTTGTTTGATGAGCTTATTGAAGCTCTTATTAGCGACATGGATCGAAAGAAAGAACGTGCGTTTGGTTCGTAGATGCCTATTCACCTTTACTGTTCCGCTGAACGGCTTACATACTAGCAATATGGTATCATCCACTAGTTCATTGCTGACAATGTTACATCTTCACATCAAACTCGTGAAGGGTGCCGTAGAAGCAACCACCTTACTAGTTAGTTTTGGGCGAGGAAACCCAGCAATGTAAGATCTTTTCCGAAGGCTAATATTGTATATACTATATGAATACGACATATCAATATTTACCTTCAACAAGAAAGCCATCAAGCTTGCACGTCCTTATGAACGCCAAACAACGACGAGTACTGTGAGTAGAGTCTTTAGTTTGATACATGAAACACAATATTTAAGTTGATGATATCCGGGTTGTTTGATGGCAACTCAGCTAGTAGTATGCTTTCTAAACATACTGCTTTGATTAAGATGTATAACTATTGAATAGTAGCGCTTGATCCTGTTCTTCTAGTCATGTATAGCTGTTTTGTTCCATATTAGCCACAGGTCTAGCATCATGACCCGATCGTTTGTTTAACGCCACACTGATATCCCACAAAAGTTAAATGCCAATTCGTGCATGTAAGTTGAAAGACCTTCGTCGAAACCAAATGACATTAAAAATATAAAATTGGGTCGTTTACCTAGCGAAGCAAAATGCTACGCCGTCTAGCGTTTGCTATTCTTAAAGTGCGTCGATGTCAACGCCACCCAAACGACCAGCCGCATATCCACCTGCACGGTTTTGGGCGTTCGCTAGATCAAACTCACCGCTCACTCCAACTGCCTCGCTCTCAACACAGTCATCTTCAGTCAATTCTTCACGAAGCCAGTGCTCAACTACCTTGTACATTGGAATTGTATGGCTATTTGTGCACTTTTCAATAGAGCCAAAGAAGGCCAATGTACCACGACGAATGTACACGACATGTGAAGCCCACACATCCGTTCCGTCAAAAATGTGTGTGGCCAGCAGTACCGTCGCCTGTCTAGTCTCCGTCTCCTCTTTCAAGAATAATAGTAAATTTTCACGCGAAATGATATCAAGCATACCCAACACTTCGTCTAGTACAATGAGCTGTGACGGTCTCAGTAACGCCAAGAACAACTGAACACGGCGACGTTGACCGTCTGACAGTCGATGTAGACGCCACGTGGGGTCAATTCGCAACACCTTGAGTAGCTTCCGTCGTCTTTCTAAATGTTCACTCTGCATTTTGATCATCATTTCCTCCACAGCCATATCTGCTGAGTACGCCATAGCGTGTGACGCAAATGCAACTGCACGTTGACCCCAGTCAGCACTCACAAAAGTCCTTAAAGTATTGAGAATGGTATCTCGAAAAGCGTCTCGACCAAAGATCAATGCCGTATCATCGGCCGTCAAGTGTTTGCCGGCCAGTATACTTAGCAACGTGCTTTTACCAGCTCCGTTACCACCTACAACCAAAACGCGTTGACCAGGCTGCAGCGTCAAATTCACGTCACGTAGGACACAATCATCATTGACAATGGTTTTGCCAGTAATCGGATCATGCTGCAATTGATTCACAAGTCTCCCTCCAATCGTCACCTTAGCAAAAGCAAAATTAAGACAACGTAACTCAACGGGCGGGGCTGTGGACTGTATCGAGCGAGTGGAGGTCATGGTGAATATATATGTGTTATAAGGATTTTTTGTATTCATGCTGTTTTACAAACGTATTTTATTGCTATTTTTAGCATTTTACGTCCCTTTTTCCAAAAAACCAGACGATTTCAAGCAATGCAGAATTAAATAGCTGACTGCAAGATGTATGTGTAACTAATTTTGTCACAAGGACTTTATAGTGAGCATTTGTTGGCTGACTCATGGTGTATCTCTCAGGTTTCGATCGAGCAATCAAAACGTGAGCTACGCCTTATTGGCACACCAATTGCTGTAAATCTTGAAATTAGGAGGTGAGATTTAAGAATGATGTTGTATATTGTCTAGGGCTCTTATTTGATATTAGATTATTATTTGAAGAAGAGGAAGAATTAGTAAGAAGGCAGTTTATTACATTGTATTGTCACATCTTTTCTTATCAAATGTCGCTTGCTACACCTAACACGACAGCAATCGTATGGAAAGGATGGACTCCCGATGATAGAGATGAGGACGCGAAACAAATGCAGTCTGCATGGGCATTGCAGGTCACATTACACAGCCTCATGTTCAGGCTCTGCATCTGTCTGTACGCATCATCGCAACAGTGTGTATTAGGCAACCGACGGTCGTAATTGTAGTTTTACTACACAGAGTAAGTTTTAGAGGAAGCTTAGCTGCACAATTTGATTCAGCCTCTGCTACCACTAAATGATACAAACGGAGCGTCACTACCACGGTTCATCAGCACCGCGATAGCAGCAATCTCGTAGTATTCATCGCCGCTTGACACGATCGCGTCCCAATTGATTTGTGATACGTCTTATAATGAAAAAAGATGGTGGCGCACACACTTGCGATCAACCTTGGCCACAGCAGAGGCATGGGCCACTTCTGTCAGGCCAGAAGCAGGTCGCATCCGAAAGAGCAGCAGTCTGTGCAAAAAGCCTGTACGGATGCGGCAAAGGATTTGGCGCCATATATTCTGCAACAGCCGATCTGAAAATGACTGGATTGAGCCACCTGAGACTTGGATAAAGCTTATCCTGGGATTCGGATCACGCTCAACACCCACCACGGTGCCTGATCTCAGCTTCCAGCCCTTGGTTATCATGACGAGCGCGGGCATATGGTATACAGACACTGGGTACATAGTGCAGATTTGTCGTACTGGTATTTGGTCTTCCAGCAGACATTTAGCCGTCTGACTAAGATGATTCGCTAGCTAAAGGCACCCATGATGTCATCTCTGTGGCTCAAAATAACATACCGCAAGTGCAAAGCAGCTTCAAGGAAGCCGCAAGCAAGTGAACGCCAGACTTTGGACGTCTGCGACGCACCCGTATCAACTGCGAGGCTATTAGGCTGTCGCGAACGGCGTCCGTCAACACCCACATAAGTTTTAGGACAGGGTTACCATCAAAGGCAAATTGGATGCGAAAGCTAGGCAAGGATGCATGTCACATAGCATCATCAAAGCCTTGCCCGATATGTTCTAGCTGGTGTCCGACTTGAATGTTGCATTAATGTCAAATTACATTCATTACATGTATTCAATTGACCTATTCATTTCAGTTGAGATGATGTTGCTTATGCCATTAGCTTTTTCTTGCGCGGAACTAGCTGCTGGTCCATCTGCTTATCTAATCGATTACAATATCCCTTTTATAGCAATAATCGCCCTATAGTGCTTGGAATATATCTACATACTACAGCCTTTGTTTAAAATTTATGAAGCTGCTAGAGCCCCACTACATGGTAATATTACTTTTCACAGGACCTTGAGTTATATGTACATACTGGTAATATTACTTTTCACAGGACCTTGAACTGAAGCTCTGAACTGTCCCGTCTTCCAGTCGCGTTCCGCGAAATGTGCCCAGACAGAAACAATCGGAGGAGGGGCATCCTGAATTTAGACTCGCTCCAGTGCAGCACGCCGTAAACTGCCGCGCGCCTTCCAACCCACAGCCACTGCACATAAATACAAACAAGGACCCCTTTATCTGTGCTGGTCGCCTGCATTCGGACCCAAAAGATATTGACAGTGGTGGAGTCTCATCTCCAGCACTGAAAAAAAAACGCCACTTGCTGCTGCTTCCCATTGTAGAACTTGCTGTGCACCGCGATAAACAAGTCGCAGCAGTTAGTCAGCAGGTTCAAGGTACAACTAGCCAGCCATAATCATCTAGAGTGCTATAAAAGGCACCGACAGTATAACTGGACACAAAGGAGCAGACAGCAATGGGCAAGTGGAACTTGCAACGGAGGCGCTTGCAAAATGAGCTACCGCGCTTGCACGAGCTAGAGTGTGCCGTGCAGACCGAGCTGAACGACGTTCGAGGACGTGAGGAGTTGTTTCTGCGCTCTAACTCGGAGCTTACATCGCTCATGAAAACGCTTGGTCGCACACATGGCCGCGCTTACTTTCGCTACGTATTGCGTGATGTGTTTGGCGAGAAGTCAAAGCTGTACAAGACACGTGGATTGCCTTCGACTGAGCAGGTGTGTGCGTATGCAAAGAGTGTTATACAGCGACTGGCCAAGGCCATTCACTTTGCCCCACTCGTGTTGCGCGCCGGATGTCATTACATGCTCACTGAGTTTCGCAAAGCCTTTCCTGAGTGTAAACACGATGTACGTATTGTCGTGGGAAGCCTGCTCTTCCTGCGGATACTCTGCCCGGCCCTCATCAAGCCCGAGTTGTTTGATTTTCCCGCTCACACAGCACAGTCACTACACATGGGAGTGCAAATTGCAAAGATCCTACAGCACACTCTCAGCGGGACGCCTGTGGGCGAAAATGACCATACGGTGAACGGCAGCAACGCCTTTATTCACACATTTCAGCCGTATGTGGCAAACTTCCTCGCACGGTTTCCTCAGATTCGTGCTGTGTTTAGTAATGAAGAGCATCAACAGGTGCCTGAGGTGCGTGCGCCAGCACCTTCAACACCTACACGAGCAGGCAACTGGTCGCTGTCACCGCATGCGGAGTCCTGGGACCCGCATCGTCCTACAGGCAAGATGCATTGTCTTTCAATGAGCGCTAACAACGCTATAAAGTACAAGAAGAAGTTTTCACTGCGCTTTTGGTCCCGGGGTCCTGGAGACGTTACACAAGGGCCTACACCATGAGGCTTTTGCATGTAAGGTCAATCAGGATAAGAAGACTATTATTTAATTTTAATTTGACGAGAACACCTCACTACCATTACAATCGATGTGGTGACAATATTTCTCCCTAATTGTCCTAAATTGATCTATAGGCACCTAGACCCACCTGTTCATACGACTTTCTCTAGGATATGATTTAGGATCGAGGATCACATGCGGCGAACGTTCCGTCTCATCTACCTCTTTTATAACGTATTCTGTGAGAGTTTCAAATAATTTACATAATTTAGACACGACCTTATTGCCATATGACCTCCAAGATCTTATTCTATCCTAAATACCTTTGGCAGACACGTAGCTAAGCACCGCACGACGCTGTCAGTGCTCGTGCTGATTGTTTAGCGACGCCACCGCCGCCTTTTGAGACTGCTGTTACAAATGGACAACATCGATAAAGCCGCTTGGACGGGTGCAGAACTGACGTGCGCACAGAGCTGCTACACCAGCAGTCGCGTTTATGTAGGAGCAACAGACGGAAGTGTGCGCGCTATTGCTGCGAACGTCTCTTGTGCTTCAAGCGACACGGAGCTACCACTGACGCAAGCGGATTGGGAATCACGTCTGTGTGCTCATGCTGTGACGGTAAGACGGATTTGAGCGATGTTGCGTGTGGCCTTTGATCGAGGTGTTTGTTGAATAAGGACTGAGGTGGAATGAATGGGTTGTTATACTTGCTTGTTTGCAGAGTGTTTGCGGCATTGAAGCTAATAAGAAGGAAAAGAGTACACTACTGGTAGTTGGTAGTGCCGGTGGTGAGCTTGTACTGCTGCACGAAGATTTGGTGATGTTGAAGCGTCTACACATTCCACATAAACCTCTTGACTTGAGGTTGACACTTAGCTGCATCTTGTTGGTATATACAGGAGATCCGGCGTTTCCAATTAGAAAGTGCCGTGCAGAAAATTTGCTATGATCCAATTGGTGAGTTTATTGTGGGGGACGTGCTGGGCAATCTCTATGGCGTCACGCAGTATGAAATTCGATGGAAGGTGAGTTTCGCGCGATCTGAAATTCGTATAATGTAATGTGTACTTGATCTTCAGGTGTTTTTTATTATGATAATATCGACAGAGACGACTTCCTGCTTTCGCTTTAAGAGATGACATTGACTCAGAGTTTTTCTATCCTGCCGTGGCGCAGCCAACAGTGCAAGCGATCACGTATGCTAGGCTGCTGGACGTGGAGAAGACGCTGTCCAACTACATTCTCGTGGCAACTGGTCAGAAGTACTTGGTATTAACCCATTGTGGCAAAAGTTTTGGTACGATCCCCACCCGCACACCGATAGTGGCACTGGTAAGCATTCCTGTTGGTGACGAAGATATTGTTCTTGCCTCCGGAGAGGAAGGGTGCGCAGCCTGTCTAGCTTTATTATGAAGCCTATTTTGTCGCAATAACTCATGAATTATCTGCCTACAGGATCATTTATCGTCTAGAGAGCTATCGAGAAATAGGACCTAAGAATATGCCTAGCTTCCGGTTTGCTATGAATATGTGGGCTCAGGTATCGTTTCCCGTTCTAAAGCTAATGTCTGTCAAGATTCCTTACGAGACGAACAAGCTTGAATTTGCGTGGATTTGTCTGGGTGTCAATGGTGAAGTTACTCTTTTCCGTGGCCGAGGGCGTGTGAAGGAGTGGACGATTGCCTCATATCCCAGTACTCGCGACGTAGAGCTGGATTTTCCCGTCGATTTGACTCTGTTGAACAGTGGCGATGTCGACAAACAACCAAGTGGAGCTATCGTGTTTCCAGGAAGAATATGTACCTTCTCGATTCAGCAGTCGCTAAGTATCGCATGCAATCGTACAACGTATTCGCCAACTTAAAAGTAAATGAACACTATTAGCTTTTACCGTTTGCATTGATACACACCGTATGCATTGATTCATTTGCAAATGCAACTTACTCAACTGACGGTATGCTGTTTCTCAAGAGATTGCGGTCGACGAAAGAGCACCAAGTTTTTTCCATCAAATGGCAGGAACGCTTTTTCAATGGTTGGATGTTTGGAAATGAGATAATCGACCAAGTTCTCGTACGACAAGACCTTGCTTCCATCCGCAAATCGGCGGCCAGGAAATTTGTGGCCAAACACACAGCAGGGAACGACAGCGAAAGGCTTGTTAAATTTCATAGCAACGTCTATGATGCATTCAGTAGCTTCATCCGGGTGCATACCAAGAAGCAGCGATGCCTGCTCGACGAGTTGGACATATTGTTCGTTCTCCAAAAACGTGTCCATGTTGAACAACGTAATAACTTGCGGAACAGGCAAGTCAGTAAGAGGTGTTTCTGCTATGGTAGACTGCTTCCCGCATGCCTTCTTCTGCCTTTTCAAATATTTGTGTTGTTGCTTTGATAGCTTCATAGGACGCTGATCATACATCAAACTCGTCTTAGTCTTATTTTAGCACAAGAACTTTGACTGATAAAGTACTTACCGGTTCGACAAGAGTGCATGGCAGTTTCCGCTTGTTCCAGAGCTCAAACGATAAACTACCTCTTCCTCCCGCAATATCCACAATACCTTTTCCCTCGGCAAGGAACTCGGCGCCATATGTCTCAATTAGCCATTCAGCGAACACATGAGCGCGTTGTTGCTTTCCAATTTTCCCATATGGATCTAATGGGTCTTCATCAATATGGGCTCGAACGCGTTTAAGACGCAATCTCTCGTTTAGCCATTTGGCACGCTCAATTTTCCTTTCAGCGTCGCACACATGGAAAAACTCACAACTGTCGCCGTGCTGACATGTTTTTGAATTGATCCAAAACTTGCAGTGCACCCGCTCGCTTGTAACTCCGTTAGCACGTTGGTTTGTGCTAGTCTGGACGACCCTAGTACTAGCATTCTTGTCTTGCCATTCATTTTGAATAGACTGCGGCACATGATCTTTCGTAATGATCACCGTAGGCAGTGGAAGAAATGTCATTCCTGGATTATTCTTCTTCCACGCTCGAACGACAATAATATCACGAGCATGAATCAAGATGGAAGCACCACCTTTGAGTTTCTCAATAAAGCCTCGAACACGTACAATGTCCCCAAGTTTGAATTTGTATCGAATAGCATCAATCTCTTCTAGCGATAATTCACCGTCAATGATCTTAAGAATAACCTCTACTCGCTCACGCTCACCATTCATACCAGTCGCTTCGGACGCCAAGTCAAAGAAGGAACATTTGCGACTAATTCGACGTTGATGCATTAATTGACCTTCTACTACAATATCTTCAAGTAATGTATCATTATTCCATTGCGCCACCTTGTCGCGAAGTGATGCAAAGCTAAACCATACCAGTTCATTCATTTCACAGCTGTTAATGCGTTTCTAGAAGTTGCGCGTTACAAAATTCCGCAACATAGTATGGCGATAATGTCACGGCAACACCAATGATGACAAGAGCATCACGGTACAAGCCGCATTTCTGGTGCTGAGATAAACACGCCTGAAAGGAACCTCCAAATGCACAGGAGTCTACAACACTGAACTTGGTCACATTGAAAGCGCATGAAGACCGCAGATGACGGAGGTAAGAAACATGCGGATACATAGGTTGGACGAGAACAAGTGTGGTGAAGCGTTTCCGGGGAGGGTCAATCGGAGGCAAGGTGAAGCCCATAATCGCTAGGCTAGCAACAGGTGCGGAAGTGACCGGACCCGGCAGCGAGCCCTAGCCTTGAAAGCTTCTCATCCGTCGGTCGCTTTCCTTTTCATTTGCCCTATCATTTTGGTAATTCGAGCTTCTGTCTAAGGGCTCCCTTCTCTCTGTTTCACTGGTACTTGAGCTCCCCCATCTTTAAGCGCTTCACCACAGCGACCCTCTGCACTTGATCAACGGTACAGCCACTTGAGCACGCGCATGTCTTCGGCTTCTCCATTACTTAAGTGCTTCAACCTTGATTTGCGTTTGGTATCGCTTGCCTGACTTTGTATGATTCTAGCGATACCTTCCAACGGGTTCTACCTACCGACTAAGGAGCTGGCGCACCGGTTCTTCAACGTACACGGTTGTAGGTCATAAATCTTTCCGTTAAAAAACATCCACAAATTACGAGTCGATCGACTCAGTTGGCTATACCAGTTATGGGCGAACTTTGGGGTAGATCGCCAAACACCAAGCATTTCTCCTGTTCTGGAGCTTGATCACGTGAAGAAGCAGATATAATAATCCATCCGCACTGAAAGGAGTAAATTGCCGGTGGACCGCGGTGAACAGCGGTCCCGTAAGGTCGAACCTGGTCCCTCGTCGGTAGGCATTGGTCCTTCACGGTGGACTTTGGCCCTTCATCGGAACACTGGAAACTTTGTCGGTCGACCTCGGACCCTTAAAGTCCAGCTACCAGGTCCAATCAGCATTAGGAACTGGGTTTCAAGGCAAGGATAGAATAAAGGATTTCAAAGATAGGACTATATAAGATACTACTTATTTTTGATCTACGAGGCACAACTTCGTCACGCTTTAAAGGAGCTTGATTAGCTCACCCACCTGTTGCGGGAAGGGATACATTTTGACCTTCCGTGGAAGACAGTCATGTGGTGAGACTTAAGTGTAAAGAGAGACCCAGGATATTTTTGGCCTGTGTGTTCGTCTGAGTAGCATCCCCCTCCAAAGCGACTCGTGAGAACCTCGCAAGACACTCTTTACAGACGTTTCGGATATTGTGACGCCTTTGATTGTGAGGTAAACGAGATTGCGAGCTGTTCAACGCTCGCGATATTGAAGATCTCAGTGTGTGAGAACGAGTTGTCGGGTTTGGTGAAGAGTCACCTTTCACAGTCATGTTAGCTCGACTCGATGGATGCGCGCGCCAGTACTCGTAGAGGTTTCTCTCATACCTTACGATCCATGTTGCCCCCTTTCTCCAACAGGAATTTGAAGCATCGTCGTCCATTGCACGCGGTTAGGCAGCGCCATGATCATCGCAGCTTGAACAGACTTCGCGCCAGTACACGGTACAAGCAGGGTGGTCAGCAGCCCACGACAACTCGCAGACAATCTTCCGAGTCTCTGCGAGGTCATACGCTGTCGTCAGAAGATTGGTAAACGGTGATTCAGTACTCCACCGACGCACGAATGCGGGTTAAGACTCGACAAGTAAAGTTTTTACACGGCGCGTGGTGCCACGGTTGGCTTGCCGCGTCTTCGTTCTTATCGGCGCCGCATTCCACGCATTTCAAGGTCGCCGCGCGAACGTTCTATATAGCTGCAGTCGTATAGCTCCCAGACGCAAAGCGTTTCCGCGTATGATTGTGGTATGGTGGACACCGCCATAAACTCGTGTACTCATGGGTGGCTGCGATCGCTGCTTCAAAGGCAGCCGTACCGTTGGAAATCGTTTTGTGTTTTTTTATCTTCTAGTTTTGTAGTGCACACAAAAGTGTGTGCTATTTTATGTGCACCGTACACAACCTGCTAGTTGCAATTTTGCAGCGCTCTCATTGGTATACTTAGCTAAGCAGAAATGTTACATAATTATGCATACGTTGTAGCCGATATAGCGGGTACGGCGTGCCATATTCCTATATGCTAATTAGTGGGATTTAGGCCCATTATCAGCCAATAAGATACGATCTGTATATAGAGTGATTCCCACGAAGTTTGGAAACCACTCGTACTAAGGATTAAAAAAAGCGTTAAACTTGATATTGAGTGGACTGACGCGTGTTCTTCTGTCCTCGTAAGACCTTTAATGCAAGCAACGTAACGGGCTCTCACCCCGTTACAAACGGCATATATGCATTTACATGATCAACAAGCGCGTTATCGTATCATTCAAGCATATGAATGCTCTTGCTAACCTCTTCTTCGCCTTGGGCGATGAGGTAGTTTACGTACTTAGACACAGGATAGAGAGCAGCCTTTGCAAACCTTCTTGTTGTGCCTGCGATTGACCGCGGACATCTCTTTGATGTCTGTTCTCACAGAGAAGTATTTACAGACATAGGTGCGGGATTGACTAATAGTGCTACCAGGTATAGCAGAGCTATCGTAGCAAAGCTATTTATGCACTTCGTGCAGAGGGAGACAAGCTTTAGGAGCTTTACATCTCACGGTCATTAATGCTCACAAGGCTAGCTTCACAAGCTTATGCCTTTTGGTTGCAACTACCACATCTCAATGAGACCAGTATCCACTGATACTAATTCATTCACAAGGACTAAAGCTTTAGCACAAATGCTATACAGAGCAGGTTTAAGACTGATTTATTTTATGTCTATCGTGTAGCACTAAATGTAGGAGCACCTACCCTACACTTAGTGCTAGTCACTACTCAACTGGCTCTGTAGCCTCCTACCTATAATCATATGCATTCATAACGTTTAAGGTAAGTACTATGACCACGTGGCTTTCGGTCACGATGTAAACCATTGTACCCTAGGTACGGTCACATCACACAATAAAATGGCAGGTTTGTATGTAAAATACACACCTTTGGTAGCCTCTTTTGACTACACAAAACTTTTTGCTCAAGTCCTTCTTTGATTGTAAACGAACATACAACACACTGTAAGAAACGACTATGTTATTAAATTTGAATGTCTTTCGTTCGGGCTATTGCAAAACCGTGCAGGTCAATAAGGGGACATGATGTGCCAGCCCAAGTACTTTCTGTGACGTAGAACACTGGACGAGCTAGCTTATGTCGTGTAGCTCAATCGGATGAGCTTGTGTTTCACAATTTATTAACCCAATGTTACTTCCGTCTTGTTATTCTACTGTTTGCCGTCACTCACTGCTGCTGACACATCATGAGGGGCGAGACCATTCACGTAAATGCAACGATCAATCTCATACTTTTCAGGTAAAACTCTCGGCTACCTCATGGAGGATAAATGCCTCGAGTCGTTAGTTATCTGCTATATCAATATCATACCTGTTCCAGTCATCTTAAGTTAGCATTGTGCCGTTCCGGCATTGTCAAACTGATCTCAATCGTAAGAAATGAACGTGCAACTTGCTTGAAAAACCACTTGATCACATACGACGAATCGACAAACCAGCGTCAAGTCCGTCAATTGTCTTAATCTTGATTCAAAACAACGACGATAGACTACAATCGTTTGGATACTCAATTAGTCAACCACATAATGGCTTTGCAAACACAAACTACGTTGCAGCCCCACTAGTCACGCTTTGGCAATCCTGTTGCCGTCGATCAATAACTTTGTAAGTACTTCCAAGTCTTAAAGGTGTAATTACGACCAGGAACTCTGCATCTTCTTTCCTATCTTTACACATGAATCATCAACCCATCGCAACCCCACAGCCACACAATCAAATCGTCTCTCGCTCTTTTATCCCAAAACTCAAAATTCGAACCCAAGAGCTCAGTTAACAATGGTCTTGGATCTGTGGTGGATCGGCGTGGTAGTTGCTGGTGTCGTTGTAGGCATTTCCGTCATAGTAAGTTCATTGTCTCTTCCTCTTTTCTCTTTCCCTTCTAACGCTTTCTATTAACTTCTTTGCGTACAGTCTTTCGTCGTGACAAAAGTCCGTGCTCCAGGCTTTAAAGTAGAGGGGAAACACGTGTTCATAACAGGTGGAAGCTCTGGCTTGGGACTTTCGCTAGCCAAAAAGTATGCGAAACAAGGAGCCAAGTTGTCGATCATCGCACGTGGGGTGGACAAACTCGAGGAGGCTAAGAAGGAGATTGAAGCCATTCGCAAGAATACTGACACGGACGTCTTCATCCAGTCATGCGATGTAGCAGACTTTGCCAGCGTTCAAAAAGCAGTTGACGCTGCCAATTCGTTTCATGGCCGTGCTACGGACCATGTCGTGTGCTCTGCGGGTTTTGCTGCCCCTGGCTACTTCATGGAGCAGGATGTGAGTCTGTTCAAGAAGATCATGGATGTCAACTACTTTGGTACGTTGTACACCATAAAAGCGGCATTGCCGGCCATGGTGCGGCGCTCTGAAGAAGGAGGAGAAGGTGGCCATCTTGTGCTTGTAAGCTCCGGACTTGGACTGATTTCGTGGATTGGATACGCTCAGTACGCTGCTACCAAGTACGCGCTGCGTGGACTGGCCGAGTCGTTGCGTAATGAGCTTCAGTTGTTTGGGATTCGTGTAAGCATCTTTTACCCGGGCAATATTGACACACCTGGCTATGTGGAAGAGAACCGCACTAAACCACCTGAGACCAAAATCATTGAAGGAGTGAGCATACCCCTTCATTCGGACAAGGTGGCGCAACAACTGATCAACGGTGTGAGCGATGGTCTGTTCAGCATCACCAACGATCCCATGATCTTCATCCTGCGTGTCCTCGCTAACGGTGTTGCGCCGCGCTACAACACAATGATGGAGACCGTGCTGCTGTTTTTATTCATCCCTATTCAGGTGGGCTTTGGCTTCTTCATGGACTTTATCGTGTGGCGAACCAAGCATGCCTGCGAGAACAAGCCAAAGGACGAGTAAGACGACAGATGCGGTTCATACGTGTGCAAAAGGATCGAATGAGAGTTGAAGCTTTCTGAACTACGCATTGCTGATGTTTTCATTTACTTTTACTGCCCTACTCTGGTCTGTTTCATTCGACGAATAAACTGTTCCGAATACGCTGATCTTATCCTCTACGCTTGCTGAGGCGCCAGGAATCAGGTGGATTGAAACGGTCATACAGCGGTTCAATCTTCTCATTGCGCTTGCGCTTCGAAAGCTTCGTAGGATCTCCCTTTTTGAAGAACGCCGGTGCCAACTCAACAAGCCACTTGGGTTCTATCGTCATAATGTTGCGCATATACTCCTTTGTCGTAAGCACAAGCTCATGATAGAGCACCCACTCAGGACTCTTGTTGAACAATGCACTCGACGGGTGAATATATACGAGTTGGCCTTCAACCATAGTGCGGTATCCTTCTTGTGGATCCTTCTTTGCTGTGTTGGCAAAGTATCCAGCCACAATCGCACGTCGAACTTTGTTGTAGTTTTTGCCACAAGAAACAACGTCCATTTTGTATCGATCTAGAATCGATAGCAGCTGTTTGCGGACATCTTGTGCACGGCGAATAGCTCGTGCTTGAATAAAGTTTTCGTAGCACCACGGGTTTGAAAATTTGGAGTTCGCCCAAGCCTCATACACTGCCAGCAACGTCAAGTGATCGCCTTCGGGCTGGTGAAACTTAGCCTTCTTCTGGTCAGCTTGTGCCTGTTTTTCCTTTGGCCGAAAAAAGGCGGACTCCATTGACATCATGGCCACAATTGTCAACACTTCCTCCGCGCAACCAAGCACCACGGACGTTAGCAACACCTTGGCATTCTTCGGCTCTACCGGAAACTCGGCCATCTTCTTTCCTAATCGCGTTAGCAATCCTTCGTCATCCAAAGCACCTAGGGCGTACAAATTTTCCAGCGCCATGACCAGGGCATCTTGAGGAGGTGGGTCCATGAAATCAAAATTCATGAGATCGTTAATACTCATCGCCTTTAACTGTAATACAACCGATCCGAGATTTGCACGCTGAATCTCAGGTACAGTCGTTGCCAGCATTTCGTTCTTGTAAGCATTCTCCGTGTAGAGCCGGTAGCATTTACCTGGACCTGTGCGTCCCGCGCGTCCTGCACGTTGACGAGCCGAAGCCTGTGAGCACGGCACAACCACTAGAGAATCCATTCCAATTTTTGAGTTAAAAGCATTCTGCTTGCAAAAGCCAGGATCCACGACATAATAAATGCCATCGATTGTTAGCGATGCTTCTGCAATATTGGTGGCTACCACACATTTCCGGGAGCCCTTCGGCGCTGGTTCAAAAATGCGAGACTGCATTTCTGAAGGAAGTGCACCGTACACTGGAAGAATAATGAGCTCTGGAGCTAATGCACGCTCCTGCAAAGCTTTAATACGCTGATACAGTACTTCACACGCTGTGTCGATTTCTTCTTGGCCGGTCAAAAACAGCAAAATGTCTCCTTCTGGTTCAGATAGATGAATTTGCATGACGCAAAGAAGCGATGCGTCTAAGTAATCAAGCTCTGGCTCCTTTGTATACAAAATCTCGACAGGAAAGGTGCGTCCTGGAATTGTGAAGATAGGGCAATCAAAGAAATATCGCGAAAACTTCTCTGCATCCAGCGTTGCCGAGGTTACAATAATTTTCAGGTCCTTTCGTTTGCGTACAAGATCTTTTAGCAGACCAAATAGTACATCAGTGTTAATCGTTCGCTCATGAGCTTCATCAAGCATCAGTGCGCTGTACTTGGACAACGTAGAGTCAGCCAGGTACTCACGTAGAAGCATACCTTCAGTCATGTACTTAATCACTGTCTCTGGACTCGTAACATCCTCAAATCGCATCGAGTAACCGACTTCTTGTCCTAATTCGCACCCAAACTCCTCGGCCACACGCTTTGCAACAGAGGAAGCAGCCACACGACGGGGTTGCGTACATCCAATTATACCAGTGGAAGTTAATCCCATTTCTGCCATATACTGTGTCATCTGCGTAGTTTTGCCGGAGCCAGTCTCTCCAATGACCACGAGAACCTGATTATCAGCAATTGCATTCATTAGTTGACGCTTGAGTTTGAAGACAGGAAGACTTTCCCGCTGCTCCAATATGGATTTGTTCGATACAATACCATACGAAAGATTCTTGCCCACTGACTTCTGTTTCCATTCAGGCAGCTCAAATGTTGAACCCATATTTATACCACGCAGTTCTTGAGCAAAATGGCGCTCGCCAGCATCTGGCATCGGGTCCTCCCAAGGACGATTCAGATCTTTTGGAATGGAATCAATAAGCTGATTCGCCTGAGTCTGTCGCAACTCACGGCGTTCCTTTGCCAAGTTAGACTGTGTCATAGCTGCACGCTGCATCGATCCATCCGGATTCTTCACGATCTTGACAGGTGATATCTCACGACTCATCTGTGTCCGACCACGAAGGAATACTGGTTCATCCTCATTTAGCTCCACCTCAAAGTCCTCCTCCGTGATTTCTGTGTTAAGTAGTCCATGCTCTTTGTCAAAAGTTGGATAGTCTTCAACTGATAAGACACCTGAGTTAATGAGCTGTTGCACTTCCCACCGCTCAGGGGATGACATGCGCTTGGCAGCTCGTTGTGTTTTGCCATCACCTTCATCTAATTGTTGCAATCTCTGCATACCAGGTGCAGAAGGGTTTATCCAGGAGCGCGAGTCGGACGACCTATTCGCTTGTCGTGCTTGCTCGGCACCACCGCTTGAGCGTTGAGGCATCATGTCTTGTCCCGTCTTTTGGTCCACATCTCGCATTGACATTGACAGCTTATCTCCAGAAATCGAAATAAGCTTGACCTTCACGTGATCTCCACGCTTTGCAAACTCCTTCACATTATGCACACGATTCGCTGACAAGTTCGATACGTGCACAAGTCCTTCCTTTTTCTCTCGTGAGAATGCATTCAGTTCCACAAAAACGCCAAAGTCCATGACTTTGGTCACACGACCATCGTAAATGCCATACAGCTCCAATTCTCTCGGACACTCGTCTCTTCCTCGTCGATCATAATTGTCACGATCCCGATCACTACGATGAGATCGAGACGATTGAACGCAGTCACCAGTCCGTTCCCTTTCTCGACTAGAATCTCTCTTCCTATCACGTCGACCAGATCTTTGTTCTTTCGATCTTGACCTCGATCTCCTGCTTCTCTGGCTTCGCTCCTCACCACGTCCACGACTTCGATCACGTCCATAATGATCACGTTTGTTCAATTGATCATGCCTGCGAGATACATCATCATTCTCTCGACCATGATGTTGACGAGACACTTGTCCATCGGTCTTCCTATGACCGTCCAGATCATCTTCAATGGTAGCTCCAACAATATCTTCAGCCGTCAGCTGCTCGTCATCTTGAATCTGATACATCTTGTCTATTCTCGTATGACGCTCATCGTTTCCTTTGATGTTTCGTTTCATCCGTTGCGGTGCCATTGTCTCTACAATCCGATAAAGATTCTCAGCTAATGGAATTGGCAGTGGTAGTTCATCCTCTTTAATTGATGCTAGAAAAGCAGTCGAACTTGAACTCGTACGTATTAAATCAATAATAAACTCAGCTAATGTCTTATCACTCATACCCAAATGATTTTCCAATGCCTGACACACTTTTGACACGAGACTTAGTTCCTGGAGCTTATCCATAGTCTTGTGGACGTAGTAGATCCTAACAACAGAGTGAGTGAGGTAATTTCATGTACACTACATGAAACATATGACGAATGACGTAGGATATAAAGAATAACCAATCCATAGCATGCAAATTCACAAACGTGATTTTGATTGGCTAGTATCCTGTCATCGAAGTTTTGGTGTTTTTGAGATTGCGACGATTCACAGGAGTCAGCAAGCAGGTGGTAGGTATTGTAGAGCAGCTCTATACTCACTCGAGCTAATCAGTTTTCGTCTTGCATATGGATGCACAACAGCAGCATTTGACTATACAAGGTATTTACCTTTCAGAAGGTCTAGATATGCACTCAATGGAAGAAGTACAGTATCTTCCATCTTCTCATATTACAAGTATCGACATGGCTAGAACAGGACAAGGCGATATCTTCCAAGGTGTTAAACTTGATCCAAATCCGACGTCTCCAGCGCCTTCATCCGTGTCTTTAAAGGATAAATGGCAACAAAAACGTCACGTGTGTGAAACATCGGATTGTGGTAAGAGTTTTGACTCGAAATGGGCTCTTATTAGGTGCGTTATGTTGGAAGAATTGCTATGTTTGGAAATTCGGTCTCTTTTTGGTATGACGAATTCACCGTTGTCTCGTGTCTTTATACTGCAAATGTATAGACATATTCGTGTACATACGGGTGAAAAACCATTTCCTTGTACGTATCCATCTTGTGACAAATCGTTTGCTGAGAAATCGGCCATGACACGGTACGTTTCTCACAAAACACTGAATGGATTTCGCCTTGGATTGTTGACTTGATGATGTTTGGACTATATCGTTGCTGATAGCCACTTGCAAACACATTCACGCGACAAGCCATACAAATGCACGTATGTAGATTGTACAAAGAGCTTTAAGGGCAAGGATTACTTGGAATTTCATCTTAAAATTCATGCGGAAGGCAACCCATACGCGTGTGATCACCCGACGTGCTCCAAGACCTTTTGTAGTCCCAAGAGTCTAAAGAAACATATTCGTTTGTGGCACAATCCTGGTGGTAAAAGTACATCGATGGAGCAACAACTAAGGGAACGCATCATTAAGATGGCTACACGCAATAAGGACAAGACACGCAAGTTTGAATCGACTATTCGAACGCTTTTGGAAGAGAATGAGTCACTTAAGCGGAGGATTCATGAGTTGGAGAGCTGCCAACAGCAATTCTAACTGAGCGTTGGGTCCGTATTTTTTTTTATCATACATAATCTGCTGGAGGTCTCGCATATGGTGTGAGTTGTACGAATGATTTATTTGAAGTAGAGGAGATACCAGAGACCGACGCAAGTAGCGCATCACGCAGTTAGTATGAACATTTGAGTTATAGGGTGTGGTGGACGAACGGCCTCAGCAACTGCCAACTTGCATGCGTCCTAGAAGTTGGGTCTATCAGTACTTAAATACGATTTCGTGGCCGATCAACCTTACTTGTATGTCTGAATCAAGCGTCGGGTCTTTTTTGTCGTACACATATAAGGGTGAAAGCTTCATTTCGATATTGAATAAACTACCTGAGCGAAGAAATGAAGGAGACATGCCAAATGCAGGAGATATTGTATCATTCTTCCTTACATGCCTCGCGGCTTAGGTCCGCCAGCCGCTTTTGCCATGATGATTTGGTCCACACGCAATACCGTGATCGCAGCATCGGCGCCAAGGCGGATAGCAGACATCTTTGTCTGAAGGTGGTCCCAGATGTTTTTGTCCAACGCGTCTAGAATTACGTGCGACTCTTGCTCATTCTACAACATCACAGAATGCCACGACAACAGAAGTCAGACCTTGACTCTTTGCCACAAGCAACCACAATCAGAAAACACACACAACTTACGTCCACATCCACACCAGCATTAACATTGCCCGACGCATGGGCAGCGTACAGGCTAGAAATGACTTCAGTGGCCATTTGGCCAGAATTCTCGGCCAGAATCCGGGGCACAACCTCGACAGCATCACCGAACTTCTTGATGGCATACTGGTCAAGACCTGGCGTAGCTTCACCGAAGCTCTTAATCTGGCGAGATAGCTCGATCTCAGTGGAACCGGCACCCGATACAAATCGGCTGTCCCGGCACACAGACTTCACGCAGTTCACACCATCATCGATAGCACGTTCAATGTCATTTAGAACGTTGTCCGTGCTCGCTCGCAGCACAATAGTTGATATCTTAGCATCTTCTTGATCCTGCTGAAAGACAGTGACTTTCTTGCCGCCAATCTCCTTGACCATCACACTGTCACAGAAACCCATCTCATCAGGGGTGGGAGCACCCAAACGAACCAAAGCATTTGCGTTCACAGCGCGGCATAGACGCCGCAATTCCCACTTCGACTGGATCTTGACTGCCATAAGGTTGTACTTTTCCAGAAAATGCAATGCCATCTCGCTGATGCTTCCACCTGAAACTACCACCGTTGCACCCGATTCACTAATAACACGAATAGCTTCCTCCAGCTTTTTCTCCTCACCCTTGTTATAGTTCATGAGCTCATCTGCATTTTTAATGAGCACCGTGCTTTTCGCCTCCGTAGACGAGATTTCAAGACCACAACCAAACACTGCTACCTTTGCATTAAGCGCTTTCTTCACGTTACCCTCAGTGTTACGCTGGATCACCATACCACGGATGACGGTCGAGTCATGCAAATTGCCTCCCATGATTTTGGCCACACGGATATTATCCACATTAATCGACGGGTTTTTCGGAGCAGCAGGCATTATATTCAAACAAGCTTCTGCTACAAGTTTAGCCAATAACTCTTCATAACCGTACTGCTTGGAAGCCAGTGACGTCTTAATGGCCTTCTGTAGCTCCACCTGCTCCCGTGGATTCTTTATCTGTACAGTCTGCAATTTTTGCAGAATTTCTTGACACTTGTCGTGTGCCTTTTGATATCCCGTGACTATTTCACTAGCATGCAGTCCCATGCGTAGTAAACTAGCAGCTTCCATAAGCAATTCACCCGCTAACGCCACGACAAGACATGTTCCATCGCCAAAATCATTTTCTTGCATCTTTGCAGCCATTACGACCATACGTGCAGCTGGATGAACAACTTCTAGTTCTTTTACAATTGTAGCTGTGTCACTTGTGACAAAAATACGCTCTAAATGGTTGATAACGAGCTTATTCATGCCATTAGGACCCAATGATGAGCGTGTGATGGCTGCTAGCTGCTTCACAGCGTCAATATTCTTCGCAACGGCCTCATCTACGCCTTCAAAATGCTTATGACCGTCTTTCAATAATGACGATAGACCACCTGCCACGTTTAATCCCATTGATTTTGACATGCTTTACGTCTGACACTCTGGCTGGCTGTATATCTGACTGTGTGTATACTACTGGTCTTGACTAATTGGGGTTTGTTTTGGGCTAAAAGAAGATATGTTGTTTATTCCTTTAGGTCCACAGAGTGATACTGAGTTATGATTGACTGAAATTAAGGAATATGTATCGAAAGTACTGATAAAAAAAAACACACCGTAATCTAAAATTTGATATTCATGGGTTGTCATCAAATGGGCAAAGAAATCAATTGGAACCATTTTTTGCGCCCATAATTTATTGAACGCTTCAGCAACTTTGCATATAGTGTACGTACAGTTGCATCTGATCTATTTCATTTGATACATGAACAATATATATGAAAATAGTCCAATGGTCGGAAAAATAGTCTAGAATTGCAAAACGATGTCCATTGGTGACCAGCAGTTCGCTCATTGACCAGAGTCATGGACGGCTTCTCGCTCAATATCTCCACGTCCAGCAATGCTCATAAGCCTATCAAGAAGAAGAAAAATACATTTCGCGTCAAAAAGCAAGCTAAACGTGCAAAAGCAAAGCTGAAAAAGTCTACTGATGCACTTTCAGAGACCCCTCCACATCATTCTAGTGGACATTTTCATGCGCATCAGCCACACATACGACACAATAGTGATCACAAAGATCAAGTGATGACGCAAGACATACAGTCGAAGATTCAAATTTGTGAAGCTGAATCTGTTGCTGCCAATAATGACAACGTTCTGGAAGTTCTTCCGGTGACGCATGTGGAAGTAGGTGAAAACTCTGAGCAAAGAGCTGGAAAGACAGAAGATGCACCGATTGAAACGATCGAAAAATTACCGAGAACGAATGAACATGGTGTTGATATTGAAGTACTGGAAGAAAGCATAAAGCCAAAGACGTTTGGTACTCGTCGTAATCCGAACAAGGAGGGTTACAATGCAGAGACGTTTACTCAATCTCGTATCAAGATTGAAAATGTGTTGTCAAAACCATTAACATCATCATCAAGTGAGAAGATTTTTGCTGCGAATACGTTTGAATCGATGAAGATGACGGAGAAGCTGGTCAATGTGCTGAAGAAAAAAGAAGGAAGCGGCGGTTTTGGCTTTGCGCGGCCAACCAACGTGCAAGTGCAAACTGTTCCGTCGATACTAAAGGGTAGTGATATTCTGGTCAAGAGTGAGACGGGATCGGGCAAAACACTGTCGTATCTGCTTCCTATTGTCCAGAAGCTGCAGGAGGTGACACCGCGCATACAGCGGCAGGATGGTTGCCTGGCGCTTATTCTGGCGCCCACCCGTGAGCTTTGTACTCAAATTTTAGAGACTGCCAATCAACTTATCCAGCCTTTTGTGTTCCTAGTGCCGGGTGCCATTGTCGGTGGTGAGAAGAAGAAGTCGGAGAAGGCACGACTTCGCAAAGGAATTACTATCTTAATTGCTACTCCTGGACGATTAGCAGATCACCTGGTGAACACACAGTCATTCAACTATTCACGCCTGCAATTTTTGGTGCTTGACGAGGCCGATCGACTGTTGGATATGGGTTTTGAAAAGCAGATTACACAAATCATGACTATCCTCGATAGCAAGAAGACGGTCCAGAAGCGACAAAACATTTTGGTGTCCGCCACGGTAAACAGCAGTGTGCAGCAGCTGGCTAAGATGAGTCTGTCCGCCAGCTTCGTGCTGATCAATGCAGATGCAACAACTAGCGGTGAAGAAGCTCCACCAAAGACCGACTGCACTAATCAAGAGACGTTTTCGACTCCACACCAACTCATGCAGCACTTCATGCTTGTTCCAGCGAAGGCACGTCTGTGTGCTCTGACATGCTTCTTGCGTGAGGAGCTGTGCCACGCTCCTCGCGAAATTAAGAATAATTCTGGGCCCAGTAAATGTAAGATTGTAGTGTTCTTGTCGACGTGTGACGCAGTAGACTTTCACTACGCGCTGTTTCGCAAGTGTGCGTGGCCATCAGGAAAGATGTCGTCGAAAGAAGCTGATGACAGTAGCGAAAGCAACGGCGTGGCGTCACTGTTTGGCAGTCAAGGGTTCGTGTTCCGCCTTCACGGCAACATCGCTCAACAGGAGCGTGTGGCTACATTCAAGAGTTTCTGCTCGTCGAGTTCCGGCGTCTTGCTTTGTACTGATGTGGCTGCCCGTGGTCTCAACTTGCCCACGGTGAAGTGGATTGTCCAATACGATCCACCTACTGAAACGCGCGACTACGTCCATCGCGTGGGTCGGACAGCCCGTAGTGGTAAGCAAGGTAGCAGTCTTCTGTTCTTGATGCCTTCCGAGTCAGAGTACTTGGACTATTTGAACAAGCAGGGCCTGAAGTTGAATGCTCTGAGTCTTGAAAAAACTATTGCACGTGTTGGCAAGCACGGCGGGTTCCTTACATCTCGCAAGAAGCTGCTGCGTGAGGTTGTACATGGAGACCTGCAGTTTCTGTACGAACAGACGATTTTGGCGGACAAAGAGTTGTTTGAGCTGGCATGTCAAGCATTCCATTCTTTTGTCCGCAGCTATGCCACGCACTCTTCCGACACAAGACAGATCTTCCATGTCCGTAGCCTACATTTTGGTCACGTTGCAAAGAGCTTTGCGTTGCGAGAACCGCCTGCTTCTTCAAAGTTGCGTACGACTGGACGGAACGCTAAGAATGGTACGCTGCACAAGCGTAAGGAGCGTGACGACAAGCAACAGGCAGTGGTCGCTAAGAAGCAGAAAAAAGTGCGCGACGAAAAGCGCCGGTATGCACAGAATGTGTCCGAATTTGCCAACTAGTAGCTATGCAATAACCTGACACACTGACAAAAACATAAAGCTCTGCATTTTCGGGTTTCAAATACTTTAGTGACTTGCTTCTGAAGTAAACACAGTCCTCATACTCTATTCACGCCACGCTTTTTCTCTTCTTCAACTTCTGCTGCCTGTTTTTACTTCTCATAGCACGGTCCTGCATTGGCATGGACGTGCTTTTCTTCTTCGTTTTCTTGGCATTGGGGGCCAACAGCGGTGCAAAAACTTTGGCAACGTCAGAATCCTGCGTAATTTTCACAACCTTACCATCAATAGCAATCGAAGGTTTTGGGAATGCACTACATAATTGTAGGAAAAGAAGTACCTATCAGTGATTCATGACTGCTGTGACAAGGTAGCATCCATATCAGTAAAACTAGCGAATAGGAACGTACCCAAGAAGCGTTTGTAGCGCAAAGGCAGCACTAAAACATTGTTGAGCCAGAGTAAATGCGTCAGACTTGTGACCATTCACCTCTAGAAAGTGCTGCACCACATGATTAGCTGCAATGGGGTTCTCCAACTGCAGCTCCATAAAGCGTGCAAACTCGTGCACCATTGCATCCCGTTCATGCATCCACTGCACTTTTTGCACCGTAAAGACGCGATTTTTCACGTCAAATGTACCGATCACCTGAGGCTTGAGATCATCTTGCTCTTTTTCCTCTTGATCCGTTTCTGCGTCGTCCTGTTCTGTCGTAAGTGCTTCGTTTGGTTTGCGACTCCGCACTAGCGCTATCAACGCTTGTCGTTGCTCTTCGGTCTTGCACAGCGATACAATCAGGTCCAGACCATACTTGATACCCCTAGGAAGCACTTGAGGGCACAGTGAAGGTGCCAGTGTTGTCACTACGTCCTGTAACTGCTGTACAGCAGACAATGGGTCACTTGCCATGAGGTTGCGAGGAGATAAGCAGAAATTAATTGGTTGAGGTGATTGTCATGTTTTGATTAAGGACCTAAAATATCGTCCTGAAAGACCTAAATAATGCTAAATTGGAGTGCAAATCAAATCACTAGATTATACAACAAGTAAGCTAAATTTGTTACAGAGTTTCGAGTCATCAAAGGCTAAATTGCTAGAAAACAACAGCTTTGGACGATTTAGTTTGCAAACGCTTGACACCAATTGCAGTTCCATATCGTCACATGCTTTACATTATTCCAAATCGTGCAATTGACCAAAGAAACATCCAGTGATGACAATTAGAATGTTCAGTGACTTGAGCTGAATGTCCGATGGCGCTTCCAGATTACATCGCAACGTCCAGCAACGTCGCAAAATCTGTCGTATTGTCGCAGCAACACCAGCATGAACGTGTTTATCCAAACGAGCCAGTAGTGCATATATCCATACTGCTCGTGCGCGAGAAAGTAACATGACCTCATCACTCAGCCACGTAGCATGATAATCTAGTAGTCTCCTGGTCAAAACCTGATCGAACTGCAGCAGCAGTCTCAAATGTGGCGGTGTTGCCATTGTCGTTGTCTCTGACTTACCAAAAAAGAAAGCAATCCATCCATCTTCGTCATTCATTTTGGGCACTTTTTTTCCGCAAGATCTCAATGGGAACATCGTCTCCTGCCCTCTCTGCTTTAGGTGGTCCAATAGCTTCCCAGCGTACAATTAGTTGTCGCAACTCCGCAAAATCTGCTAACAATTCGTTTTTCCATCTATCATCAGGTATCCTCTCTCGATCCGTCTCTTTCAGAACAAACGATTGCAACTTTGGCATATTCCTCGTCTGTTGAGCATCGAACTGTCGGGGGTCAATATCTGGAGCCACGACAATGTCGGGGATTTCTTCTGCTTCGAGTCTTACTCGCCATAGATACTCTTGTACATCTTGAGGTGGAAGATCTTGCTGCATTCTCTGTCGAATCAGCTGCACGTCCATGGCGTCTGCGCCTTTTACAGGTAGCGCTGTAGACATCATGATTGCCAAAATAATGAGCTATTTTCAAAACTATTTGAGCTGAAGGTAAATTTTGATCTCATTTTGTAAAGGTATAATAGGTCATTATCAAATGATTATAGTCCATTTGTTTTGAGCAGATCCCAAATATTGTAAATCCATTCCCAATTACTTTGATTTACAAAATAACAAACGCCTCATTTTTACATTTGGGCAACAGATGACAATCTTAGGTCAATGTATCAAAAAACCCTTGAGGCATTATATGCCAAGCAGGCTTCGATGGCTTTGCACACATCATGAGGATCAGTATCTCGAGCTAAAACAACTGAAGGATATTAAAAGGTATGTATAGCAGTTTCGCAGTGTAATTTTGATGATACTGAAGTAATACTATGTGGTGTGTAGTGAAAAGTTCTATGACTTTCAAGGGCAGAAGCGACGATATTTTTACTACATTGATTTACAGGTCAGTAATAACGAATTTATACTTGACAGTTATCGATCAGTGTCAAGGAGAGTGATGCTGATTATAATTTTGCAATCAATAGGGTCGATTGTTCCTGGAAAACACACGACCGAAGAACATTGCAACGTCTCTAAAGAGCACCAAGTTCTTGCGGTTTTTCTTTTCGCAAATTCGACGAAATGGTATTGCGCAATGCAAGTCACAGGAAGAAAAGGAGTTCTTGGAGTACCCGTTCCGATCACCGTGTGGCAATGAGATGAACTTTATCAAGTGTGCTGACCGTCCGTTCGTGTTTGAGGATCTTCGGCAAGATGATAGTGGCAAGTGGATATTAGTGTTTGGCGGTGGAGAACTTTCAATGCCCTTCCGACCGGCAACGCTTCGAATATCTGTTTCAACTGGAAGACTGTACCACGATATTCAGACCAAGCACATTGTGTCTGGGACACCTGAAGGAATAGCACTTGTGCGGTCTCAACTCGCTGTGGAACTCGGTAGACGTATCAACGTTTACCACTTGCCCGATAATGTTGACGCAGAGACGACCGTCAGTAACTTAGAAGTAGGTGAATTTGAGTGGAATAACCAACGCTATTCTATTCAAGCGATTAAATAAGCACTACAGCGGGTTAGATTAGGACACTTTCAAGTCGTATCCAAAAGAAGGCACAAAATTCCACTCAGCTTCGATAATTTTGTACATTTTGGGCTACACGAACTTCAACTTTGGTAAAAATTGCTCCAAAACTTCCATATCTTAGCAGCTTGGGACGTGGCTACATCGTTGAAACAGGCTACAGCTTACGACATAACTACAGTTTTTCATGCTGGTGTAGTAACTCTTTGGTGATCGCTTGTGCAACGATTAGCAGGCGGGCAATTTTGCGCCCCAATCGAACAAGTAAACTTCAAAGGATGGGAAGCCGTCATGCGCACAAATCTGTACGCTGAGTACTTTGTGCCATGCGACTCTACGTGAGTTTGAATCCTTATGTTTTGGCGTGTTTTTTGCAAGCAGGAACGGCACGTACATGGTCATCAAGAAGGCATATTACGCCTATATGAAGGAGCACGGCGGCAGAATTGTCAGCATTATTCTCGTGATCGACAAGGGTCACCCTCTCATGGCACACAGCAATGCAGCTTGTGCTGCTATTGAAAATCTGAGCAAGTCGCTGTCAGAGGAGTGGGCTGCATCAGTTGTGACGCTGAATTGCGTCGCTTCGGTACGGTAGGACAGGAAGTTTGACTACCTTATTGTGAAGTCTGAACCAATTGTTGATGGGAGTGGTTTGTGATATGGCATCATCTTGTCAAGTGGCGTGGACAACTAGAAGGGCGGGGCTGAGCAGTTCCACGTGGCAGCAAGAAGCGTCACCACAGCAAGAAGCGTCACCACAGCAAAGCGCGTGGGGACCGTTGAGGAAGTCGCGGCAGGCGTTTTGCACTACTTTCACCCGCTGGAGCGTATGTGACGGTAACACGATGCACGTTGATGGTGTTTGGCACCTACTGGGGCCCCTATTTGACGTGCCACACGAAAACAACCACCCGTACGGTACAGTCGACGCCAAGTTGTAATGCAGCTGCTGCTCACACAACGAAGTGCTTGAAAGTTGCTGTAGCGTTGTGTTGATCCGATCGATTGATTGATCACCATGAACTTGTCGGCGAAACACCGGACATCCATTGGTGTTGATGACCAGCTATATTCAAGTCGATTTTCCTACTGCGACTGCCGTACAGGCAAAGGGTGAAACAGGCCGCCCAAAGTAAATATAAATATAACCTGCAAGTGCTATGGTGAATCTAGTAAGCCTGAGCATGTAAACACAAAGTCAAGATAATGCCAACTTGCATCTCCACGATGCATTGATCTTTAAACAAAATCTCTCGCTTTCATAGATTGACAATCGTGAACACCGTATTACAGCGCGAATCAAACGACAGTCAGAAGCCTTCGCAGAAGTCGAAGATGGCTTTACGTCAACCGTGCAGGCTTGAAGACGTAAGTGTCAGAAACATTTTCTAGCATCTTGGGTTCATCAGTTTGACACATGACGAACATGCTGTCAATCATTTACCCGTATTCCTCCATTCGCGTCTACCAATCGTGTCGCAGTTGTTGACGACGTTCTTGCTCGAGAGCATCACGCATGACGACCTTGCCAATTACGTACACGCCGCTAGCCACCATGCCATAGATCGCAAATAAATACGAAGCTACAACACTTGCAGCGCCGACGAAACCCATTACCACGAATGCCGTCGCACTCAGAGGATTAGGCTGGTACGAGAATACCATGTTCACAAGTGAGAAGAAAAAGTAAAACAGCGCTCCCAACAGACCAGTCGTAAAGTTCATCACTGCCACAAACACCCAATTGAGGATCATACTGAGCACATCCTCATCACGCGACGACAAGACTCGAATGATTATGTCGTAGAACGTCTGCTGCTGTGCGAACATCTTGCCTCTCTCAAACGCGCTCCAGAATCGCGCTCGCACATCCGCCAGACCAAAGTCCGACCAAAGCCCGACATAGGATCGAGCCTTCTTCATCTTTTCTTCCTGCTCTCTCTCTGTTCTCGCCAGCTCAGCTGCCCATCTGTCGGCCACAGGCTGACGTTGACCTACCAACGTCTTGTACGGTTCACGGAATCGCCAGAACCAAACTTTTGCTTCAGCAGCATATGCCTGTGCTTCAGTGTACTTCGCATAAGCTTTATGGTATTCTGGCATATTAGCAGCTTCTACCACCATCTTCTCGTACGTGTTCTTCATCTCGGGCGTCACAGTGCGCAGTCCGGGAGCTAGCAGCATGAAAAAAAGACCCACAGCCCATAGTATCAACCCGACGCGGACCTTGGACGACTTTAAAGCCCTAGAAGCCACAGATTGAACCAATGCAACGTCCAAATCTGTCCTTTGATTGGCGAAACGAGCGCGTTGCATAGCATCAAATTCTAGGGGATTCACACATTGCATTTTATAGTATTAATTACTATGAACGAAGAGGCTACAAAGCTGGAAAAAGCGATAGTATATACAATGCTAGAAACGATGATATACCTGCTGCGTTGGCACTGGGGTGACCAGGTCGACGACGCATCTGTCGTGTGAAGAAGCTCTTCGGATTCGTTCTGAAATATTCGAGTTTGACGTGAAAAAGAATTCAAAGTTGTGGAAATTCTACAATATTTGCCGTAATGTTCAGCTTAAAGTGATTATTTGGGCAATAAAATAGACCTTCCGATCAAATCTTCTCCAGTCTTAGAACGTCACTCGTCCGTCCGTACCATGCAATGCAAAGCTTCTGGTGTGTTTCTTCTAGCTCTCTTGCTCCCGTATTATATCCATGGTAGCAGCATATAAGCAAAGAATGAATCATCTGATCCTATCAATGTGTCAAAGGCGTCAACGGTATTGCAAACCTTTTCTGTCTAATTGTTCAGTCTCAAAGCTCTAAAAATTCACTACGCAGCTTTAACTTGGCTTTAATATGTCAAAAATGTCACTACACTAGCACTAGAAATTTGTCACGTGACAAATTAGAAATATGCACCAACCATTTCCCGTCACAAGAGCTTCCGGTACGACGAAATACGTCTAACATGATGATCGTGTTTAGTGACGTTGAGAAATGATTGAAGGTGGGTTGTTTTTTCACCAGTGTGGAATAGCAGCAAAATACACGCATGTGTACTTCAGAAAAAAGTTCTAGACTCGAAGCGTCGAAACATCGCCAGCATATTGTAATGCTTGTGCAATACATGAGGCTCTATGCGCGAATATTGTTCTTTTTATTCTGTGTACAATTGCTGCATAGGTCAAACATTCACACCCTTTTAGTAAAGTAAGCTCGCAGTTCTCAAAGACGAAAATGATGAACGACATAAACAAAGCATGAGCAGAAAACAAACTTTAATGTCGGCTGACCTCGAAGATAGGTAGACCCTTCATCATCAAAAGTTGTATAACTTTAATATACGGGTCTGAGAGGATCAACTGCTGGAAACTTTGCCCACAAATTAACTTCACCAGATAAAGAGGTAAAGCCACAATAGCAAAGTGAGCACAAAAGTAGCAAAAACTTTCAAGAAAAAGGATCGGGATGCCGTTGTACAATGTGGAGCCAACTTCACTTCCGCCAGCAGAGCGGCACTATCGATTCGCAGCGGCGTTTTAACGTGGACACCGTTCGTCTGCTCCAGCTTCTGCTGCTTCCTGATGGAATCAAATTTCATTTTTAACATATCCAAAACTGGCAATGCCATGTTGCGCCCGGTGGCTAGCTCAAAGACATCTCGAAACTCGGTTTCAAAGTTTGATCTCAATGGCGGCCTTGCCTCCAAGTCAGTCTGCAGTTCAGTGAGAAGAAGTATGTCATGATTTGAGCGAAAACACTGGAATTATACTGACGTACCGTGACAATCGACGTGGCCTTGCTAAAAGGAGCTCCGAGACCAAGATCAAAAACTTGCAAAACAATGGTATTGAAGATCCAATTGGGAAGAGGAAGCAGCACCATCAGCGACCGCACTGAAAACAATGTAGCAGCGCTTGTATCAGGATTCGATTTCCCGCTTCCACGTCCAGACTTATTATTTGCCGCAGCGACACTTTTCAGCACAACGGAAAACAAATCGTCCATCTCCACAAGTGCCTGGAGATAAAGAAAACGCGTCTTTCGATCTCGTAGTCCGTCTAGCACGCTTCTTCCCGTCAACGCATTAATATAGTAAAAACTACGCAGCATCGTGCATCCCCATTTGAGCGCTATAATAAGCAACAAAACAATTGTAAGCAAAAGCGGAACATCAGACTAACTTTATCTGAATTATCTCGCCTTGAATGTTTTGACGACTGAGGACTCGGATTCCTGTCCCATCAAGCACATCCAGCGCATAGAGTGCTAGAGTCTTCTCCTTCCTATCATCCCACAAACACATCTATACTCAGCATGTATTATCACAAATTTTCATCAATCCCCAAGTCAACCCACGAAAGTCTTTCGACAAAGAAGCAGCCATTGGAAAGTGGCCTCAGTACATTCTTTTTTTTCGTCTAAAATCACTTGAAAAGCTGCTCCTCCATGCAGCACAACAGTGTCTGGTAATCTAAACATATCCAGTATTATCTCCTTAAGTAGGTACTATCCATTATAGCGATGTTTAATATAACTTACACTGAATTAAGTTGTGCAAGACGACGCATTGTTGTTTGTAGACTCAATACTACGCGCTTTGGCTGCTCCTTGTCCTGCTTTTTCAGCCTCTTGTGTAAGAATTTAGCGACTGAAAGCGTCATGTCCGTATCCACAAAAAATAACCACAAGCAGCATGTTTCTAGTATCTTCCAATCCTCCGATTCCTCGTAACTCTTCGGTGCTAACTCTTTGCTGTCCAATAAGACGCCATCACAACGTTGCGCTCGAGCTCCAGATTTGATCATTTCAGACCGCTTCACGTCACTATTTGCATCCATTTGCATTCCTATAAGGTACGTCTTATTGCAACGACCGCTACCAGCAACACATAGAGCCACATATTGTGCTAATTGGGCGTCTTCTGTCGAGACACCACTTGCTTTGGTATACACGACACCTACGCGAGGCAGCATACGTTTTGATGATTTCTAGTATTTTATGATTGGTCAAAATCACGTCAAAGTAACATAGAAAATTCACGAATGCACATGCGTTTCTAAGCCATTTCTAAGTGGTAGTTTTATAATTCCAACATTTCCACCAATCCACGATCGCCACTTTGTTATTCACACCCACTCTCTTATTCTCGTCCGCGTGGAAGGATCGAAGCTATGGCGGGCGTAACAAATGAACGGTATTGTACAGTGTTGCTACAACAAGTGACTGGGGAAAAAGCATTACCTACATCACAAGAAGAGATTCTTAAAGAGCTTGAATCGCCTAAGGTGGAGCTTAAAATTCGCGCTGTAAAGAGTGCGATCTTAGCGTTACTTCAGGGTGAAAAATTACCTAAAGTGTTGATGCATATTATTCGATTTTGCTCAACGCAAAGTGATCATACACTTAAGAAGTTATTAATGGTGTACTGGGAGATAGCACCTAAGTACGAACAACCACCTACGGGCGTATTACCTTCTGATATGCCCAAGATATCACCGAAATTACTACCTGAAATGATTCTTGTCTGTAATGCCCTTTTAAATGATCTAAATCATCCAAATGAATACATTCGTGGTTGTATGTTACGTTTTCTATGCAAAATCAAGGAAAAAGATATTTTGGAACCATTAAAAGACGCAATTAAGAGCAATTTGGAACATCGTCATTCTTACGTGAGAAAAAATGCAGTAATGACAGTTTATAACATGTATAATACTTTTGGCGATGTATTAATACCGGATGCACCAGAATTAATTGAACGTTTTATAGTGAATGAAACGGATGCAGGAGCTAGACGAAATGCTTTTCTTATGCTCAATGATTGTGCTCAAGATCGAGCAGTAACGTTTTTGATGAATACGATGGATCAAGTGCCGAAATTTGGTGATGGTTTTTCTCTTGTGATATTGGAAATGACACGTAAAGTGTGTCGTCAGGATCCTGCACAGAAAGCCCGTTTTGTACGTTGCATCTTTCAATTACTTAATTCATCATCTCCTGCTGTAAGTTATGAAGCGGCGTGGACGCTTGTGACACTTTCAGCGGCTCCAACGGCTATGCGTGCTGCTGCTAAAACATATTGTGGGCTGCTTAACTCACAGAGTGACAATAACGTCAAGTTGATTGTGTTGGATCGTCTTGCGGACCTCAAGAAACACCATACGAAAGTTCTGCAAGAGATTTTGATGGATGTCATGCGAGCACTCAGCTCGCCGAGTCTTGACATTTGCAAGAAAGTGTTGGAGATTGCGATGGATCTTGTTTCGGTGCGGAATATTGACGAGGTGGTGACTCACTTGAAGAGAGAGGTAGTCAAGACACAAGATAAGACGCGCGAAAAAGCTGGCGAGTACCGACACCTGCTTATTAAAGCTATTCACGCATGCGCTGTCAAGTTTCCTGAAGTTGCCAACTCTGTAGTGCACCTGCTGATGGAGTTTCTCAGCCAGCCGGATGGCGCTATGGATGTCGTGCTCTTCGTGCGTGCGATGTGCGAAAGTTACCCAGAGTTGCGCGAGAGTATTTTGCAAAAGCTGATGATCTCTTTTACTGACATTTCGCTGGCGAAGGTGTATCGTGTGGGTCTTTGGATCCTCGGTGAATACGCTACTATGCCTCGAGAAGATGGGACGGATAGCGGCGATACGTCTATATTTGAGGCTGCTAGCGCCATTTTCGGCGCTATCGGCAGTCTACCGTTGGCTACGGAAGCGATGCTCAGGGCACCCAATGACAATCCAGATGGTGCAGAAGATCCAGCCGCGACAGTTGCTGCTTATTCGAAACCTGTCACTAAGAGCGTTGTCTTAGCCGACGGCACGTACGCAACAGAAACGTCATATTCTGCACCTGCTGTGAAATCAGCAGCGACTGAAGAAGAGAATGTTCCGGGTTTACGGCGTTTGTTACTGAATGGAGACTTTTTCCTTGGTGCAGCTATAGCTTCGGCGTTGACCAAGTTGTGTCTGCGTGTGTCAAACGGCGATGTTGCAGGCGGTACTGCTCGTAATGCTGCTATCAAGAAGCTGGTTGTGGATTCTACACGAAACATGTGTGCTATTGTGGCCTATGGGCAATCCAAGGCGAGCAAGCATGAGATCGACCAAGATTCTGCACGTCGCATCCTCATGTGTGTGCGTGTACTGCTAGACCCGGCAAGCGCTCAGGCTACCCACGCGATTATTACAGAGGAATGCCGTGCTGCGTACCGCAACCTTCTCGACAATCAAAAGGCACACGAGGCAGAAGCTGCGCGTGCTGTGGCAGGTGGTGCTGATGGCCACCCGGTGGCTCATGCAGACGATTTAATCAACTTTCGACAGCTGCGTGGAAAAAAGGCCTTGGGCTCAACTGATATTGACATTGACGACGGTGCCGACATTAACCGTGCTCTTGGCCAGCAGAGTGACGGTTCTGATAACGAATATGCCGGTGGGATGCGTCACGTGCACCAGTTGACAGGGTTTGCGGACCCAGTGTACGCTGAAGCTAATGTTACAGTCCACGACTATGATATTGTGCTGGAAATTTTGGTGGTAAACCGCATTCCTCAGACACTTACTAACCTGACGGTGGACTTGTCTACTATTGGTGACCTCAAGCTCGTGGAGCGTCCTCAGCCGCATACCATCGGGCCCCTTGACCAGCGCACGATCCGCGCCAACATCAAGGTGAGCTCTACTGAAACGGGTCACATTTTCGGTACTATCGTGTACGATTCGGCATCAGGTGCTGAGAAGACGTACATTAATCTGAACGATATTCATCTCGACATCATGGACTACATCAAGCCCGCTACGTGCACAGATGCAGCTTTCCGTGCTATGTGGGCCGAATTTGAGTGGGAGAACAAGGTAGCCGTGCACACAGAGTTGTCAAATGTCTTCGAGTTCTTACAGCACGTGGCAGACAAGACGAACATGCGTTGCATGACGCCCACGGCATCGCTTTGTGGTGATACGAACTTTTTGGCTGCAAATCTGTACGCCAAGAGTGTATTTGGTGAAGATGCGCTCGTGAATCTCAGCGTCGAGAAGCAGGACAGCGGTCGTATTGGTGGTTACATCCGCATTCGCAGTAAGACTCAAGGCATTGCACTTAGCTTAGGCGATCGCATCACAGCTGTGCAGCGCAGCAAGGATGACCAAGGCAAGCGTAAGAAACTTTTTGCTTAGACGTAGCACGCGAGCGAGAAGGTGCCAATGTGAACTTGGTGATGAAGAGAGAAGGCAGCACAGTGAGGCAGATAAGAAGAGTAGTTGCCGTTGTTCCGGTTGTAATGATGAGAGAGATCAAGCACACGTAGCATTCATTTTCTTTCGTGATTGTGCGATTTACATATGTTTTAGCAACTGTAATTGTCACCCCCAAGATGTGCGTCTGCTATAATCCATGGCAATGCTGGGTTACTACGGCAAATGCTATGTCTACTTCCTTACAACATTTACATGCTTACCAAGAGACAATGCCACGATCGACAATTTCTACAGCTTCAGATACATCTTTCATTATCATTACACCATACTATTTCGATGCAAACATCCTGCATGCAGCTACGGCATACTAATATCACTCACTCGGAGAACTCCTGAGCCGCTCTACAATGTGAGGACAAGAGTTAGCGGGTCCTTCGAGGCAATCATTCTCGATGTTGTATTGCTCTCCTCGAACAAGTCGTGTCTTCATAATCGATACTGCTGTCATGGAGGCGTGGCAATGATGGCGATGCTAAAGCTCACGTCGTCCAACTCGTCATCTTGTTCTCGACTCTTTTCTCAACCGACTTCGCATTTCCATTTCTGTCGTCGTTGACTTTGTATCGTGTAACGCAGTCGTAGCAATCTTTTCAGTCGCTGGCTTGATATCCTGTTGGACTGAAACAGGAGATTGCAGACGCGGAGAGCAACGCGATGTACGTTCCACAAATTTGCCTTTGTAATAAACAGAGTAATCGATAAAGTCGTAGAACTTGGGTATCTCGCATCGCATGACGCGCTCGGGCGAAAACCGATTGCCGTATACAACTTTATTGCTACTCACTTGTGCGTCGGCAGCTCGCAAAATCGGCGCAACAAGCTTCGTTGGAAGGATCGGAAATGGGTGGGCTTCTGTAGTCAACACATAATTTCCCCTTCGAAAGAAGTGCGTCGTATTGAAAAGCAGGTAAAGGTACTTGCATGTCTCAGAAAGAAAAAAAGAAGGCATATAGTCTTCCTGCTTCTTACGCTCAATGTCACCGATACTTGCGTAGCCGCAGGAGGTCTTGGCGTACTCTTGAAGTGATTGGACCACATGCGCACCAGCACGAAGCCACGATGAGTCGTTGGTGGCTTCGTGCATATAAAGTGTCGATTCAATCAACTCTGGCCGCAGTGGATACCGAGACTTCACGGGTTTCCAATCTCTTACAGCGAACTGCTCAGGCAAAAAGCCATAGTCGCGCCAGACACGATAGAACGAGTTCATAGATTCTGCGGCACCATTCAAATCACCGACAGCAACTTGCACGCCAGGCCAAAAGGCTGCAAGGCTTTCAAAGACAATACGTTTCAAACCATTAAGACAACCTGTATGCATGGACACGTCAGCGTACCAGTCACCGTGCCTGTTATGAGCCAGCACTGACGGGTAAACTTGCATAAACATTTCCAACGATTCACGGTCACCAAAGAGCTCATACATCTTCAGCAAATACTCGTAAAAGCTATCAGAATTGGACCCTGGACCAGACGTACTCTCAGTCCATTGACCACTGTGCGTATTAATGTGCTTCCCGAGTAATCCAAATACCGAACGACGCTGGAAAAGTGCGCGCACCGCTCCTCGTGATGCGGCAGCATATTTAGGCTCTCCTGTGAGCACGCTAAGCATTGTGAACTCAACAGAGAGCGATCCAGCACCTGCAGTCGAGGCAATAAGCGTTTCATTCTCGGGCACTCCGCGTCTTAGGTTTACTGTGCCGTATGGGATCCCCGTAGTAGTATTGAATGCAGGCATAAGCCGATCGGCAAGGTCCACAGCAAGGCGTAGCAATGCATCGTCATATTCACCTTCCGGGAACAGCTTCAGGTCGGTATTCAAGGCGAAGAGATGCGCTGACAACAGCCCACCTAGTACTCGAATCGTCGTCTCAAAGACCGACACTGGAATATCTAGATCATAGTCTACATTTTCCACCACAAGCTTTACTGCTCGTTGAAATTCCGTTGCGTTTTCTAACACAGCCAGAGTGTCTAATGTATCAATCAACGTAAGCATAGGCAGTCGACCGAGTTCAAACTCGCTTCCACGACACGTCAGGGGTTGTAAATCACCATGTGGAAATGCATGTGTCATGTAGCCATTATACGCGTGATAGAACATATCTTTCACGCTCTTGACCAGCGTAATACGTTCGTCTTCCTTCATGTTCGTTAATGCTTTCGATATAAACTCATCATGCTGCATAAGTCCACATGCCACAGGTGAGCAAACAGTCATATTGTATTCGCATAATGCTTGCTCTTCCACCAAATAAATGTACGTGTCATTACCTCCAAATGTACAACATTTGATTTGACTGTAGACAACTCGATGAGCGTCTATTTCTTTACAATAATCCCCATTTTCATAGCGTTGTTGCACCATATAATCCATTTGATCTGGATTTGTCATATTCAGCAAGTTCTTCACACTCACGAATTGCATAGGGTGAGGTTTTGCTGTATCGTATACTCCTAAGAGTATACTCTCTTCTGTGGCACTGTTTTCGCTTGGATGAAATTGACGCACGTACTGATCAAGACACCATTCATAATGCCACCACATTCCAGCAACATGAAAGCGTAGACAGCGTTTGTATTGTAACTCGCTCTTTAAATGCTTTTTAAACGCTCGATGAGTAGTCCGAGAGAAGGAATAAAGACTGTTGAAATGCAATACGGTTGACGCCTTTGACACATTGATAGGATCAGACGATTCATTCTTTGCTTGTATACTGCTACCATGGATATAATACGGGAGCAAGAGAGCTAGAAGAAACACACCAGAAGCTTTACATTGCATGGTACGGACGGACGAGTGACGTGGCAAACTGAAGTCTCACAAATTATGAGCTATAAGAGTTTCATTATAACACGACAGAAATTATGAGATTGGATAGGCTGGACAATATCCTCGTCAAAATTGCTCATGTCAATTCAGCTGCAGCTTTATGGCGAAGGAGTCAGTACACTGCGCCTGTTCCTAGCGACGCATTTACGCGCAAAACAATGGGACCGACCAGATGTTAAGAAGGTAGTACACAATGAGATACACAATATACTGACGACGTGTGAATTGCGACAAATAGCGACGTTATTGGGGGAATTACGAGCCGTGGATTCGTCGATACCTTGTCTGGTGTCGCTATTGCGACATGGTAGAAAAAACATACAAGTACGTGTAATAAGTGATTGTGATGAAGAGGAAAACACAAATGAAGAGCAGAAGATGAAGGTGGAAAAGTTCAAATACTTGGCCAAACGACGTGAGAAGCTGCAGCGTCTGGACGAGGAAATGCAATACGGCAGCATGGTGCGTAATTTTAAGCCTCAGTCGGTTACAAAAGAGCTAGCGCATTACCATACAAACGTACGTCAACATTTGTCCATTGGAGCAAATATGGTGATGGCACGAGTAACCGCGTTCGTCGCCGTGTACTTTGTGGCTCGGAATCTTACTGATAACGAAACAACGGTGAGGACATGGTGAAAGATACTCTTGATTATATATGGGACTGAGTTTGATGGTGTATTTATATTGTTGCTCTTGTATTAATTTGATAGCGGCTTATTGCTGGCCTTGGTGGTGCCATTGTCATGATGGTCATTGAAATGGTATTATATATTGCACGCGCGACGAAAATTGAGAACTTTGAGCACCAGCAAAAGCAGCGAAGATGCATTTTTTAGGATGATGTACAGCAGCGGAATATTTACAATTGTGGGTCATCAGAATAAGAAGTAGCATTGAATTTCCTATGAAGTGGGTGCAAATACAGTCATGCCTCTTCATGTAAGGTCTCTTGCTGGCGACATCATTGCTCGTAAAATATTGGCTAGTATTGATGATCATAGACGGAGTTACACAAAGGTGTGTATGTTACATACACGCCTGTCACACCATTATGGTGTGGCTGTACTTTGAGTACAGTGGGTAAGTTGATGTGACCCATCGTGCAGAGAGCCACGTGGTCACTATACATGTTTACATATTAATAGGCTATAGAGCCAGATAAATAGTGACTAGCACGAAGTATAGAGTAGGTGCTTTTATATTTAGTGCTTCAAGATAAACATTGAAATAAATCAGTTCTAAACCTGCTCTAAATAGCATACGTGCTAGAGCGTTATATGGCACTTCAACCTTTCGACAAAAAGGAACTCTACCATGGACTTGGTTGGTAGTAAGTCCTAGCATAGAGATGCAAGGAACAAGTCAGCGAGGCAAGGCTGCCATAATTTTTGGCAAGGGCAGCAAGAAAAAGGGGCACAGAGTGTACATCCCAGCGGATAAGGTGGTTGTGGTTAAACAACATGCGCAAAAGCATGGAAACACTGTAGCAAATCGACAGCTCAAGTCCTACTTAGATACGGTCAACCGTCAGGAAGAGTCAATAAACAATTTTTGGACAGGTGCTTGCACCCTGAGAATTTAATAATTATGAAAATATTTATTTACCGTTTGTTAAAGGAAGAAATTGTATCTTTGTACCAGTCTCTTGGAGACGTGGTTGTTACAACAAAAAAGGCTTAAGCTTGTGAAGCTAGCCTTAAGCGTGCTATCAGTAAACGTAGTGGTCTTCGCCCTTGAGGTGGTACACCTGTGGGCGCTGTTGCGTCGGATGCTGAGAGCATCATACGTAGCGATGATAACATCGTGAATGGCGGGGATAGCGAACAACTATATACACTTGTCAATGGTTTGACCGAAAATGTTGAAGAGCCGGTGGATCTTTCAGCTATACCCGCAGTAAATGCTCTGTTAGAGCTGAACGAGTTGTCCCTTGCCGAGTTTGGCAGTGCCTTACAGGCAAGCAACATCGCCGAAGTGGTCGTTATACGGCCTGAGGAGGAGTTAAACTCCTCATCGCTTTTGGATAAAGCAGTTCTTGAAGATACCAAGAAGGCGCTGAAATACACGCGGTGGATCACAGATATTAAAGGACCCATCGAATCTTTACTTTACTCTGTTGAAAGAATATGGAGATGTCGTTTCCAAAGAACCTCGACGAGGTTTCCATCGGATAGAGGTGTAAGTTATGAAATTGACTTGGTTCCAGGCACCAAATATAGTGTGACGCGACTGTGGCTGCTGCCACGAAAACAATGTGACGTCATTTTTTTTCGTGCAAAACACGCGGCTGGCATGGTGCGTGAGAGTAAGTCTCCTCACTCTACGCCCACGTTTTGTGTGAAAAAGCCTAATGGGAAGTGGCGAATAGTGCATGCATACAATAAGCTGAATGCAGCCACTATCCCGGCTCAAACACCAATTCCTCGCAAAGATGTTCGTCAGAACAATGTGGTGGGATGTACGATATACAGTATCCTCGACTTAGTTGATGGATATTACCAACTGCTCATACGAGCTAGTGATATCCTGCTGACAGTGGTCAGCACTCCGAGCGGTATGCTCTGTAGTGATTAGTGATGCCCCAAGGGCTTTATAACGCACTTGCAACGTTCAATCGTCTAGTGACGCAGTTTCTTCGGCCCCATAGTGCGTATGCACAGACAACCTTTGACGATATATTCGTCCATAGTCGAGCCGAAAATGAGAAGAATGATGTGGAGAATCACATCGAACACCTGCGATCTGTGCTAAGTTGCATGAGGATGCATAAGTTATATGTCAATATTGACAAATGCATCTTCGGTGCGGAAGATATTCCTCTTTCGGGATGCTTAATTGGAAAGCGAGGAATCCGGGCAGACCCGTCAAGGTCAAAGCCAAAGTAGATTGGCCGTTTTTGCGGTCTTCGCAAGTGGTTGGGTTTGGCAAATTACTTGCATAAGTATAGCCACAACTATGCGGAAGTGGCTTGGCCATTGTCGAGTCTTCTTGAAGGATGTGGAATGGTGTTGGAATACCGGCACCACGAGGATTTTGAAGCCATTAAGAAGAGTCTCCTTCAGCCGCCAATCCTGGCTTTGCCTGATACTGGTCGTCCTTTTAGCGCTTTGCGTGACGCTTTGAACTTTGCCATTTGCAGTGGTCTCTTGCAAGTTGACGTTGAGGGCTGGGAACGCATCATTGAGTTAGAGTCTCGCCAGCTGAAAGCTGCAGAGAAGAACTATCCAGCTCATGACAAGGAGCTACTGCCCTTGTTAAGTTCAGGGTACACCTGTTGGGCTCAAAGCCGTTTGTGGTCCATACATATCGCGCGTCGTTACGCACAGCAACACAGTCGCCTCATCTTTCGCAGAGAATGGCTCGTTGGCTCTCCTTTTGTGCAGAGTCTAACTTCGAGGTGAAGTATAAGCCGGGAAAACAGAATGTTTTGGCTGACGCGTTATTTCGTCGACCTGACTATGAGCTTGATCATCTCACTGTTGTGAGTTTGTCCGTAGCGGATAGTATCCGTGTAGATTATGCACGCATAGGCATGTGTTGCCATTTCCAGGCGCTGGGTAGCTCAGAGTATGAAAACTCTAAGGTGGAGCTGTCACCACGTAATCGTGCGATATTACATCGATATACACTGACCGATGGCCTGCTGTACCCTCTGGGTTGTGACAGTCCATTAGTATTGTGGTGGAGCGGGTTCTCAAAACTGCGTAATGAGACCCCAAGTCACTCACTGTGCCGGAATGCCGACTGTCGAAGAGAGTACCCCGATGCCGCGTATAGACCTTCTCTCACCTTGTGTACCCGTCGTCTGGCGTGTTGCACTCTTTGGAGGACTTGGTTGAGATGTGGTGTCGGCCTTGAGAGAGGTCGACCTGGGGGGTCTCGAGTGGGTATACTTCACTCGGTAGGAGGACAGGTGGACACTCGGTCGACTAGGTGGAGGGTGGAATTATAACTAAATTCTTCAGGGGATATACTCAACCCTGGCCTTTTCTTTCCTTGATGTCTCAGGGGTGTTTACCGCTGGCCTTTACCTGCTCCCGGACCACTAGGGTAGGGAGATTGCTTCCGATAGCGGGTTGAGTTGGGGGGTGCTACTCGGACAAACCCACAGGCCAAATGTATACCGGGGTTCTTTCGCACTTGGGTCTTACCACACAACTGTCTTCGACGGGGGGCCAAAATGTATCCCTTCCCGGAACAGGTGGATAGACTTAGTAGGTACCTTGGAAGCACGACGGAGGTGTGCTATATAGATCGCAAATCGAGAAGTATTTAATATGGTCCTATAATTTAACTTCTTTACTCTATCCTTAACCCCGAGTCCTGATTCTTGATTCTGCTTCTCGAGGGGCCGAGGGGCCGGGTGACCGAGGGACCAGGGTCTACCAACGAAGGACCAGGGTCCACCTTGAAAGACCAGGGTCCACCTTGAAAGACCAGGGTCTACCAACGAGGGGCCAGGGTCAACCTTGAAAAGACTGGGTTCCACCTCGAGGAGCTGCGGTCCATCAGACTAACCTCGGTTAACTCCTCTCGAATGGAGCACGCTTAAACCGTACATTTTCCTCATCCAGCGGTCGATCCCCCGTCCCTTTTTTTAGCCCCCCTGTCTCTCTGTCCCTTACCCAACGGTCGCTCCTCCTTGGCGGGTCCCCTTCTCTTTGACCCACCGGTCCTCTGACCTACCAATTCTTAAAACGCTTCACCACAGTATAAACTATGTGTTTGCCTACCGCGCGATGCGGCAGGCAACACTGGGATTGTGGTCTCTGTTGACCGACTGAGCATGATTGGTCATTTAGCGGCAAAGCTGCTCATGGAACGTGTGTTTAGACAACTCGGAATTGCATGTGGCAGTAGTCTCTGATAGAAACCCCCCGTTTTACGGAAAATTTTGGACGTAAGTCTTTAAAGTACTGGGCAGTGGACTGTACATGTTCACGGCGGATCATCCGCAGATCGATGATCAAGCTGAACACGTATATCACGTTATTTGTGCTAAAACGCCAAAGCAATGGAGCACGATGCTCCCACTCATTGAGTTTGCGTTGTATAACGCGGTGCATGCCTCGACAGACTTCACCCTACTCTATGGGAACAATTTGGTCAATCCTCGCGTTGTTAACGCTACCTTCTGTCACATCGGGCTTAGTGGGAGAGAGATAGCCGAAGGCTTGGATAATATCAGCCCTGTTGCGATTTGCAAAAAGGTGGAAGCGTTCTTATCAACACGTTTCAACGTATTACGTCGCTTCAAAGACGCTATGGCTGAAAGCCAAGATATGTAGAAGTAAAAAGCTGATGGCAAAGGCAGACACAATAAACACGAGTTTTTACAGTGTGAGATTTGGTTTTATTAAACGCTAGGAATGTACCTTCTCGTGCAGTCTGCGGTATATAAAACCAAGCTACGTTCACGCTACTACTGATGGTTTCGTTGAGACATTGGATTTGACCAAGAAGGCTGTGTAGCTAGCTTGCCTTGTGATGCGTAAAATAGCCCTAATGACGTAAAGACCATAGATCTTGTCTTTCTCTGCACTTAACGCATTCTGTAGCTTGGCTACAGTACCCCGCCTACAGGGTGTACGCGTAGTGTTTCAGAAACCACCGAAGCGAGTTCAACGAGTCGAGGTGGTCCATGCCTGGCCAATTTAGCCTAATTTGCCACGAGCTGCGTCCGTGCCGATTGCGAGTACTGCTCCTCGACGTGAAGGAGGCAGACATTATAAACGCTACACTCAAAGGATCGCAGTCAGTGAGGCTAGAGTATGGTCTAGTCGTCTGAGTGCCATCCAAGCAACAGTTTGCAGGAGTGCCATAGGCTGACAGTTCTAGCGGATGGTGTAGAGAATTCACGCATGCGGAGCTGGGCACTGAGACTGTCAAAAAGGAGGCGCTATTGGAAGCATGTAAATTGGAGGATTCGTATTACAGCAAACAATCATTTGTATCCCCCGGTAACTTGAAGGCTTACTTGCGCCATAAATTGCTGTCTGCAACGGTTTTGACTCACTTCAATGGCGGACGGGTGCTTTACCACGCTGGACATCAGTCCGTTTCTGCTCTTTTATGATCAGCGACAAGCTCCTCGACGTCAGCCCAGTCCGGAATAGCTTCTACAAGGTAAAAACGGTAATCTTGGTGACGATAATGTTGCTCCTGTCAGAGCAGTACGACTACAAGAGTAGGAAAGTCGCGCGTACCCGCCTGCAATCGTCCTCCGACCGTCGTAGCGACCATCTGGCCCGGGCCTTGGTGCTAATACGCTACTACTGACGCTGTATTGGTTGCTCACTCCAACAGCGTCTGATTTGCCCGCGGGGATTAAAGAATCAAGAGGTCGAACCGGAACGTTGGTGATCCGTGGTGCAAGGTTCAATTTTCCGCATCCACCGGATATGGGTAACGGTTTCGACGACGCTCCTGGAGTTGCGCCAGGGAAAATGGAATAAAAATTTGTCGTTTCACTGCTTCGTTTGCCTCCGTCTGCAGTTGTAAGCGCTCCGCTGCGCATTGCTTTAGATGGCAAAAGACCGCGCCACGTTCTCAAGCGGGGTAATGTCAGCTTGTGCGACCACTATGCTCCCTGGTCCACTTCGTCGCTCTCTGAGTAGGTGCAGTATGCGATAGGGTAGTTAAGTTCCCCACACTAAAATAACATTGAAGACGGTGTCTGACGTTCTTCCCAATAGTCACAGCACCAAGCCATAGAATTCGCTCTTTTTGGAAAAGTAAAGTCGGACACCCTGGCATGGAAATGTGACTTGCCATAGATTGGATGTGGTAGAGGCTGTAGTATTGTTGTAACGTCTAAATCCGTTTGATTATTGGCAGGAGGAATGCCACAAATATGTCAATATCGGTGAGTTGTGCGACAATGCGGAGATGAGCGAGACATTTCGCCCGTCGGTGAAGCTGAGGACGTCCATCTGGACCTCGTTCATGGTTCAATTGGATTTTCGGCTCTATCGACATGTTTTTTGTATTGAGAAACATTAAGTGTGCCATCCTCGATCATCATCAATCTACTCATATTTTTGCGTGGTATAACTTTTTATGATGTAATGTAGTTACATAAAATACGGTAAGGTATTTTATCATCTAGTTTATCTTTTTTACAAAACAATGGTGTCATCTTTTGTCAATTCCATTCGTTGATTTAGCGTCTCAAATTAAACCATATTTTCAAGTCTTGTGAACAATGGCTTATTCGATCCAGACGTCGGTATTTCTAGTGTTGTTTCTGCTCTCACAGATCAATGCAATCCCCATGTTTACTTCAACTCGTACGCCTTTATTTCTTATTCGACGTGTAACAAAACGTCATGTATAATTAGACCTTACAATCCTTTCGTAATGATACTACTGTTACTACTATGATCCAGACAAGAATGTAGCTTCTGAAGCCGATCGTATGAGTTTTCAATGGTTGGATGAAGGTGTTGCGTCATTGGGCAAAATAAACAATTGGGGACAACAACAGACGTTTTGCTTTGATGAAAATGCGTCGTTGCATATCCGGATGGACCCATTAAACAGGTATATTCTTGACCTTTTTTTTCTTGCTGCTATTTGTAACAAAATGTTGACATTGAGAGCAAAAATGTACTAAATATGGTGCATTTGAATCATAATAATAATAATAATGGGGACTTTTGTAGCACATTGCAACCGACATTGATACAAACATTGGGTCAATCACGTGAAGCCAATGTATTGTTTCATTTGACAAATACTACTTTATGGTACTTGCAGAAAACTGCGTGGCCATTGCGGTCTGTATTTTGGGCTTGGAGTGAGCTGCGTGTTATTGTACAAAGTTCGAACATTCGACTCTTGAGCTTCACATTTGCACGGTACGATTTGTTGTTGTTGTTTTTGATTGTGACTACTTTTGGCAATGTCATTCACAGGTTTTTTCTTTTATTTCTTGTCTTGATTGAATATTTGCACTGTCTTAGATCGCCAGGATTACTGTGTCGTAGTGTGTTAAAAGCAACGCACCTGACTTCAGCGCTTGAGCAACATATGCCTCCATATGTGGTTGACGCAGTGGAAAAACTTCTCTACGTAGCCTGTCCGTGATTGAATGTTTTTTTACGATCCTTTCAGAATCATTGCACTAACTTGGTACTATTGTCGTTGGCTTTATTTTTTCATATATATAGCAATATTGGTGTGTGAGTATTGTGTTCGTGGCTGCCCACTCCAGTGCAGAGAATTGGAAGATGACACTTTGTGCATGCTGAAACTTAGTCCGTATCATGCACCATGCATTACGGTGACGGGTCCCGCAGAACCATTCATCGCGACGTCGACGCCAAAGTTGAGCTTTGATTTCACGTTCTTTACCTGTACGTACACTTGAGTGTATGTATGCAGTTTCCTACCCATGTTGATATGTTGTTTGCTCTCTTGTGTGCTGCAGATATATCGTGGGTATACGCACAAAATTTCTTCCTAGGTCTGCTGCTATTTTATCTATCTGGGTGGCTCTCGCGCTCTCGCACTTTTCACTACATGCTAGGTGCCGCGGTAGGAGTGTTTTTCTCGGCATTTCTGGCGCTCTATCTTTTCCAGCGTCAGGCTCGGAATGTTACCAACATGTTGCCTGGTGCCCAGCTTGTTTCGTCGCTGGCTTCTGTGGCGACAGTGGCAGTTCCAGTGACTGGCTTTGTGATTATGCCCAACCTTTATCGACTTGGATCGTGGGCAATCTCTTACCTTGTTTACGTATGGAATCGCGACATTCTTTTTGGTATCCCGCATTTGGGCAAGATCTACTTCGCCTTCTTTGCATTTTTCGGGTGCATCCTTGTTTGGTGGTACCAGTGGGGAGCCTCGGCTAAGCTAGATTCAGAACCGCAGGATGAAGAAGAAATTGAGGAGATTGGCAGCTTGGATGACGAGCTGCCGCCGCCGACGAACTTGCAGCTCATTATATCGCGTTTGCTGAAGTTACTGGGCATGACATTGCTTTTTTACAGCACGTCTTCAACAGAAGCCTCGCTCTTGCTGATTCTTCTCGTATCTATTACGCGCGTCTTTGAAATGATAGCAACCATTACGTACTTCTGGTATCATTTTGAAAAACCCGGTCGTCACAGTACTTTGATTTCGACGTCAGAGTATATAGAACAAGGACAGATTGAAACAGAGAGGGCGCTGGCACAGTTGCGGAACTACCTGAAGGAGAATCCGGACGAACTGGATAAAGTTCGAGAAGACAATGAAATTCGCCTTCGTCGTTTTACCAGAGGCCGCAACCATTTGGATACTGCCACGCAGGAGTCAATGCTTTCGCGTCAACGCAACCAGAGGCGGTCATTTTGGTCGTACTGCTCCATCCAGTAGTTGAGTGCTTCACAGTAGCAAGAAATAGAGGTGTGGTGATAATGAATAGCATTGTTTCAGCAAGCCTGCTTAGCGCGTGAACGAAGGACGTCTGGGCCTGAGTTCATGTGTGCTATGCGAGTCTAATTACGATGCTGCTTATTCATGTAATAGAAGAAACTATTCCCGCAAATACTTGAAGTGATCGTCTCACATACAACGCACATGATCCTAGAAAACCGTGGTATTGCTTTGGTCTCTTTATTTATTGTCCAGATTTGTGATGGTTGATCGATTACGCAAGGTGGCCTCAACTTCTTGTCAAATTCAACCTACTACCAGTTATCTGTACGCCGTCCTTGAGCGTCTCGCTATCTTTTACCATGCAGGTGTCCGTCATTTCGTATGCCGACTCTTCTTTGTCGGTCGTGGTCCCATGGACTCGGTATTCGCGACGAATGGTCTCTTGTAGTCGCTGCCACGAGTAACCAGTCCGACATGAAGATGACGTAGGAGTCTGAGGCACATCGTACCGAGAGTCTTGATATGTTACCTGTTCGGCAGTCTTGACTATCTCTGGCCAATCTTCGTTGAGCATGTTTTGCACAGGTCTCGTTCCTCGTTCAATCGAAACAACAGCCTTTCGAAGCGGAGGAATTTGTGTGTACTGATACCGATGGAGGATACTTGGCCGATTGGCCATAAGCATCGTGCTGATCGGTGGAAGCAGTCTCCGCGGTGGTAGAGTAAGCGCCGGGATTGGCGAGCGTACTTCAGCTGATGACCTTGAAATCGACTTTGAAGGGACTGTAATTGGTGTCGATGGAAACGAAGAAGAATGTGAAATCATCTTGCTTTTGCAGTTCGCTGTCGACGTTGTGGATCGCCCGCCATGAGCAAAACAGAAGCCACCCTTGCGTGCAGTGGTTGTACAACCTTCAAAGACACATCGCTTGCCACCGCCGTGAGCAATACAGCGACCTCGACTCACAGCACTATTGGCACATTTTTCCACTACGCATCGTCGTCCTCCTCCATGCGCTTTACACAATCCCAGACGCTGCGCACTACTAGTGCAGCCGCTAACAGTACAGCGCTTTCCACCACCATGTGCGATGCATCTTCCGCCGGTCTTTGCACTACTAGCACAGCCATCAACTGCACAACGACGACCACCTCCGTGAGCGCGACAACGAGCACCGCTCACAGCACTACTTGCACATCCGGTCACTTGACAGCGATGGCCTCCACCGTGCGCGATGCAGAGACCGCCCTTCTTGGCGCTGGACCCGCATCCTACCCGTTGACAACGTCCGCCGCCTCCGTGAACATAGCACAGACCTCGGCTTTGTGCACTACTCGTACAATTTGGAACTTGACAACGCCTTCCACCTCCATGCGTACGGCATAGCCCACCGGAAGCCACATGCTTGTTGCAACCTTGCTCGCTGCACTTCCGTCCGCCACCATGTTGCACGCAGAGTCCACGAGTCACAGCACTGCTAGTACAGCGAGGAGAGCCACGACATCGTCGACCTCCACCATGTCCCACACACAAGCCACCGGATACGACATGCTTCATGCAGCCTTGTATATTGCAGCGCGTTCCTCCGCCATGCGTTACGCACCGTCCATGACTACGTGCTGTGTTTAGACATCCCGATGAGCGACACATATTTTCTGCGTTGTGCAAGTTGGACAAATCTTCAACTGCCGCATTGTCTTCTTCAACATCATGTTCATGTTCATCGTCGTAGTCCGTCTCGGAAGTGCTTGGATTTTCCGAAGGCCATGTGTCCATAATGTCTTGTTCGCCAGTGGAATGCGAAGCTGCATGCAAAAGGTTGCCAAACTTTGGGGTATCACGCTTGGCGTCTCTTTTTATCATATCATCTTTACTTGGTCGAGCCATGGGTTGTGTACTGGAAACGCTCCAATTGTTGTGACTTCTGGAAGCTCGCAGTCTTGAGCTCCGTCGCAACAGCTCAATTGAAAAATGAAAACGTCTTTCTTGCTTTCGTGGAGATAGCAATAAATTGCGGCGAGACTTGCAAGAAAGCTGCAAAAAAGCTGGGTGAGCGACGTGCGTAAAGCCGATGGAGGTATGAAATCATCGATAGAAAGTGCCTTGGGAATTGCGGTCAGGGACGCGACGAAAAACAGTAAGGGGGTTCTTGTAAATAGAAAGATGGTTTGAGACTGCCAGGTTTCGCTGGCGTATGTCTGGCGGAGTAAAAAAATCCTCAAAAAGGTTAAAATGGTGCTGTCCTGTCCCGGATGACCGTTGTTGTCATCAATGATAAGTCCCGACCTTGAGCACTTTCTACGCAAGTCCCAGAGCATCTCAACGGTAGAAGAAGAAAAGAGTCAACGAGAACAAACATTCAGGAATGAACAAGTAGAGAAAGGAAGCAGAAAACTACGTTGCTTTAGTCGTTAAAACTACCCACAAACTTCCTCTTGTGTCTTCATCTTTTTCAAACGGAAGTCAAAAGTTCTTCCAGTCTCCTGGTAGGAAGACATTGTCGAGTTTAATCTTCTTTTTCAACTCTCACCTCGAGCATAATTGCACTTTTACGGTTTTGTTTGGCAAATTCAATGGGAATCTCGAGCTTAAACATGAGAACTTCCGACTCGATTTGATCGCTAAACTTGCTCAATGGTACGGTACAGAATCCGATTTTATCATCTTTTGAAAACCGATCATGATCAAATACTTGAACATCTAATACATCGGTATTTAGATCATTAGCAATGAAATAAAAGGTTTCTTCAGGTTTCCATTCCGGATTCAAAGTTGCAGGAATGATGGAGCTTTGACGGGTTACAGTTGCAACTTTAAAGATAACGTAGGGATCACTTTTCCCATTCAAATCAGCCGATGGAAGATCTACAGCTTTAACAAGTGTCACGTGTACAGCATACATAGTATTGGATGAAAAGAGAGAGAGAGAGCAACGGATGGATAGACAATAGCTCACGTGTCTCTTTCGAATTGAGTTATACGATGTTGTTATTGTACCCGACAGACGGGTGTAGTAGTAAGTCTTGATAAACTGGTTTGATTAGTTCAAGATTTTGAAAACGCGATCAATGGTACCGAACAGTCGGTAGCACTAGACGATAGACTAACCGGTTAAAACGTGAAACATGTGATAAAATTCCAACGTGGTAAAATTGACGAAAAATCCAATTAATTTCGTTTAATTGGCTGCGACCAGAAAATTGAAAATTTGTGACAGGACACTGAGTGTCCAATATGTCACAGCCTACTACTATATTATATTCAACATGAATGATTGCGATGGAGCACGACGGCAAGTGGACGATAATATTTGACGTCAGTTACTCAATACAAAAGCAGTCTCTCCGCCGTATGGCAAAAAGACAAGTCAACGCTACTGTTGTCTGTATTTGTGAGCAATACATGAGCTCTGCAGTATAATGATGCATGGCATCAAGAAGAGGATAGTAAACTTATCAGATGATATTCGTGAATATTTATTGATAATATTATGCAAATGCCGTTAAACTTGACATTTCATAACGGGACCACTTTTCAATGTCGCTTTGCCGAATTCTAAATATTCAACTTGACAGGATCGACGAAACTATAGCCCACTTCACCACGCAATATTTAATTCCATTATTCCACCTATCCCGTTGGTTAAAATTGCAATGGTACGTGCTCTATACCTATTTGGTACCACGTTAGCGTAAACACAACGATTTTTTTCTTGATTGTAACATTCGCTCGACATTCCACACGAAATAGAGTCTCTCTCTTTTCTTCTTGTTCCTTTTTCAAACTAGAAAATCAATTAGACTAACTAAACGAACTCCCTGACGAACAAACAATGAGTGGAATGTATACATTACAAGTGACGTTAGTATGTGCAGGAGATTTACCAGCAAGTGATTTTGGTTTCTTAGGTATGGGAGGTAAAAGTGATCCGTATGTTGTATTCAAGATTGGACGTATAAGTCAAAAGAGTTCAATCGTACCAAATAGTTTAAATCCACGTTGGGAACCTGCTGAAACATTTCAATTTCAAGTTGAACGTCCGAAAGAAAAGTGTTTGGAAGTTCATATCATGGATTATGATCGTTTTATGAAAGATGATTGTATTGGTCATTTGAATCTTCCATTAGCACCATTTTTGGAAACGAAACAATCGGAAATTGTATCATATGAAGTAGAAGTACCACCTGATTATGATAAACAAAAGCGTAAATCCGTAGTGTTTCTAGAGATTACAATTATGCCGAATGAACAAGTAGATCAAGTACTGGAGCTATGGGAAAATCAACGTTACCATATTGTTAAGAAATGGACAATTGATACACATATTGCTGGTTCGACTGAACGGAAACGATGGAGTTCAATCACGGATGCGAATATCTCGTCCGATGCATTTGAAGATGTTGCGCCTAAAGTACCAAGTCATCTTCATGCTGAAGGCTGGACACTTGATGTCTCACAAGGAGATGATAATGGCTGGATTTATGCGCCGTCATTCGCTGGACCATGGCAAAAGGATCCATTCACATTAGCTATGGTCAGACGACGTAAGTGGATTAATAGATGCACGGCTCCGGAGCATAAGTAGAAGATTGGTCTGGATGTATCTATATTCGTGTAGAACTGAGCAGTGGAAGGACAAGTGCATTGATTGGAAAACATCCGTGCATCATACATGGTGAATTGAGGTGTCAGCTACTAGTACCGGTGGGAGTCGAATGCTTGTTGCTGTGAGAAGATCTTGATGTTATTGATGAAGTAAGCAAAGACTTCATCAATAACATCAAGATCTTCTACAGCAGGACAACAAAATGAATAGACGCGCATTTTGTAAACGGAGGGTGAGAGTAGGAATGAATTGTTGAAAAGACATGAAGCTTGTGGCTGTATCGTATAGAATGAGAGCAGTTTTGTCCATATGTCCTTACTTCTTTTCCTTTTCTATCACCAAGAGCAACGTTTTCATGCAAATGCCTTGCTCCACATCTTCTTTTCCTTTTCAAGCTGACGGCGCAAGCGTTCCTTCAGCCGTCCGTCGAGCGTAGCGACAGCACGGTCCTGTGGTGATAGAAGCAGAGCCTCTTTGACGTCATCTGCCGCAAGCTCCAACTTGTTCTCCTTTTCGTACGCCACAGCGCGGCGGTAGAGCGCCTTCACGTTCTTGGCATCCAGTGCGAGTGCTTCATTGCAGTTAGCTACAGCCTTCGTGTAGTTCTCCATCTTTAGATAGCACTGTGCGAGGTTCAAATACAGGCTGAGCTTGATCGCATCCACCTCCGTCTTGTCAGAGTCAGAGAGGTCGAAAAACTTGGAAGCGTGAGTCAAAGCCTTCACGTAACGTGCAGCCGCATGCTTGTGGTTGCCATCACGGAAAAGCTCGTTGCCCTCTTCTTTGTTCTTGACGACCATTCGCATGCGTTCAGGTTTCTTGAGCTTACGCGTATCGTGGTCTTCGTCGCCACCCTCAGCCTGACGCTCCACCTCAGCCTTTTGTGACTCGTGCTCAAGCTGCTTCTCCAGGGTCTGTTCGTCGGCCTGAATAGCTGAAAAATATGCCTCGCAAGCGGCACGGACTTCAGTCTTAATCAACTGATGCTGCGCCTGGATCGTTTCAAGCGTAGCCGCTTCTGCATCCTCAGAGTAGATCCAATCCTCAGCAGCATCCAGCAATGGGTTTAGCTTGGAAGTGTCAAGCTTGTCTCCATGCTTGCCGCTGCTTTTGGATCGCATCTCATACACAAAGGACTCGATCGCATTACGCTCGTGAGAAATTGCGGCCAGTTCCGCATCACGTGCTTGGAACTCCTTTTCCAAAGCAACATACCGGTCAACATCCATTGCATCCTCGTCAGCTTCTGCTGGGGTTGCAGCTGCAGCAGCGGCCACCTCACTCGAAAAAGCCGCACCCAGCGCAATGGCCGTCGTAGAATCCAGCATGCGACCGATGAGTGCACCATTACGCTGCTGTTCGGCAGGGAATACCTCGATGATAGCCTCCTGAACGAACGGGATACGAGTGCCACCGCCCACAATCTCAACCGACGCGATGTCAGCGCTGGCGACGCTCTCCGTTGCAGCTTCCAAAGCCGTCTGCATCATTTCTATGATGCGTGAACGTTCAGCAGCGCACAGCTCCTTAAATACATCGCGCGTGATGGAGATGTTAATGTCCTTTTCAGGAGCAAGGTTTTCCACAATCACGCTAGCTTCGCCAATAGTGGACAACAACTTTTTCAGTTTCTCGCAAGCCTGAAACAGACGCTTTCCCTCCTTCGAGTGAAGTGATACACTCAGTCCGTGCTTCTCCTGTACCTCACACTGAAAATGCTGAAAAAGCCGTCGGTCAAAAGTCTCCGAGCCAAGATTTAAATCAGCCTCAGTGGCCAGCACCGTCTCACCCTCGGGGGGTTAGCTTTACTACTGCAACACTAGTGCTGGTGTGACCCATGTCGACAATCACAATGTGGCGGGTAGTTTCAGCCTCGTTCATCGACACATCCTCATCAGTAAAAGAGAAGGCAAGCGATGAAGCTTTTAAAGGGTGTTTGCAATGGAAGCAGCGTGCCAGCGCCGCATCACGCGACATGATCGCCAAACTCGCGATGCCTGCAATCTTTGCAGCAACACGAACTGAGCGCTTTTCTTCCTCTCCCCATACCGATGGCACAGCCAATGTCACGTGGAACGCTTCACCCTGAAAGCGTTTCTTCATTTGCGTTACCAAATTGGCAAACAGCATTCCTGTAAGCTGCTCCATCGTGAACTGTGTCTTTCTGCCGTCCTTTCCATAGTCCACAGTAGCCACTACGTGATCAAATTCGTCTACCTCAAAAGTAGCTTGTTGACCAGGGATCCGATCAAGTTGATGTTGCACGTCCGCCAATTGGCGCTTGCCTACAAGTCCAGATAGGAAGCCGATAGTGTTGCAAGGGTTCGTACTGGATGACAGCACAGCTGATTCACCCACAAGGCGCTCCTCACCCTTGAATGAAACTAATGAGGCTGTGGTCATTGCACCAAGCTCATTGAGCACTACGTCGCCGTTGTTTTCAGCTACAACGCATCGTTGCGCGCCCTAATTGCGTAAAAATCAATATTCAAAAGAAACGAAAAGCGTTTTATCAGTAAGTAGAGCGAGTTCAAGCACACAAAAAGACTCGTTACGATTGCATGAACAAGGACTAAAAGATCACATACAAAGTCAATACCAAATACGCGTAAGGGCTGCGTCATTGTCATTCGAATAAGGTACTCAATCCTTGGGATACGTGCAGATTTGATTTGAATGCTCTCGAAAACTCTATTTTACGTTCACCACAACTTCGTGTTTGGAACACAAACGTAACCATCGGGTACGAAAAAAACCTGGTACAAATAGTGACCATCACTCCCAAAATAGGTTCGTAGAGGTGAAGCCCAAATCTCCAGAAAAATGATACAAAACGTTGATAATATGGTATCATTTATCTTTCCTTTTTACCCATTTCTTACCTCTTGCATCTGATATAGCACGCCATGCCCAGCATTTGTTTATCCATGGAAACGTCGCAACGACTTGTATCCATGTTGAAAACTTTTGCACGAGGCCGTGCCACAATTGAGGAGTTAGAATACACGGCAGAATTGCTCATTGCAATCTTAGAAGAAGAAGAAGTGACGGTTCAAGACCGATCGAAGCTCGTTGCTGAGTTTGTTGAAGTTTTTGACGAGACAGAGTTCTTGGATGTATCTCATGTATCTTCAATTGCAAAGGAAGCTGTAGGTATTTTATTAGGTGAAGAAGATGGTGATGATCGTCAGGATATTCAAGAGACTTACACAGATAACAAGAGACGTCTTCTTCGCAAAGAGCGACTAGAGACGCAGTTTGCTATTGGAAAGACGTGTTTAGTTGTGTTAGAGGAGGATCATGCGTGGCATCCAGCACGGATTACCAAGCACGTTCAAGATGACGATAGTGACGACGAGAATACAATGACCGTCGATCGTCCTATTGTAGTGGAAGTTGAATTCATTGAGTTTGGCAAGAAGCAGATTGTCCAAGAGGACGAAGTGGTGATGGATGAAGACGTGGCTGGGCGAGAAGAGGCTGAAGATATGACGGGATTGTGTGAGATGTGCGAGCGTGCTATGAATCTGACGGCCCATCACTTGATTCCGCAAGTTACTCACTCAAAGTATTTGCGCAAGGGTTACACGAAAGAGTTTCTCAACACGTGCATCATGATTTGTCGCCAGTGTCATAGCAAGATTCACTCCGTTGAAGATAACAAGACTCTAGCAAGCGAGTACAACACCCTCGATAAGATTATGCTGCACCCAGACGTCATCGCTTGGGTTGCATATGCCCGGAAGCAAAAGGCTCGTATCAAGCCTCGGAAGCAAAGCAAATGGCCCGTAGGCAAGTGAAAGTATCGGGCATACTCTCTTGTTAACCTCGAGCTGAGTTGACGCGAGTTGATGATATCTTTGGTATGTTGCATGTTCGCTGGTAGGACTGCTGTCTGTACAAACACCCTCAGTCGCCACGTTTGAGCCCATGTCAATCAGTATTGGAGTTTTGAAGACGGGCTAGCATGGCTTCACCTCAATGGTGATGAGTTCAGAATCCGCATTGGGCTACATCATTTGTCCTCACATGACGACAATAATATAATAGATGTATGAGGTATTGATACAGATAAATAGAAGGTCTTACGTTTCGAAACGGTGTGAAGGAGTAAGTTGTCTAGCAACCGTAACAGTTTGTCAAAGTGACAACGTTGGCACAGCATGTTCATGAACAATACTGAACACAGAACTGAACTGCGTCAGTTTGTCCGAGCTCGACGCTACTACAGAAACATTTGGTCTTTTGCTCAAGCGCGTATTGCAAGATACATGACAACAACAAACGATTCTACCGACCAACAGGTCTATGACGACACACTTTGCTAACAACACCATTACTGAACAGGTTGCTGCTGTACCAGTGCCGTCGTCCACAACGTCTCTAGCTCGAGCCCACAAATGCATGTATGATTGATGCAAGGAATACAACTCGCTGACGTTCTTTTCTTGCTTTAAGAATTGTTTCATATAAAGATGGAGGTTCTAAGTGAATGATATTATGCAGTAGGTGCCAAAGTTCTCGACCAACCTTGCGTACTGCTTTGCATTGAAGAAGCGCAATTCCAATCGTGATACCAACGGTGTTATCCACTAGCAGATAGACATGTCAGTATGCAGGAGTAGTACGGTGATAACAAATGAACTGAAAACAAGCTGACACTTTAATCCTATCTGTATTTGCTTGGTGTGATTCTTCCTTGTTACTGCAGCCAACTACGATGAGGACTTAGCCTCATCGGTTTTTCCACAATGTACACACAGATTGCACGCTTAGGCATTTTGCGCGACCTCCGCAATCGACTGTGCAATGTACTCAACGTTCTTAGTCGTCACACCTGCCATGCTCACGCGACCATCCTTGGTCAAATAGATATGGTGTTTTTCAATCATGCGCATCACCTGGGCCTCCGTTAGTCCGGTGTAGCAAAACATGCCAATCTGGTCCGTAATGTGGCGCCAGTCCGATTTGACTCCGTTGGCCTCATCTATCTTCTCAATAGCTGAGCGAAGCGCCGTGCGCATGGAGATAATGCGGTCAGCCATGCCCTTGCACTCGCTGTACCACTGCTTTTTAAGCTGATCGTCCGATAGAATCATGGACACGATCAGTGCGCCGTGAATAGGCGGGTTCGAATACATTGGGCGGATGATAATTTTGAGCTGAGACTGCACACGCTCGGCCTCCTCCTTGCTGGCGGTGACGACGCTCAGAGCACCCACACGCTCACCATAAAGACCAAAGTTCTTGGCGTATGACTGCGACAGAAAAATGTTGTGACCCTCCTTGACAAAGTGGCGAATAGCAGCAGCGTCACGCGTAGCGTCGCCCGAGGCAAAGCCCTGGTAAGCGCAGTCAAAGAACGGAACGTGCTTCTTGGCCTTCATGACGTCAGCAATCTGCTTCCATTGCTCAATCGTAGGGTCCACACCCGTGGGGTTGTGCGCGCAAGCGTGCAGCAAGAAGACTGATCCTTCGGGAGCCCCCTTCACGTCGTTCATGAGACCGGAGAAGTCCAAGCCACGTGATGCAGGCTCGTAATACGTGTAGCGACGCACTTCCATACCGGCATTCTCCATAATAGGAATGTGGTTGCCCCACGTCGGGTTGGGCAAGTACACGGGAGTGTTTTTTCCCAAAAATTTGGAGAAGAACTCACCAGCAAGACGCACACCGCCCGTGCCAGAGATGGTCTGCACGCCAGTGATGCGGCCCTCCTTTAAAGCCTCACTGTCCTCCCCATAGGCAAACTGCAGCGAAAGGTCCACAAAATTCTTCATGCCGGCAATACCCGCGTACTCCTTGTTCTTGCCAGCCGCCATAATACGCTTCTCGGCCTCTAACACTGATGGTAGCACATATGGCTTGTTGTCATCGTCACGGTAAGCACCTACACCAAGTGATATCTTGCGCGAGTCCGTGTCCTATATAGTCGATACCAATGACATCAAATCATGGTTAGTTTTAGTCAAATGCGTATCTTGAGGACTCATTTTGTACCTTGTTAAAGCGCTCAGTAAGACCGAGAATAGGATCAGCAGGGCCCATGGGTACACTTGCAAGCCAATGGCCAGTCGCAGCTTTGGTTGCAAAATTGCGCGTGGACTGGAGAAGAATATTGGGGTTGAGCATATTAATGCACTGATGGATTTTCAAGAGTGGCCTACAGCCGCCCAACCCTCAAAAGCGCTCTAATCAGGTCTATATATATTTTCACTGATCTTCCCATCCACTAGAAGTTATTTGTGGTATACATAGAATCGATAAATTTGCAAGCGAAAAGTCAGTCGTGTTTATTTGTTTTGCAGGCATCTTTTTGTCTTGGTCGTCGTCTATCGAAAATATTGATCAATCGACACTTTTCAGATTTTCAGAGAATAAGGTGTCGTCTACCTAGATGAAGTTACTTGACTTGCTTGAGTTTCTAGAGCTCAGTAGATACATTACTACGTTTTTTAGTTACTTAGAAAGTTTATTTCGTGTCGGAGAGACTATGGAAACGGAACGACAGTTAAACAACGTTTCTTCGTTACGTTTTCGTGATAATTCTGGACGAGCTTCATGCTCACACTTGGTGTTTACTTACCAAACGCACACACACGTTTGTATTTATCGTGTATTCCTGTCTCAACCGTATCAATTTGACACATGGTTTTGTTACGAATGGCTTTTTCTTGCCCGCAAGTTGAGGTGTTGCCCTGTGTCAAAAATGAAAATGAAGACGTTTCTATTTCGCAGACAATGCAAAGTTCAGCAGGCCAAATTGACCACCACAAACTGCATAAAGGTATACAGCTCTGTCTTATGCTAAAGTTTGCAAGTTTTCATGTTCAAAATGATATTCTGGTCGCCGCTAATGACACTCTTCCCGTTGGTTCTTTGCTGGAAACTCAATGGGACAGGATGGGAAGGGTGACATTTACAGTCTAGACTGTCCTAAATACAAGTCAAAAATAGTTTCCGTGACAGAGAAATCGGACGCAACAAAGATAAAAGCAACACCGACATGGTTATAACCTACGCATCAAGCACTCTGCCAATTTGGCATACACATGCACGCGCCGCGTTGGTACCGCATAGGGACCGAGGAATCGCAGCACGCACGACATATCACAGACTAACTCGGGCAGTTCCTACGTGATCTCCCTTCCTTTGTCGTTCCTCCATCCTGACAACAAGAAGGAAGCCGGCGCATCTCTGCCCCGTTCGATTGAAGCGTTACGATTGGTGGAGATGCAAGCCTCATTTTTCTGTCGTCTTCGTGAATTATGCGCTGATTGGCGGAGTTTTACAAACGTGCGTTTGATTTCAAGCTCGCAAGTTGAATACCCTTACAAAGACCAAGTCAAACGCCACTTCAACGGCCTGTCCGAGATTTGTTGTTCGTATTCATACAGAGCATACAACCGAATTTCCAGTCCAGCTCACAAGTCGCAAACCTCATTCTCCAATCTACAATGCCGTCCGCTCCATCTTCGAAGAAAGCCAATACCGGTCCTGGTTATTATGACCTGATTAAGGAGGCTGTGATCACGCTTAAGGAACGCACAGGCTCATCGCGTCACGCCATTGACAAATTCGTGGCTGCTAAGAAGGGCGCCAATTATTCCAAGTCTCGTCTGAACATTGCACTCAAGCGCGGAGTCGAGTCCGGTAAACTTGTGCCTGTAAAGGGTTCGTTCAAGCTTGCGGCTGAGGAGAAGAAGGTAGCAGGTAAAAAGCCCATTGCTAAGCTTCCTGTCAAGAAAGCTCTTGCTCCAGTCAAGAAGGCCAAGCAACCTACTGCAAAGAATACATCGACAAAGGCCAAGAGCGCTTCGATCAAGAAAGTGATCAACTCATCTGGTAAGAAATCTTTGAAGTCAGTCAAGAAGCCTGTAGCCAAGAAGACTTCAGCTAAGAAGGTGTTGACCAAGAAGCCTAAGACGACCAAGAAAAAAGTTGTAAAGAAGTCAGCTGCAAAAAAGGCCAAGTCTGCAAAGAATTAAGCGTCACATCTGTCCAATCAACGACTGTCAACTCACTACCATCGTGTTGTTTGAGACATTGTTGTCTATCGTCGCGACTGCCCTTTATTCTTATTATTCCTTTGGAATTTAATTCAATTTGCCTTAGTACATTACTTCTCATTTGTATACGTGGATCACGCGTCTAGTTGCTCCTTGTTATTCTTTCTTACCTTGCGCTTGACGTCATAAGTTTCGGTCAATGGCTTTGATTTGTGTTTTTCGTGTCACAGATCGTCGTCCTTTGCACTCGGACTATTCGTACTGCTGAAGCGTTTTGTATGCATGCACACACCCGTGCTTACATCTGTTTGCTAGAGGTTACACACGGCTGAACGACTCTTAGCTCGTGCTCAGCCGCTCGCACCTTTTCGGGCTCATGATAATGACTTGACCAACTTTTTCGTCGCGTGCATTGTTTTTAGCTGTTCAGCGTATTTTTGTGTTCGTCTAAAGCCAGATACTCGCTTGCATACCGCCTTTTTCCTTTGCAACTCCTAAGTTGCATGTAATGCGCTTTACGTGTTCGATTAACGGGCCTCTACGGCATTACAATGGGCCGAAAAACATCGACGGGTACACCCGCTGTCCGGGACTACCTCGTCCCCGGCGTTGTTCACGTAGGCACCTTGTCGACCATCAAGTTGAAATAGTCCGTCTGTTCGTCTCTATTTACGTGGGCGAGCTTTTCCTGCGTTGCTTTATCAATAGCATCTCGTTCCACGTCTCCTCGGCATTTTCTGCAATAGATGCAATGTAAGACAGCTGCTGTGATCGGCGAGGCAACGTAGTGCAATCCACTGTCTATCGTGCATGAGTGAGATCAAGTCGTCATTTGAAGCCGGTGCTACCACAATAAACTTCAATTCGTCTTCCACGCTATGGCACAGTGAGTGTTGCGGTCTTTACTGTACGTTTGGCTATTGCCACAATTGTCATAACTGGGATTAGTCAGTCATGTCAAGAGTGGTCCTCTAGATACGATTGAAACGGTCAATTTTACTTGATGAACGACAAAATCAATGACCAAAATTTGGCTGGGAGCGGTCTCTCGGAACCCGTCATGAGTGCAAGAAATACTGCGCGTGATCTTTCTTTTGGCATTTTGCTGATGCTGCAAACATGAAATAGTATACTTGCCAAACCTACTGTAGCAATATCAAATGACTGTAGACAGTGCAGTGTCTCCAACACAAATGACACCTCGTTGCACCGAAGATAATCAAGACGTCTGCCCCAGATGCACTACTATGAATCTCGGACAATCAAATGCGTATCATTACGACAACACTTTTACTTTTTGCAACAGAGACGTTTGAAACGTCATCCTTTGCGCGTGCGCTGATATCGTAAAAGAGCTTCAACTTGTGATGGGAAAACTGGGACCGTGTGCATCCAACTGCTGCATGATTGTTTCCCTCGCTACTAAACATTTTAAGCTACTGTGTAAGGCTGGTTTTAATTCCCCCGTGTTTTCTTCACTGAAGCTTCAGTGCAAATATTATAACCACGTCAGAGGACCGCACTTACATACAACAAGATTCCACCAAGATCGACTGTTTGTAGCTTAGGAAATCAAAAAATTGCGTTTGACAGTGATTACAAAGAGGTTTTTACCAAGTCGGTTGCTGTCAATCTCGTTCAAAGTAAATTGGCTCACAACGAAAGAGTTAGATCAGAGTGCATGATCTAACTTCTCGTTGTCAGTTGATCATTGTATTCAGTTCGATGAATGAAAATGCAGACAAATGAATACCAGGGTGTATACATAAAACTGAAGCAAGTGCAATAGCATGACGACGTCCAATATCTATGTGAGGTGCTGCAAGAGTTTTCTGTAGAAAATTGTATGCTTACTTGACACATTTATAGCACGTCGTTTCATGTTGAGGAAAGTGTAACCTTCTTGCATGCTAACGGCGTGGTTAAAGCAAGATCGGTCAGAACAAACTTACTGTAAAACCGATTGAGGCAATGCTATTTTCGTTTTGTGCGACATTTAGTCTTTTATTTATTATAGTCTAATGTATGACCAAACTTCAAGTCGTCGCTCTTCTGATTGCGAAAAGCATCCATCTGTCATACTTGAGCCTGATGTGGTACACACAGTACTACCGCCACTTGAAGTTTGACCTGTCAGTCACCGATTCTTTGTAATAAAACATTAATGCTCCGTCAACTTCGCCAACCTCTGTATGCTTCTTATCGCACTTGCCTGACTGCCATATGCGATTCCACACGCTCGATGGTGACTTGTAACCTTTCTATTGTTGAGTGTATAATCTATAGCACTAACATAGAGATATGCTGTTGAATAGTCGTCGTCAAGCAGGGAAATGGATCTGTTTACACCAACCGAAGAACATGGCGCCTTGCGCAATATGCTTCAGGGTTTTGTGAAAACAAAAGTGGATCCTCAGGCTTTGGAGCATGATCGCGAAGAGAAATTTAACATCAAGCTGTTCCGGGAGCTAGGGGAGCTGGGACTACTGGGCCTCACGGCACCCGAAAAGTTCGTGCTGCACTATTTCACATGATCCTCACAGTTTTTTAACTTCTTCCTGATTATTATGTTGTATTTTACCTTTATAACAGATACGGTGGATCAGAGATGGATGCACTTGCGGCTGTAATTGCACACGAAGAGCTTTCGTCTAGCGATCCAGCCTTTTGTCTTTCCTTTTTAGCGCACTCGATGCTATTTGTAAACAACATTGCGCGCAATGCGTCGGACGCTCAGTGTCTCCAATATCTACCTGACGCTTGCTCAGGCAAAAAGATCTGTGGAATGGCTATGAGTGAGCCTTCCGTCGGCACGGACGTCCTAGGCATGCGCACAACGGCAAAGAAGTCCGATTGTGGCAAGTTCTACGTATTGAATGGAACCAAGTACGTGGTACTAGATGATCGTGTTACATTGCGTTGTACATGAAAAGTAGAGAAGTTCTCACGCGGGTTGTTCGTTGCTGTTTGTGCTGTCAACGTTCAGAATGTGGATTACGAATGGAGCTCTAAATGATACTGAATTGGGTGACACTTTCTTGGTTTATGCTCGAACTGACACAACGGGGAAGGCAAAGCATGACTTTTCGTCCTTTATTGTGGAGAAGGGTTATGAAGGATTTTCATTGGGCCAACGCATCAAGGACAAATGCGGCATGCGCGCGTCCAGTACCGCGGAGCTGGTATTTGAAAACTGTATAGTGCCAATTGAGAACTTGATAGGCACCGAAGGCAGTGCTGTGCTCTGCATGATGCGTAATCTCGAAATCGAGCGCGTGACGTTAGCTGCTATGAGTTTGGGCATCGCTAGACGCTCGCTTGAGGTAATGAGCAGTTATGCGAAGGAACGTGAAGCCTTTGGCAGACCGCTGAATAACTTTGGCCAGATCCAGAAGAACATTGCCGAGTCGTATGCAGAGTACATGGCTGGGCGCGCGTACGTATACAACACGGCAAGGTGGGTTGAGTCGTATGGAATACCTTTGATGAAACACATGTCAAAGCTGTGCTGAAAGCGCTGGACGTGTTTGACATGTTTGGGTTCTCATAGGCAGCTCAAGCTGGATTCGGTAGGCAATCGCGTCGATACGGACGGTGTAAAGCTCTATTGCGGTGACATGGCGAAACGCGTCGCAGACCGCGCAATCCAAACGCTGGGCGGCTACGGCTACGTCGGCGAGTACAACGTCGAGCGCCTCTGGCGCGATTCAAAGCTGCTGGAGATTGGCGGCGGCACCAACGAGTCGCACCATAAGAACATGGTGCAAGACCTCGTCCGTAACGCATTCTGACCACCACATCATGCAAAGGTCTGCTTGTGACGGACGATATACTTGATAAACGACAAAGAGCTAACCCAACGATGAGCGCTTTATCTTGTCGATAAAATCCATTTTTTGGAATATGGAAAAGTTTCAGTCGAAATTAGAAAATCTTTTGACAGAATGGTCTTGCAATGTTTGCTAGTATACATTATTACGGGCACTCCGTATACAAGGGTATACTTTGATACGAGGGTTTGGGAAACGTTATGATAATAAAAATCAAACACATCCCTCTATAAGAACACAACGCACGTGGCGACATGTGAATGGCGCTTTTTTAACCTGTAACTTTGAGTGGTGACGACGGTAGCAACCTGCTTCTGTTCCTCGTCCCGCTCGTTTGTCAACCTGTTTCCTGTCCTACTCCTTCGAATATGACCTGTATCTGTGCGAGAATTACCGACATTGCCCTGTTCATCCTGCATACTTTATACGCCATCACTACCTACAACGTCCCCAATATTCAGACGCGAAGTGGATGGCGAACGCGTCAGACGGTCTGCAGAGGAGGGTTACATCAGAACTAAAGTACGATTTTGTGGACGAGGCATCTAGAGAAGCGATTGCAATTGGCAAGACGGTGAATGCGACTGACAAGAGGCAATTTGAAATATAACGTCTGTCATGCTGAAGCTACAAAATGCTGCAAAATGAGGCATTTTTGGGATCTTTTTAGCGGTCTCGAGGCATCTTTCGGCTGTAGAGCGAAGAAATCTGGTGTGATAATCGACTTTGGGAGGGGTTGGCGCCAATCCCTGTTGAAGATGATAAGACAGTAATTGAGGTTTTTTCAGCCTTGCTTACTAAAACCAAGTGATATTGTAGGTCGCTGAGGTTTTTTTCATAAGCCCGTCTTCTTTCTTCGTTTTCCCAGAAACGAATTGCAGTCATTTTCGAAAGCAAGCAAGCGGTGGCAGGCGGGCGTCCAAATACAAGTCCCTGCCCTCTTTTTTGGAGTGACCATCACTCTTGATTGCACTGTCCAAATTTGGAAATTTGAGGTCATTTCTCAAGAAAGAGCAAAGCCTGTGGATCCCGGATTTAATCAAACGAACCCCGAGTGTAAAAACTTTTCGTAGGGCTTCGTAACCTAATTATCACCTAACTAAAGTGGGTCGCAGCACGCAGCTGGCTTTGCCCGAGCTGAAACGAATAGCCACCATAGGTAATTTAACACTGGGAGATTATCGGGACGAGGTCGTACATCTCGACAAAGCAGCGAAAGGCGATCGAAAAACAGAGTTCCAGACAGCGCGTATTGAAGTGGTAAGCCCTAGCGACAGCGCTCCTCCGTGGACCTCGGGTACGCCCCGAGGGCACGGCAACTGCGAGACGCAGAGAGATCTTGCTAGTGTGCAAGTGTGCGTGATGATGGTTGAGCAGCCGACACAAGATCCTGTACCTGCTGTTAGCTGCAATGGAGCCATGGCTACGATGAAGCAAGAACCGATCAGTACTGCTCGTCCTGTATTGGCAAAAGAAATGAATAACAACGCTAGTGTTACGACACCAGCAGTCACTGTAAAGAAAGAGAATGAAACTGGCAAGAACAAGGTCAAGTCTGTACCGGATCTTCCTCGCGAGGTGTTACAGTTCGCGCCGCTTCTTATTGGCAAATACTACATTCAGGACAAACGTGCGCTATGGTCCGGTATGTGGGGTATGAATGAAAGCGCATTTGGCCCCAAAGGTATAATCAGTACCTTTGAGATGAAATCCCAGGAGGATGTAATGATTCCCGTGTGTACGGGTACATCGGATGTTGTGCATCCAGCTATGTTGGCCTCTGCGCTTGCGCGGTCGTCTCAGATGACGAATGCTGCCGTTAGTAAAGTATCACCGATATATTTGGGCTATGAAACGGATGTGATTATGCGGTCGGCGATGCCTTTCCAGGGAAAGTACAGCGGTTCGTTTCAAATTCAAGCGATGAAGGGCAAACATCAAATTGTAACGGAGAATGACGTGGACATTCGCTTTGTACACGATGCTAGCAACCCGGCTCAGTTTATTGTTTCTGGATCGGGTGAGAATCGGTTTGGTATGTTTACGCTGCACGGCTTTTTGGATAAAGAGACGAGCGAACTGCGACTGTATAAGGTGTACAAGCCTAAGGATCCGGTAAAGCGGACGTTTCCTCGGCGTGCGAGATCAACGAGGGCGGTGACACCCGCGGTAAAGCGTGAAGCGAAGGCCTTATCGATTTCCGCGCCAGGCGCTGCTGCTATCACGGCTTCCGTAGACGTCGCTAAAATCGTGACTCCTATTGCTGGTCCGACTATTGTCGCCCCACGTAAGGTCGGTACGCCGATGTCGGACTATTCGTCTCCGCCTTTGGTATTGGGCCGCTCCGAGCGGAAGCGGTCAATGCCTGCGCACCTTCGTGAAGACAATGTGCTCGAGTTCGATCATGCTCCGATGAGCATGAAGAAGTGCTTTACTGTACTAAAAGGTTTAATGTCGAATCCCAAGTCGGCGCCCTTTTTGACTCCAGTCGATCCTGTCGCCTTGGGCATCCCAGATTACTTTCACGTAATTAAAAAGCCGATGGATCTTGGAAGCATACGGAATAACCTGGAGGCTGGATTCTACGATAGTCCTTACGACTTTGCAGATCACGTACGATTGGTATTCCGGAATGCGATGCTTTACAATGCTGCGCACAGTCAAGTTCACATATACGCAAACAAGCTTATGGACGATTTTGAGAAGCGTTTCAAGAGTCTTCATTTCAAGCTTTCAATCAGAAGTAAACATGCGGATGTGAAATTGAAGAAGGACAGGAAAACGGATGTGGTCCAGTCGTCGAAAAAGGTTAGAGGAGGCAAGGGTACGAAGGGTAACACTAAGCGGCGTGTGCCTGGCGAGGATACTGGGTTGATTATGTCCCTGAAGGAAGATATAGAACGCCTAAAAGCGACATTGGAGCAGCTGCAGCCAAGCATGGCGAAGGCCGGTTCGCTCAAGCCCGTTAAATCAGCTGCTAAGTATGTTTGGTGTCAGTATGGTCAAATGATTTGTAGATTTACATTTGTGCGCTAACAATGCATTTCTGTGTTGTTCAGACCGTTTAGAATGGAAGATATGACAGAAGAAGAGCTTAACGAGCCTATGAGTCAGATGGACAAAGCTCGATTGAGTTCTGATATTAAGTTACTTCCGCAGGACAAAATTAATCGTGTCCTTCAGATCATCGCTGAAGCTGTTCCGGTAGCAAAGCTGGCCAATGAGAACGACGAAGTAGAGTTAGACATTAACGCGTTCGACACTCGGTGCTTGCGAATGCTGGAAGGTTATGTTAGAGTAAGAATCTCCCGCAACTTTAAGCTACTGAGGGGCGTCAGTCTAAAGCTTTTACTATGCATTGTGCTGTAGGAAAACGGAATTGGTCGCAAGCGAAAGCGACCTGCCAAAAAGACGAAGATGGCGCCAGCTGAAAAGCGGTTGAAGTCTGCCGAGGTAGCGGCGTTGAACATCCGGCATCGCCAGGAAGAACTGAAGAACCAGTTGGCTGCGATTGACAGAGCTGGTACCAGCGCCGCGCATACGGCGTCTAGGGAAAACGGTGATCGTCAAACAGACCGAGATTCTGCCATGATAGACGGAGGTACCGGCATTGAAGCTGGTGCTATAAAGAAAGGCGGCGACAGTTCTTCGGGCAGTTCGTCGAGCTCTTCCGAGTCATCAGACTCGGATACTGATAGCGATAGTGAATCTGATTCGGATGATGGGGATGCTCCTCTGGAAAGGGTGGGTTTGTGAGATTTAATTGAGCGAGTGAGTCATAAGAGCTGATGTGTTTCAATCGCATATTAATTAATGTTTTTTTATGTCATGCAACAGTTCCCTCCGCTCGCGAGTGCTCCAAATTTGTCACAGCTTGATCCTTCCGCTTTGGTCCATGCTGGTTAGTGGTCGCTTACCTATGATGCGATGAAATATATTGGACATCATTTTGACGCTGTCATGTGTTGCCTGATATAGTCGACGTTGCCAAGAAGATTCGCGATGAGCATCTTTCAAGCTCAGAGCCTCTTCGTGTAGAAAACCGTGGGGCTTGGAGTATGCTGGCTAAGAAAGAAACTCCTAATGGAACGCCTTTGATTCATTCAAATGGTGGCAGCGAATCAAGCTCGTTGTGGCTATCTGCGCGCTCAATGGAACAGATCAAGCAACAAAAGCTGCAGCAGAAGGAGAAGAAGCGCACAGATGAGCTGGAAGCTCTGAAACGCCGTGAGGCTGAGCAGCGCGAGAAGGAAAAGGAATGGGAGAGAAAAAAGGAGCGTGAGCAAGCTGAGCGGCGGAAGCTAGAGCAGCAGGCAGCAAAGCTGGCTGATGAAAAACGCATTCGAGAGGAGCGTGCTCGCGATGCGGAACGTGTGCGTCTTGCCCAGCTTGCGATGGAGCGGGAGAAGCTGGCTCGAGACGACGATGTTGAGCTTCACGATGCCACACTGAGCGAGGATCTGGATGCTTTTAGTTCGTCCTCATTTTTGTAATGTCGTGGTGAGGTGAGCTGATATATTGTGGAATGCATCCCCGACAGACGTGCAATTTTAGTGAGCTGCTGTCGAGTGCGTACGTGCGTTGATATTTAAGCCCGTGGCTCGGTTTGGAGCGTATTCTATCTAATCAAGAAAGTGATTATATTGCTAGAAAGTTGTAATGTCTAATTGAAAAACTACTCGTGCTTTAGTCATTAAGGTCAAGAAGCGATTGTACAAGGTTTGACGACCTGAATGGATGCAACATTGGTGGCACTCTGGTGGCGACAACAAGAAACAATGGCTTTGCTACTGGGCAAAGGTTAGCATCACCGCACCGGCAAAGCCGTTTAATTTACAGATGCAAACAGCCGTCCTTGGCCGCGCAGTACGCGCAATTGTTATGACCACGACAGCCTTGAAGCAGTTGGAAGAAGCCGGCGACTATGGCTGTAGTGCTTACAATTAAGGGTTAAGCGTGTGTGTCAGTCATAGGCATCGGCTAAGGAGAAAAAAACTATAAGGTGTCATTGGTCTGTAGTAAGTTAAAGTAACCATCATTCTGAGCGCGTAGAACCGGTAAAACTGATCCCACTTCTTCCGTGCGACATGTATGTGGACCATCCTATCATCGATCATACGATCATGGTGGCAATCTTTTTGACAGTTTGGATGATTATCTAATAATGTATTTCATTACATCTTTATCTGATTAGGTCTCTATAAATACTTTTTATAGTAAACAGACACACAATGAGAGGCACACAGTAAATAATAAAGAGAAAACAAGCATGTTTCTTGTGACACATCTTTACTGTGTCTTTGTATTCGATCAGATCTGCATTTTCAAGAGCTGTACTCTCTCTCTTGAACCTACATGAGGGCTCTATTTTTTGGTAATTCTATAGGGTCTTTGGAACTGTAAAACGTCATTGTACGAAGATCTGGACGAGCACGACATTATAAGGCCTGACACTTGGGACGACAACATTTGCCGCATTTGGATGAAGAAATGCTTGAAATATATTGGACGTAATAGAGATGCCATTTGCTATGCACTCACGAAAAATCTACCAGATGTGGACATGGGCCGGACATGAGTAACGTACAAATACGAGGCAAACGTACGTGGACGACCACGCAAAGGTATCGGCTGGAAAAGCTATTGGAAAAAAAATGCTGCTACATGTGGATTGATGGAAATTTGATTCGGCAGCATCTTGCTATAAAGGAGAAACTTGATCTAACAGTGTGTTGGATTATTGTCGGGAAAAGTTTCTGACTCGCTTCTGTTTATTGTTAATATTGAATAGCCAAGCGCAAATTATTTGAGTGTGATGGTGTATTGACTGGTGTGCCAGCGTCAAAGAAGCTGGACGATGAGACAGTAACCTTTTATGGGGGGGGGGGCCGTGGTAATTGCAGACCACTGGTGCCAAACTATCCTCTACTTATAGGCGAAACGATGACGCAGTAATTATTTTTAGGTTGGATGCAGATGTAGATTCTGGTACAACGACACAATACATTGGATTAATGTGTCATAGCTGGGTTAGCTATCTGCATATGCATCGTTCTACTTGACTATCCAAGGCAAAATGAGGATGAACGTCCGGAGAAGATCCTAGGCAGCGTCGATAATTTGTATTTAAATATCGAGCTTGCGCAGAAGTTTGCCAAATGTAGCGCATATCACCATTGGACGAGTATTGGTGAAATGTCTACAAGCATGACCATCGTTTGAGTCATCATCTCGCTTTGTAATGCATTGGTACCGTTCAGATCATTACTTGGTCGCTGGAAGAACCTTGTATGGGTTCAAAATTCCCTTAGGATCCATCATCGTCTTCATCTGCTGCATAAGCCTGATCGCATTGGCAGACTTGGACAGGTGAAGGTACTCAGGTTTGTGCGTACCAATACCGTGTTCAGCGCTAATACTCCCGCGATGCTTGGACGTCCACTCGAACATAAACGGCTCCAGCGCGTTGAACACCTGTTCGTCGTACTCCAGCGTAGAAATGTTTAGATGAACATTGCAGTCGCCAATATGGCCGTAGCAAACGACCTTAGCATCCGTTAATGCGAGTCTCGCTCGAGCTTCTTCAGCGATTTTGTAATATTGCTCAATTGGCAATGACACGTCGTACTTGTAAACATACCCACGCGCAGTAAGAGCAACAGTGATATCTTCTCGGATCAAAAATAGCTTGCGAGCTTGAGCTTCATCCTGAGCCACAGTTCCATCGACAACAACGCCAGATTCCATAACATTCTCCAGATACTCGTTGAGCTTCTCCATGTCATGACCGGCATTGCTGCCTGATGTTTCAATCAACATGTAGTAAGGACTTGGCGTCTCAAGTGGATCCTTCGTCCAGTCTTGCTGGGACAAAACCATATCCAGCGACTGACGGTCCATGAACTCCACCGCCGACAGCACTTCTCCTAAATGTTTTTTTGCTTCCACAAACGCCTTCTGGACGGACACAAAGTCCTCACAAGCCAGTAACGCCACGTTCGTAGAAGATGAGCGGGGTGGTGTCAGAATCGATACTTTCGTGACGACGCCCAATGTACCTTCCGATCCAATAAATAATTGCTTTAAATCGTAGCCAGTGTTGTCTTTGCGCATGGTACTTAGACAGTCAATGACTGTGCCATCAGCCAGCACTGCCTCAATTCCTAGCACTGTACCATGCAACGAGCCGTAACGCAGCAATCTCAGACCACCAGCATTTGTCGCGACATTACCACCAATTTGACACGTGCCTTTAGCACCAAGATCTAGCGGCATCATATAGCCATACTTGGCTACGTAATTGTCCAAGTTTTCCAAGATACAACCCGCTTCACATACCAAGATACCAGATACTTTATCAAACGAGATCACACTGTTCATAGAATTCATGGACAGCACAATCTCGTCGTAAACCGGTACACTACCACCCACGAGTCCTGTATTGCCACCCTGTGGTACTACTGGCAAATTGCGGTCATTACAATACTTCAAAATAGTTGAGACTTGGTCCGTAGTCTTTGGCTTGAGTACCATCTGGTGATTACTGTGAGCTTTATACTTTTTCAGCCAATCCACTGTGTACATTTCAGTATCATCGGTATTAGATAGTACACTCTCGGGCTTCAGAAGCTGTTGGAAATAAATCTTATCCTCTTCTTTCCATGAATCAAGTGAAGGATTACGTGCAGGTATAGAAAAAGTGCGAGCATTCATATACCACGTAAACACTTGAGTGGCATGAAGCTGACGACGATACGTTGTCCGTAAGAGTGTGGAGACCATGATCAAGCCGCTTCTATTGTGTATGTGGTACACAAGAAACAAAAAAGTAAGAAACGAAGGTTGTTTGTTGTTGAACGAAGGTGGTTCCTTACGTACGGTGCAATCATATCGAGACGACCGATTAATTGGTTGGAGCAGAGAGTTTAAGATAGGAAGAGTCATGTTAACATGTACGGCATGCCGCTTGGCGTTTACATCGCCTATAGAGCAGAAGGATCATTTTTGTATGGACTGGCATCGTTATAATTTAAAGCGAAAAGTGGTCGAATTGCCGCCAGTGTCAGAGGAGCAATTCGAGTGTCGTATGCGCAAGGTGCGGGCGGAGAAAGAGGCGCAAACTATTAAGGATCCGAAACAGAAGCAACGTATCCGAATGGAAGAGATGAAGAAAACAGGAGTGAAGAAGGTACTGAAATGTGTGGTTTGTAATAAAGTTTTTACGACCAGTAACGCCTACGAGAATCATTTGGCATCGAAGAAACATTTGGTCAATGCTAAGAAGAATTCTGTCATTGCTACGACGGTAGAGATGGTAGCAAAGCAGATGAAGGTTCCTTTGCTGGATGAGAGTGCGATTAATGAGAATATTGAAGAAAGAGGTTTGAAGGAAATGACGGAGGAAGAGCTCGTGAAGGAGATTGAAGAGTACAAGAAGCACGTACCTCTAGAGAAGGAGGATTGTATCTTTTGTACATACCACGCAGTTGACTTGAATGCAAGCTTGGATCACATGCTAAAGGAGCATGGTTTCTTCATTCCTGATGTGGAGTTTTTGGTAGACGTAGAAGGATTAATTGGCTACTTAGCTGAGAAGGTCAAGGTCGGATTCTACTGCTTGTATTGCAACGGCAAAGGCAAAGTCTTTCGCTCCTATCAGAACGTGCAAAAGCACATGACGTCACTCTGTCACTGTAAGCTACGTTATGCTGACGAAGACGTAGACGAGTTGTTAGAGTTCTATAACTTTGAGTCTCAGTACGCAACGTTAAAGGAGAGCAAGATTGCTGCAGAAGATGAGGTCGAGTGGGAGACTGACAGTGAAGCTAGTATTGACAGTGACGAAGAGGTTGTTGACGAACAAATAGAAGAAGAGGGTGATGACGATAACGACGAAAACACCATCGGCGTGTCCGAGACAGGTGAGCTGGTGCTAGCCAACGGCCGCCGACTTGGTCGTCGTGAGTTCCGTCGCTATTACAAACAGCATTTTCATCCGGATGAGACTCGTGCGTCAGTGCTTGCTGCTACCAAAGAGAATATGTTGCAAGCATATCAAACAGCTGGGATTGACTCACGTGGCGGCAGTACCGCGTTGTCAACGGCGTTTGTGGCTAACTTTCTCAAGAAACGCAACAATATTACCGGCGGCCTGTCGATCGTCCAAGCCAAGCGCAAGAATTTCTGGCATGAAAAGAACCGCTCACGTCTGGACAATCGCAGTCACAAGTTGCAAAGGAATCCAAATCGTAAGGCCATGGTGACAGTTTAGATGATAAGAATGCACACTAACAATACATTCCATTTTACAGCGAAAGGCTATCACCGATCCTGTCGTGCAAGATCTGACGCGAGAGATCCGTTGAGTAGGTACCAAATGAGACTCGACTGGGCAGTTAGTTGCGCTCCTGTCCATTCATTTTATAAACAGGCTCGTCTTCCTTGTTCTTTTGCAGAAAGGACCCATCAATAACGTTATAATGGTAAGATCTGATTGTCGATCTTAATAGTTAGTTAGTTAGTTAAGTTAGTCCATGCGCGAATAATGAGGTCAGTGGTTTACAGTTTTCAATCCGCAGCGAGTATGCCAAATCATACTACCTTTCACGACTTGGCTTCATTTTCGTACCACCATGACTCAACCTCTCAAGAGGCAATCAACTGCAATGTGCACGTACGTACAAAGTCTAAATAAATCAGGCTCATCGCCAGCAGCGTTGCTTGCTTTCACGTGAGACTTTTGACTCCGACTAGCAAGAAACAACAAAAAGGTTGCAAATTTTTACATGAAGCTGATACTCTAACGACCATCATACACGTCTCGATCGATCCATGGTCTGTAATTTCTGCAATTTCGTACCATAGCTTTCACAAACGTCGTGGCATTGGCAGCAGCACTACTGGTATTTAAAGTGATGTCATCTTTGCTCGAGCAGACTCGCGTCCTGAGCTCCGTACCCTTTCCTCGGACATGGCGTACCAATGGTGCAAAGACGTGTCATGCATACTTTATTCAAGTCAAAGCTGTCAACTGACCGTTCTCTGGTCTTGCCTGTCGTCGATCGTGATAATGTCGCTGCGAGTCCGGGTTGCAGCAGCAAGATCGAGCGCCGGTGGTGAGTGCCGGCCGGTGGGTGGTGAGCCATCTTGCATTTTAGAGGCGGAGGAAGAGGTTAAAGAGAAAGAAGACGCGGAGTCTGAACTGATAGTGAATATTGTTGATCTGAGCCGCGCTCTTTACCGCATTGAAAAGACTTGGAATCTCTACCACGACAGTGGCGCGGACTCAGTGTTGTAGACAATGAACCGTGTTAATACATTTTTTTGGTCTCGTTTGAACCCCACGGGTGAGCTCGTACGCTCGGTGGATGTCCTGCTTCGGGAGCTGGTGCCGGATGACAAGCTTGATGCTGCCTTTGAAAGCTTTAGCATTGCTGCAAGCTCAGGTGCAGCACTGACGGAGTGTAAACCTCAAGGTGACGACCGCCATAGCGCTGCAGAGACTGTGATAGCAACAGACACCTGTGAACCTGATTATGAAAACAATCCACCACCCGAGGAAGAGTCGAGTGACGAGGAGTCGGCTACTGAAAAGACAGTGCCTGGTGAGCTTGAACGTAAGTGGGCAAAGATTCGTGCTGTATTTCATGACTGGGATGAAGAGCAGGGCGACCGTGAGAAGAAGATGGACGACATGGCCGAGTTGCTGCTACGCTATCGAGTTCTTGAGAAAGTGCTGATGCCTAAAGTGCTAGGACAGCTGACGTTTGAGACGCGCAAGTATGTGGGTAATGTGTTTCGGGCCATGACGGTGCACAATTTGCGCGGCTTTATCGAGCTGATTGGTGAGCGTCCAGATATTATGCGATGGCTTGTGGAAGGTTATAAGAACAACGACACAGCACTTATTTGCGGCTCTATGCTACGCGACTGCTTCGAGTATCAGACGCTTACGATGATTTTCTTGAACGACCTTGAACCAGCGTTCGAGTATTTGTTTAAAGTGACGATGGAGAACTGCAATTTTGACATTTCAGCTGACGCTCTCATCAACATATCACGGCTTTTGACGGTCCACAAGAAGGTGACAGTGCAGCTATTGGATAAAGGATTTGACCGCATTTTTGGACTCTTGAATGGCCTGTTGACGTCGGAAAATTATGCTACTAGGAGACAGGCACTGCAATTGCTCTCTGGACTTCTGCTTGACCCTGTCAACTTTACTGTAATGCAGCGATACGTATCTTCGCGCAGCAACTTGAAGCAAGTGATGTTACTGCTGCGTGAACCAAGCGAGGCTTTGCGGATGGACGCGTTTCACGTATTCAAGATCTTTGTGGCAAACCCGAACAAGTCGCCAGAGGTGGAGCAGCTCTTGGTGCGAAACCGTGAGAAGTTGTTGGCGTTTGTAAGCGATTTTGGTAAGAGCGCGTCAAACCGTGATTTTTTGCAAGAAAGGTCACTGCTCGTGTTTGCGCTGGAACGAATGGCTTTGAAGGAGGATGTACAGGAGAAGGTTCAAGAGCAAAGTACGCGACCGACGTCGTTATCTAGTGCCGAACAAATGCTACTATCGGGTCCAGGGTCTCAAGTATGTGCGAATCCAAAGTAGAAACAGATGAAGAACAAGAGTAGCTCGCCGTTAGTATAAGCGGTACATGTACTAGTATTTAAGAAACCGTATAGGGATTGCGAATCAGTCGTGCGCAGACCAAAATTAAAGCTACAATGGTAACTATAACTATCATTTTAAACTAGTGGATAATTGAATAATGGATGTGTTATACATGTAGCAATACATAGTTACAGACAATGAAAGCGCTGTCAATATGATAGCTCGCATATTGCTGACGCAATCAGAAATGCCTTGTCATGTATGAACTGTATCTTTGAATAAAGGTCTCATAAGACCCAATTTCTAACCTTACTGTATTGCTTCTTTTCAAGCCAGATATATCTTACAATCAAATGTGATTGGGTAAAACGATACTTACATTTCTATTTGTTTTTTCTAATAGTCCTTGCCTTCACCCATTCAAATCCTTATATGTTTCCAAATAGGGCATTTTTGACCGTATATTTACAGTAAAAACTGTATGGATGACAGCCCGTTGGCTACGTCTCTGGCTTTGAAAAGAAAGAACACGAGTCAGAAAAAGAGTCAGTTTTTTCATCAAAAAAAACTTTTAAAAGATTGTTCAAACGCTAGGACTGGTAGTTTTTGTACACAATTAGCTATGTTGAAGAACCTATAAAATGATTCTGTGACTTGATTCAGCTCATTTTTATCTTACTCAAGGCTTCGATATTTCATTGTGGTCCGTGCGAAAAATATATATTACACTTGTATAAATGAATACTTGGGGAATGCTGGTCAAACGAATGGTTTTGCAACAGGAATTGACTTACAATATAGATTCTTACAGACTCTAATACACAATTGTAATCCAGGCTAGATACGTAAGTCTATCTGTTTTCTATGCAAGCTTTGCTAATCTATTCACGAAACTTAAAGAGAAGATGCATAGGAGGCTTGGCTTTATCACTTGCCCTAGTTGAAAGATCTTTGTTATCATGTCACGCAGAACACCTTGGCTAGTACCATTCTATTCCTACTAGTTGATTCACATATGCAGGAAATCAAGTGCTTTAAACTTTAGCCTCAAAGCTGAGATCATTTCAATGGCAGATTATAATAGCAACACACGATTCAGGTCAAGCGTAATCATATGGAAAGCTTGTTTTTGTATAAACGCTGACGTATGTCCATGCAAAACTATAGAAATCAAACTCGTCATCATCTTCATCGTTCTCTATCTTTACGCTTAGTCTATGCAAGAGCCTTTTCCGTCTCCATACAAGTGCTAATTGAAGGCCACAACAATAACAAACAGTTGGCCTAGAGATGTAGAACTCGTTATTTGGTCTGCTGTATGTATCGAAAGCGAACCCAAGAGTACTCTCTCCTATGCGTTCAATCAATCACCATGTGTTGCTAAAAAAAGCTTTCATGTCTTACTTTCTCTATGAGCCGGGCTTTTTTTCTCTTTGCTCTTACTTTCATCTACAACAATCAAGTCATTCATGTTCTTCGTTCTTACAACTGTATAGAAGAAGCAGCAGTAGCAATGACGTCCTCCATTTATTATTTGGTCATATTGAATGTATCAATATCAACAACGTCAGTAGTTCTTGGAATACTGAACATTTTCAAGCGTTACTTAGCGCGACATTTGCCCATCACCCTGAATTTTGTCTCGAGCTTCTGTTTTTCCCACCCGGTGTCGTGCAGTCGAGAGCGAAAGTGCGAAAGCCTCGCTGGTCGACTGACTGACTGACTGACTGTCTGTCTGTCTGTCAACTCTCTTGGTGGCCACAGTGCAGCTTCAGCAACGAATTTGCATTTTGCAACGGAGAATTGTTGCGTATATTGTAAAAGGGCGTCTACTGATTGAAAGCTTTTTACGGTATTTGGGCTATTTGATTTGTGATTCAAGAGCGTCATTTGAGAGTGACTATGATTGATGAGGATTCAATATCAGTTGTTATTACGGCTTCCAAGGAAGTAGAGACCAGTGATGCAGTGGAAAGTGATGAAAATGGTGCGAAAGCTCAGGCAAAGGGTCATAAGTATACAATGTATACTGTTTTTGTGCGTAATATCACGACGGGTGGCAAGTGCGTGGTCAGGAGACGATACTCGGACTTTTACAAGCTACGCAAGGAGCTGATGGAGCTTGTGTCCTGGGGTCATTGTGGCTTCTGTGAGCAGTATTTGCAGCAGATTGAAGAGTACCCTTTTCCACGTCGACGATTGCTACGATCAAGTCAAGCTGCAGTTGTAAAGGAACGCATGGATAGTCTTGGATTGTTTCTTCGACACATGCTGCTGTGTATTATGGCGCGCAGTTTCGAGAGTTGTTTCCAGGCGTGCGAGAATATTGAGAATTGTATTTTAAAGTCATTTCTACAGATGGAAGAGACCGAGAGTTTGTTTCCCACTATGACGTCGAAGCAACGTCCTATTGAGATTATACAAGCTATGGAAGAGAAGCGACAACAGCAAATTAAAGCTGCAGGACTTCGCACAAAGAGCGTGGCATGTGCGACAGTGCCAGATCAAAGTAATCAGTCCATGTTATTACGTCATGAACGCCAGGTAGGTATGGATACGTGTCATCATTGTTTGCAAAAATGGACGCATTGTTATTGCAATAGCGACCAGGACAGCGTGTATCCTGTCAATCTTGTTACAGGAGATAACAGTGAGATTCCAGTAAATGATCGTCCGAGTGTTTCCAAGGTCGAGAGTACTGCAAGTCGATGTAGTCGTTGTGAAAAGGATTGGAACCAGTGCTATTGTTGCCAGCAAGTGTCTCCTACAGTGTCGTCTGTATGTACAGACCATGGAGTTACATAATCTATAGAAGATGTCTATATTACCAATATAATACCATTCTGCTCTCTAATATGATTATGATATTTAACAGAAATGTATCGATAATATAAATCAAACCTCTCAAAACCACTTCTTTTAATTACGATATTGGATTGCTAATGACTAAGCGTAATCATGCCGTCCCATGGCTTAATTGGACCGAATGGCAAGATGTTTACATGTGGTTATTTCACACGGATTTATACATTCAAGAACGTGGTGTCTCACGTGTCACCTCCTGGCGCAGTCGTGCTCAATTACCCGTTGCTATTAATGCGACAGCCCAATTAGTAGAGCTTCAGCTTCATGAGTCAATGGCACAGCACCATCATCATGCAATCGGTGTAAGTTCTCGTTCTTATATGGAATTATGTCTCTTGTATTCAAACATTATCGTACGATGTGTGAATGGATTAGTCGATGGATCACAAAAGGGTGCCTATGCCTTGGCTGTTAGTACATTGGCACAACGTATTGGCATTCCACTATGGATTGTCGATTTGCGCCATGAGTCGACACATAATCAATTACCATCATTGCCAGTATTACGTTTTGCTGCTTGTCATTTATTGTCGTGGCTTAAGGTCAATTATTGGGAAGCGCAGGAAATTTTGGTTCAACAACAGGTGCATCATGTGTCACAATGGCTGTTGGAACAATTACCACACTTGAATATAGAGACGAGGGGTGACAAAGTGCAAGTGGATACGACACAAGCTGACGTCGAAAGGATGAAAATTGAGTCAAAACCAAGCTTGGATGTCGACACCTTACGGAATATTGTAGTGCCACTGCTAGTTGATGGAAAGCAGTTTCGAGAGCTCGTGACACCGACTGGATTGCTGTTTCTTCAAGCACCTCAACTGTCAGAGGATCAAGGATCAAAGGATAGTGCTATGATTTTCCAGAGAGATGCATTTATTGCTCTATTGTTGCAACTTCAGCCACTATGGAGGAGCTTTAGTGCATCGTTGTTAGCGAGATTGTGTCACAAAGTATTTGACGTTATTTATGCTCAGAAGTCTCGTTGTTCCAGTAAAGAAGGCAACGCACCATTTGCTCAGGGTGATCAGCAGCAAGAGCATATTTTTGAGCAGAGTGTAGTCGACATGACGTTGCAGTGGATTAAGTTCATGTTGAGCAGTGAGTATCGTGAGAGAACAAAGCTTCAGATTGGACCTATTGAAGATTTGTGCCAATGTGGCGCTGAAATGCTTGCTCTTGCTGAAAATCTCAAGTCTGACGATGCACCAGGAGGTCAAACGAAGCTGTTAGAGCGTTTGCTTGCTGCGTTAAAAGTCGGCAAAGCTGTCAGAAATCATTCAACGCTGGCAATAGAAATGGCAATTGCTACTAGTCTAGCATCTGAGTCATCCATAGGTTGGACTCGACTCCCTGCGTGGGCAGAGAGCCCCATTGGCCTTCGCTATTGCTATACAAGTTATCACAGCTACAACCATTCTCAAGTGCTTGAGTTTCTGCTTGACGATGATAGTCTCATGCCAAACAGCACGACATTTGTCGCTTCAGAAGACAAGGAAGAAAAGGGTATTACCACAACTGACGCTGATGATGTTATCGATGCGCTCATGGAGGACCTGGATGCAGCTTATGACGCGACTCTTCAGCAAACTCTCGATTTACAGGCTACTATTGCTCGTGATGGCCTTCGACAAGGTAGCAGCACAATGGTGTTGCCCAAACAAGAGCTTCAACGCATCCAGGAGCAGATTGAGATTTGGTAAGCTAGAGACTCAGCTTATGTGTGGTACGCAACAAGACTCTATTGTGCGTTCTGAGCCCTCAATATCCTCTTTAGCGATCGATTGTCAATGTTCCTGCTACACAACACGAGGACCACAGCCAAATAACACCTTAAAGCACGAGTCATCATTTGTTATTTGGCTAGGACCCAGCTTAAAGAGCTAGCTGCTTCATGAGTCTACAAAATGAATTTCGAGAGGTCCGTTTTCTTCATAAGCTTGCCCACGCGCTCAAGCACGACTTCTTTCGTGATTGTGATAGTAGATCCAGGAGCCATTTCGGAACTGTCAAAGCTAATGTCTTCCACTACCTTCTCTACCACCGTATGCAGCCGTCGGGCACCAATGTTCTCCACGGTCTGATTGATTTCCGCAGCGACATGAGCAATCTCGCGGATAGCATCTTCGGTGAAGTTCAAAATAACACCCTCCGTCTTAATGAGCTCAGTCTGCTGTTTGATCAGATTCGTGATGGGCTCCGTCAGAATACGATGCAGATCTTCCTCCGTCAGTCCTTTTAGCTCGACACGAATCGGTAGACGACCCTGCAGTTCAGCAAGCAGATCCGATGGCTTTGACGAATGGAAAGCGCCAGATCCGACGAACAGAATGTGATCCGTGTTGACATTACCGTGCTTCGTGGAGATGACGCTGCCTTCAATTAGAGGCAACAGGTCGCGCTGCACACCCTCGCCGCTCGGGTCCGAGGAGCGACGGAACTCTCCGCTGGAACAAATCTTATCAATCTCATCAATAAAGACAATACCATTCTCCTCAGTCTCTAGAATAGCTTCCCGCACGACGTCCGTCATGTCAATGGCATTTTCCATTTCTACCTCTTCAAACACGCCACGTGATTCAGCAATCGTCAGACGTTTTCGTTCCGTCTTTTTCTCGCCAAAAGCCCTGCCGAATACTTCCATAGAGATTCCCTTTCCTTCTCCACCAACAAACGAAATAGGCTGTCCATGACCACTCGGGTTCTTCGCAGCAGGGACATCAAACTCAATGACGCGATCTTCCAGTTCCCCAGCACGTAACAGCCGTTCAAATGTTGTACGTGAGCGCTCAGTAACGTTAGTACCCGTAAGTACATCCAAAATACGGCTTTCAACAAGATGTTGTACTTCCTTGCGCATTCGCTCCTTGCGGGCTTTTTTGACCATATTAATGGCATTTTCCACAAGATCACGTATAATTTGATCAACATCACGACCATGGAAGCCCACTTCTGTAAATTTAGTAGCTTCTACTTTAACAAATGGCGCCTCCGAGAGTTTTGCTAACCGTCGTGCAATCTCCGTCTTTCCACATCCAGTAGGTCCAATCATTAGAATATTCTTCGGACTTACTTCCTGACGTAAATCATCCGATATCTTCTGACGACGCCAACGATTACGTAATGCAATCGCTACTGCTCGTTTAGCATCCGGTTGACCGACAATGTACTTATTAAGCTGTTCTACAACCTCTCGAGGTTTCAATTTACGTCCAATATCTTTTTCCTCTTCTTCTTCTTCCTCTTCTTCATTCTCATTGGCTCTAGTTTCCATTATAATTGGCACAGGAAGAGATGGATTCTCTTCAGAAGCCTTGGGAAATGCAGTAGAAAACAAACAAATCGACGATTGACACGATGGAAATGACACACGGAGATGAGGACGTACAAGAACTTGAGATCGAGCTGATTGTCCATGACGCACGAGACTCTGAAGTGGCTGTAAATGCACGACACGACGCATCATCTCTAGACTCTGCCGTTACGAGTGAGTGAGGCTCTGCCTCCCTTGCTTTGGTAATATTCTTTTTAACCAATCAACGCATGGAAACGTGATCTTCGTAATCAGACGTATGTATCTCGATTATAAGGTGTACCACCTTATCATCATTATCATCATTCCTACCATCACTCTGACTCGAATCCTTCCTTTTATCCAATCAGAGATGATCATCATCATCATTCTCATCATCATCCAATCCATATCCATATTTTCTATCATCTGACCCAATGGGTTCCAAGAAAACGAACAAACAGCGAGAGAGACAAGAGCAAAGTCGTGCGTCTTCCAGTGCTCGTGCCCATGCGTCTTTAGTATCAAATTCTGCTGTATCATCGAATGTAAATCCTTTCAGTAGTTTCTCAAGCTTTATACCGTCTACTAGACCTCGTCAAGCTCTTTTAAGGACGACACCAAGTAGACAAAGTCTCTATGAAACGGACACAGACCATGAGATGATATTAATACTCAAGATGTTGGGGAAAAAGGATAATATCACCAAGATTAAAGCACTTCAGACGTTCCTTGAGACGGTCTTACCATCTCGTCAACCCTCGGCGATTCGTCCAATGCTTGGACACTTTATTCAGCTCTATACGTTTGAAATACGTGATCAAAATGATTCAAAAGTACGTCAGATGCTCAATAAAGTACTGTCTGCACTTACGCAAAAGATGCGACCACGTGCTTTTGCACCACATTTGCAACGATTGTTGCCTTATTGGTATGTAGCCATGCACGATGTGAATAGGGACGTTGCAATACTAGCAAAGAAGGCATTTCATACGCTCTTTCCAGACACGGACAGGCAGAAGATGGTCGTGATGGAACATTTAGGGACCATGATGCAGGAATTTCAGAGCTTTTTTGGCAAAACACCTGATACGTTTGATGGAATCCCACTGCAACCAGATGAAAAGGAAGAGCGATATGAAAGGTGTATCTCTGCGGCTATATTGAGTATTGACGCAGTAATCAAGTTCTACAACGAGCAACAGATTACACATTTGTTGTTGGACGAGCAAGCGAGCTGCTCAGTGGCTACGGTCGTGTCGTCCGATGAGTTTACACGGCTGGCTACTGCATCGTCAAAGCACCCGAATTTTACACGTGATATTGTGAGAAGAGCGATGTATGTCACTCTAGTGACGTTGTGTACGAGCTCCCAGACGATTGTTGCTGCTCGAGAAGAAGCGTTTGGCAAGGTAATTCTTGGCACACTTGGCGATAAGAGCCCAGCCAACCATGACGCAATGTGGAATGCCGTGCTTACTTTTTTGCGAACCTTCCCCAACGTATGGCAGTCCAGTGCCAGCTTCCCTAACTTTGTGATCAGTGCGGTTTACCCACGACTTTTTGCGCAGATCAGACATGGATTTTATGGATCAGGTCGGTCGTCATTCCCGTCGCTGCTGCCATTCTTGTCGATGGTGCCCTTGAGCGTGGCAGTTGATCCGTATAAAGGGCAGTCTGCATTGTATACTGGGGTACTGGAGCAGTGTTGGAAATTTCTCAAGTCAAAAGACGCGCGATATTGCGAGCCTCCAGCAATCACAGCGTTTTTCGAATGCATTACTGGATCTTTTAGTGTTTTCTTGAACGAGACCTTGAATGCGGCGTGGTTGAGTGAGCAGGATGCTGAGTGTTTTGAGACCAACTACGTGAACCAATTTGAGAAAGTGTTTATGTTGTTGCTAAACGAAGCGCTCAGCTCTTCAGACTTTCCAGAGGGAGAAATGGCGCTTTTTGCTAGCAGTATGCTGAAGATGAGCAGCCGATTACGGACCTTTTCAACTGGTTCGTTGATGGTCAATAGGCTAAAAGACTCTTTATGCAAAAAGATTCACGAATGGACTAGACAAGCAATCAGCTCGATGATATCCAAGTTATCTTTTATACCTTCTAGAGTTAATGCTCTTATCAACACAGCTGTTTCTGACGCTAACGAAGAACAAGAAGTCACCCAGTGGTTATTGACAAGCAAAGAGCTGTATAGACAATCTCTTGACCAAATTGATGCTCTTGTGGTGGAATCTACATTTTTGACGGAAAAAGATGCCCTAGTTGCCAAGTTGCTGGCGGTAATTAATGGCGTTTGCAAAACGCATCCTTTGGATTTGCTGTTGGATGAGGCCAAGACGTCAGTTGAAAGCCATTTTAATGTGCACTATCGCCCTATTCTCCGCGCCCGTGCTGGTTGGAAGAAATCGGCCAACAATAAGAGCGAAACAAACACAATGCGTATTGCTTTGGAAGTCACGCGGCCATTTTTTCTTGCTGTTCAGGACAAGAAGCAGTTTGTTTTGCAGCTTTTTCAGGACAGCGAGGTTCAATTTGGTGATTTGGAGGAGGCGAGCAATATCATTCAGTATGGACTACAATTTCCGGTTACTGAACAGGGTATGAAGCTATGGCTGTCTTGCGGAAGCTGGCATAAGAGCTATGAAAGTGGTGTGTTGCTGGGGGATCAATTTGATCCGACACTGGAGGCGCTTCGAGCAATTTGGCAAGGCAAATTGGTTGACGAGTTTATGCTGATTAGTTTAAAGGGGCGACTTGATGACTTGGATGCAAGTGCTTTCGCCACTTTTCTAAAAGCGTGCCTTGGCGGCTTGTCTAGTTCCCCTGTTATTAGCTCCGACGCAGTAGTGATCCTGTCTCATTTTGTGCTCCAAAAGGGAGGCGACCACAGTGATGTCGTGGTGGTGCAAATACTGATGAATCTCTGTGAGCTGTTTTTTAAAGTGAATGGAGAACTTCCTCTTCAACTTGAAGCAGTTGAGGGTCAATTGTACAAGCTGGTATTTTATCTATCAGCGCGAGGAAGCTATCGAGCCGAAGCGAGCGCGCTTTGGGCACAAACCATTCGTCATTCTCTGAAGAAGTGGACGTCAACGCGAACGGAGGTGTTTGTGAACGAGCTGTCTGGGCACGTTAACGATTTCCTCCTTGCAGATCCGCAAGCGGACACAGTGGCTTTCAACACTAAGCAGTTTGCAGCATATGTCAAGAGCTTTGTGCAGCTTGGTGCTGACCAGGCATTTTTTACTGTATCGCAGTTAGTGGAAAAACTGGACGCTGTTAACTTGAGATGTCCAGATGATTCTCGGCAGCGGTTATTCTATAGCCGAGTGTTGTCGGGACTGGGGGAAGTCTGTGAAGATGAACAAGTCGTTGATATTTTGCAAACTTACTTTGGATCGCTGACATTAACGAGTGAAGATACGGCAGCTGCACTTATTGCAAAGTTGGTGGATCTTGACGTCGCCCACGCGCTGACATGGGTAGTGTTTCACTCGAATAACCACATTCAGAGAGATGCTACGCTAGTAGAGGTACTGGAACCATATTTGACCCTGGATCACTTGTATGAAGCACTGAAATTGTCATCAGGGATTATGGACAAGGTGGTTGCAAATGCACTTGCAAAGTACCAGGATAAACTCCAATGTGAGCCTGCAGAGTATCGCAACTTTGTTTTCTTAGATAAGGATCAGAATACTGCTGCTGCAAGTCAAAACGTGGAATTGCTTACATTCAAACAGCACAAAAAGCTAGATGAAATGGTTATCGGAGTGCTTTTGCTTTCTAGCTCGATTGCGGCACGCGTGTTATTCGTGCAAGAGTTGGTCGATCAGACTGGTGACTGGCAGGCGGAAGCTGCCCAAATCGCTGCTGTCTCACTGTTGGGTGCAATTTATGCGGATAAGGAAGCTGGTGATGAAGCCGTTGCAGTTCTAAAGAGGTTCTTTGCTTTATGCGATCATGATGTAATCTCCAAGCCCGCAACGGGATTATATCAGTATTTACGACTAATGTCGTGGGCAGTCAAAGAAGAGGAAAAATTATCGATGCACGGATTCCGTCTTGCCAAGCAAGAAGTCATAAGCATGTCAACTCAGGAGTCAATTATGCAGCGACTTGTTGAGATGCTATCGCCTAGTTCGTCAACAGTCGTAGAAATTGATGATTGGATTGCTATAGTTGAGTACACAGGGTCACTCTCGGTATATTTGGAAGATGCAACTTCGGGATTTTGTGACGTGTGGGGAAAGCTGGCAAGTTTGATATTAACGCATGCAATCGCGGGCAAGTCAGATACTGCTAAAATTGCCTCACTTAGGATCCACAAACGCAGCGCTGTCCTTGGGACGCGCAGGATAGTCAAGGGTGACGAGGAGCAGATTGTGCTTGCCTATTCTACTCAGCTGGTCATCGCACGGCTGGTTCTGATGGACCTCATAATTGCAATATACAATTGGAATCCTGACGGACTTCAAGAGCTTGCTGCATACTACCGGGAAGCTCTTGTGTCTGTGGTGCTCTGCGGTCTCTCAGACAGTGCTGAGCTGAAGGCAAGTATCGTAACGACGTATGTAGCCTTAGCATCTCCGTCAAAATGCTTTCAGCTTGTAAGTCTCTGGCTTAACGTCGAGAAACTGCTTGCACGTGCGCTTCTGGCATTGCGTGTAACCCTTCCAAACATTTATGACATTGGTCACGTGAACCGGTTGGTACTAGAATCTTTTGGTGGTATCAGTACGCTCGCATCGCTTTTCAATGGAAAACGCTATCCATTGCAGCCTCTGCTGCGTGCACTGCTGTATATTCTTGCTTCGTACAGCGGTGCGCTACGCTTGCGTGACTACGATGCAAGTGCGATCGATATAAACGCTGAAGATGAGGCAGCGACCGAGTCCGCATTGGCCAAGATGCTCATTCCAAAGGCATTCCGCTCAGCACTGCGTGATGTGTTCGCTGACAACAATGGTACGGCTTGTACTAAACTTCGCATGCGTAGCCGTAAGCAGAAGATGCAGGAGCGGGAGGACATTATTGGAAAACTGCTACTCTGGGATCTGTTCCTGCAACTATTTCCTTCGAGTGGAAGCAGAGGAGAGACTAGTACTGCTTTTTCGGCGCTAATTGCGTCTTCCTTGAGCTCGTACGTAACGCGTCACAGAATGCTCACAAACTTTCTGAACTTTAGTTCTGCGTTGTTATCTCAAGAGTCCCAGTCTTCGTCAAAAGCAGCAATCTCAGAACTCAAAGACACGGCGCTGTTTGTCGTAGCGGACTTGAACAAGAGCAAGGACGACGAAACGTGGAGCTTCCACAAGACGCGCGTCTTTGAGCTTGGTACTCGCGTCTTCTTCCGTACAGTGGCTCGTCTTCCAGCAATGGTACGGTCCTGGTGGAATGATGATTGCTCACGTGCTACACGTAGCTGGGCTGCCAAGTACTTTGAGAACCATATCACACCTTCAGTCTTCGCTGCGGAGCTGGAAATCATCCAAATGGCTAGCGAGAGCAACTCGTCCTCTGGCGGTGCTTGGGATAACGAAGAAATGACCGTGAAGGGTAGTCGTGTGTCGCGTGAGATAACGGCAACATATGTCAAAGATGAGTATGCGCTGGAAATGGTGGTGCGCGTGCCGTCATCCTACCCGTTAAGATGCGTCGAAGTTGAGTGTACGAAACGTATTGGTATTTCCGAAGATCGCTGGCGTCGATGGGTGCTACAGATTATCCGCGTAACATCATCCCGCGATGGCTCACTACTGGACGCTGTTTTGCTGTGGAAGCACAATGTCGATAAGGAGTTTGAAGGGGTCGAGCCGTGTCCAATCTGCTACTTCATCTTGAACCCCAAGAACATGAGCTTACCGTCACTACCTTGCAAGACGTGTAGCAACAAGTACCACAATTCATGTCTCTACAAGTGGTTTAACCAGTCAGGCAAGAACAAGTGTCCAATCTGTCAGCAACCATTCTGTTAAGAAGAACAAGAACAAGAAGAACAAGTAGAAGACGAAGACAAAAACATTTGCCAACGTCATGTACGTCATACTAAATCCTTGATCGTATTCCCACTCAGCTTGTGTTGTCTTTTTAGTTCAATAACTTAAGTGCTGAACAAGAGTCAACCATAGATGGCAATTGGTGTTTGTTTGTTTTGTTTTGTAGCCATCACGTATGACATTTAGCAAAGAACGCAGCCGCATCCTGCTGCTTCCACTGTTTTGGTAGCAGTATGACCCCGTATCGCTTCTACAGGATTAACGAACGAACGAACGAATGACCAGTGTAGCAAAAGAGAATCAGCTAGCTATCTTCCCACCAAGCGTCGTCGAACTTTGTCAAGTAGAGCACGCGTACCTCGCATTGTTGGTTGAGGTTTATAATTCACTGATACATTAATTGGAGTTGGATGTGTCGCAAAGATTGGAACAGCAGCAGCTTCTAAGCTTTGAGTATCTTGTAATATACCACGTCCCATACAAATAAGACGAATAGTCTTAATGTCTTTAGTAGATGGTACATCTAATAACACAAACAATTATCATACAAAGACAAAAAGAACCTCCTATAAGTGATATCAGGAAACACAAATATCCAGCTTCAAAGACTTAATAGATTACAACCCCACGTACTTTCAGGCCAATGGTGCATCAGATGAAGTTTTACCTGTGCCACTGTCATTGTCTTGGGACAGTTTAATAAAACATGTACACCATCTTGATTCGCAAATAGAAATTTTAGTCGTAGTTCGTTAGCTTGACTACTACTCGTCATGGATTTAATGATGGATGATGATAATAAAGAGGATCAATACAACGAGATGTGAGGTTTGTAATTGAATGCTGGTGATTGGATAAAATGAAAGAGGATTAAAAAACAGATGGATTGAGGGATCAAAACTTGATTACGTTATAATTTCTTATAAATAAAAGAAAACAGCGGTGGTTGATGTAGTAATCTAAGTAATAGATTGTAAAATAGAGCAAATTGTAATAGATTGTCACTGTTTATTCACTATTCAAATAACAGATGCTATAAGGTTTTGCAGTTTATCCCACACTGGCACAAAAGTCAGAGTATTTCTCTTGTATATTTAATATCCCTCTATAATCCGATTCGTTTGTCACATCAAGTCTTTTTACTTTTCTACATAAACTCTCTCTCTCAATATCTAATGACCACATCCTCTCAACGTCTTCAAGCTTCAATCAACACGCACAATCATTCATCTTCCTCAATACATTGGATTCGTTCCATACAAAATCAAAGTTATCAACCAAAACCAACCGCCTATTCACCTCATTCACTCCATGAAGAAGATCCACTTTTACTACAAGAACGTCAATGTCTGGAGAAGCTTGAAGCTCTACGTAAAGTACGAGATTGGATCGAATTTTATCCAATCATTGAAAGACAAACCGATACAAAAACCAGTGAGGACAACTCGATGTTACTCCGATATTCCATGCAAATTTCGACCAGTATGATTCTATCTGAAGCAGACAAGACAATGGAGTGGCAGAATGATGGTCAAGTGCACAAGAATGTATGTCATCATCATGGAATTAATGCATTAGGAAGTCTCGAGATGCTTTTCTTTGCATTCTTCTCAAAGGATGAATTACTACGTGTTAGTAGTGTCTGTACTGCATGGAAAACATTGGCTCGTGATGATTTATTCTGGGAACCATTGCTATTGACGTCCGTGGAGAAATATCCAATACGATTATTACTAGGTTTAGAACGCAATGCGACACATGAATACAATGCTGTACCTGCTATATTGGTGTATATGGTGTATCAGAGACTGAATATTGCACAGACAGCATCTTGCATGGAATATAAAGACTTTGCAGAACGTACGGTACATTCTGCTACTAGGAGCTATAATGGTAGATATCCCGACTTGGTTCAGCCGCAGAATAGACAGAGACAAGCTGAACGACTTCAACAAACGAAAAGGAAATGTCGAGGACAACAAGATGACGCACTGTCGAGTGTGCATCTTGTTTGTATTAAAGCTAACTCGACGGCATCGATATTGAGAAGGCAGCAGGACCAGGAAGTGACGCAGATGGCTGCGGGACAGCGTCTGCAAACACAGAGAGAAGATGATCAAAGTGCTCGTCCTACAGCTGGTGTCTTGCATAGAGAGGCAGCAATCTTTGGTGACGAACAACCCGTTATGGTAAATACTCAGAATGATGCTGGTGCTGGTGAAGAGGAGGATGTGTACAGTGTAGCGGACGGGCGGGACCGGGTGACGCTGTGCGCGTGGCTATCTACTAAGAAGCGGGTCAACGAACGCACCTTGCGTTCCTTCTTACGTCAAATGTTACTTGCAGTAGATGCATTGGAGCGGGCAAATTGCAAGCACACTGATATTTCTCCTGTCAATATTGTGGTGCGCTGCGAGTCACGAAATAAGACGACATTGTCACAGGATGCCTCAACTTCTTCTTCTGGCTTACAGGTGGAACGAGATGAAAGCGAGGAGGAGGAGGATGAACGTTATGATTGCAGTGCATACAACTCAGCAGTCCATGGGTCAAGGCCAAAGGTTTTGCAGGACAATGGGTACTATAGTAAGCGACACATGCCTTTTTTCCAGCTTTTTATTAGCCGGCGGAATTGTCGACAAACAGGCGGCATTCAAGAGAGCACTGCGCATCATGTTCTTGCGATGGATGCGGAAAGGAATATTCATGCACGGAACGGTAATGGCCGACGTGACATTGTGCGAGAGCGTCAGAGACCAGCAGAGGCAGAACAGGAAATAGCAGCTGGTGCTGGTGTTTTCGTGAACGGTGACAATCGTGGTGCCATAGCTGCTGCTGCATTTCGCGATCAATTGGCACTGCCCCACTCTAGTATGGTGAGCTCAGTAATCCAAACCGCTATGACTGTGTGGGCTCGTGGACGTTTTGCGGATGCAAATGCGTCCTCGCTGCTGGCACAGCTACTGCGCTTCCCAGACAGTTTTTCGAGTAGTCTGCGGTCATTCCTGGAGTATGCTAAGTATCTCATCATAACGCACTCGGCTACCGCATCCAAATTACTTCGACATGACTATCTTCAGTGTCCAGGAGCATATCTACATCTTCATTCGTCGCCACATTGGCATACAACGCGACCCAGCGATGTTAACGAGTACAAAAGCAAGCTTGTAGCGTTTTATGGCAGCATGCCATCCCGCATGGCTGAGCTTTTGAACGAAAATGCGGGTAACTATGTGGGACCAACAGTAATGGACGAGCTCATGCCGAGGACACACCTTGGCACACAGTACTTTTCTGAGGCCCTGGAGGAAGCTAATCTTTGTTCAAAACGCTTCATCAGCGTCGTCGCACCGTCGACTACATCGTCGTCCTGGGTCCGCAAACTAGCGTGCTCGCAATCTTGCACACTGCAGCGTTTGGATCTCTCTCATGCGCGCGTGCCAATGTCTGTGCTGTTGCAAGAGCTTGCCATGCTACCGCGATTAACGCATTTACGTTTGCCCAAACAGATTTTACGAGACGACAATATGGAGCACCTTGTGGCTGCGCTGGCATTTACTGATCTCCTACCGCACCTGCGCGGACTTGATACAGATGTGCGTCAGGCCATGGACCGTATGGAAAAATCCTATCTCATGCAGCTCGATATGGTCACGTTTCTTCTGCAAAAACCTAATACGTCTAAGGTATCATCTGGAGCCGTAACAAATGCATCGAAGAAACTTGTTCTGTCCTAGAAGCAGCCACATGATAAACACTCGGTCGCAATACTGCAACAGTCATGAGTACATTATGTATATGCTTTGTAGCCTTGCTCCGTTTGATTCAAAGTCAAAAGAACTCTGTCGTCATTGTCGTCGTCTTTGCCACTAGTTCTGACGTGAAGCACGTTTCGTAAAGAGATCCACCATTGGAATTTCCTCCAGTTCACGACGTGAACATAGATATTCTCCCAGGAGAATCGTCACACCTGACGCCACAAGATGCAAGAGCCACCAGTCCAATGTCTTTGGGAATTCCTAGAGCAAGTAAACAAACAAACAAACAAACAAACAATGCCCACCTTATCACTTGTTCCCCATCCATTCAACGATTAAAGCCCCGTACGGAATAGAAACACTGCACAAGAAAGTCAATAAAGTACAGCGTGATACCAAAGTCCAGACACTTTTTAGCACGCTCCACAAAGAGCATGAGACACACGGCGCTAGAGAAGAAGGAGAAGAAATGACACGAGTTCTCGAGTTCAAGACCGAAATCTCCCAACAAGGATTTATCAAGATAACGACACGAACCTGATAATACTAGCAACGAGAATGGCAAAGCAATTCTTACGACCATTGGAATCGGCGATATTTTGTGTGTAGTAAGCAAAGAACTGGTCCAGTGTCACGTGAGCACCATGACAAATACCAAGCACGAGACCTTGAGCCACGTAGTGAGAACACTAAGAATGAACGACAAACGAGATCGAAACAATTCGAACGTCAGTCGATCAATATGATATGAAGTATATCGACGAGATATAAACAAGATGAAATCCACCTGCAGGCATAATATTTGCAACAAAATGAGCTTTGGCATCCATCGGGCCGTGCCGTAAAACTTGGGCATTTTAATCGCTTTTATCTTTTTTTACTATTTTGTAGAATCAAGTTTGAGGGGGTTTTATGCCGGATATATCGAAATACCGATATATTCTCTCGGTTTATTTTGGACAATCATGTGTGACGAGACGCAGGAGCTTCTGCGACTGCAAGAACTACGACGTCAGAATGACGTCTCTTGTACTAATTTGCCTATAATATACGATACAAATCAAGGTGACGATGTTGTAGGATCGAAACGTCATACTTGGGTGCTTTTTAGTGTCATGGGTGGTCTTATTTATGGCTATAACGTTAGGTAAAAGGATGGAAAACCGAGTGAATGACAACGTTTCTAGCTGCTAATTCATTGCTTTATCTTGTTTTTTATGGACAGCCTTGCAGCTACATTGCAATACATATGTAACAATTTATCTCTATCATCGACGCAGGAGGAAGTTTTGAGTGCTACGGCAACGCTAAGTGACGCATGTTCGATGCTTGTGGGTGGTTATGTAGCTGACCGTTTTGGCCGAAAAGTAACAGCAATGTTTGCTTGCTTATGCTCAATTATTGGTGCATTAATGGCTGGAATTGCTAGCTCTAGCTTCTTGCTCCTCGTGTTGTGGCGGCTGTGCTCAGGAGTGGGAAATGGCTTGTCCATCTTGCTTCTTCCCATGTACATTAGTGAGTGTGTCGACACTGCGAGTCGTGGAGTGTTTCTCACGCTCTTTCAACTGGGGTAAGGAGATGTGAAGGTTCAAAAGTAGACTTTATTGGGTCTGTGCTGTGATGCTAATGCAAGTGTTTATCGATAACTTTTGTAGAGTGAATTCAGGAGTGGCTTTGCCGTATCTCTTCATGATCATCGTAAGCGAGAACTGGAGAGCGTGCTTAGCATTTGGCAGCTTGCCAGCTCTGTGTGTGCTTTATAGTTTTCACGTCCATTTTCCGGAGAGCATTAAATGGCTTCGCTGGAAAGAGCATTCCCAGGATTTGGAAAATGAAGTAACCGATGTATTGGACGAGAAAAGTGTCCATTGTGTTGGGATAGCAACTGTCAACATGAAGAGCGGAAGACACGGGAGCTATCATCATCCAAAAGATCAGGATGGTGCTGCATTTTCTTCATCGTCACCGACGTTATCGAAGTCATCTGCGTCTCCTAACCAGTACCTTGAGCTCGTGATTGGTCTTTTTCTGGCATACGTGAATAATTGCGTCGACGCGTCTCTCTTTTATGGGCCGGAGATAGTCGCGAAGACGAGCTCATCCTACTCAAGTAGAGATGCGAACATATTCGGGCTCTTGTGTTCACTTGTGGCTGTCGTGTCGGTGGTTTTTGCTGGACGGTTTGTCATCCCGAAGTTCTCGCGACGGCAAGTGTACCTAACTTGCCTTGCTGTCGTCTGCGGGTGCTTTGTGATAAGCGGTGGAATTCTTGCGCACTACTCGGCTGACGATGTTGCTCGCAATGCGACAGCATCGACGAGCATTGTGATCACTATTGCCGTGCTTAACGTGTTTGGTGCTGTCGGTCCAAATATTCTTTTTGTTGTCATCCTCAGTGAATTGTTTCAAGACAACAGCTACCGCGCGCGATACATGAGCTACTGCACTTTCGCCATGTCGCTTATTTCATTGCTCACAAACGGCTCCATGCTCACTTTGTTTGAAACCTTCGGCACGGCAGCTACTTTCATTGCGTTCGGCGTCTCGTACGTGGCATGCTTGGTCTTCTTTTGGGTGTACCTGCCGGAAACAAAGGAACGCCAGCTAGTTTGAACAAGTACAAGAAAGTGATAAGGAAAACCAATCGGTAAATAGATTGATCGACGATGAATGCGTCACAACTTGTGCTTACTGCGATTAAACCACAGGTTGTTGTCGGTTGCTGCCACAAGGCACTCTAATACCTGAGTTACCAATAACACCATTCGTGATCACGCCGTCCAGAGCACCGTACCTGATGACATACTGTTCAGTACTGTGTTGAAGCCGCATATTCTCCGTCATGAGAGCGGTCAAGTGATCATTAAGCACCATGATCTTGTCCTCTCTTTCTTGCAACACGACAAGCAGATCTCGTGAGCAACGTGATCCAGCTGAAGCACTGCTTCTCTTAAACTTTGACGTCTCGCAATTTTGAAGAGCTTTGATCTGCGCATCCTTCTTCAAAACTTCATTTGTAAGCTTTTCAACTTCCTTTACAAGCGCCTTCATGTCGCTCTTCGAGAAATGAATTTCTTTAAGTTTCGTGTTCGCTTTTTTCAATTCACACACGCGATGCTTGAGTATCGCGCACTTCTCTTTCCACTCACTAATCGTCGCGAGTTCACTTGCACTGTCACTCGAGCCAGCCGTGGAATTTTTACGTACCTCCTTGTGATCTACCTTCAGCTTTGCAATCTCCCTGCCCACGGCTTCCGCCTGCGGATCAAGCGATTGATTCTGCTGTTCTCCATCGAGCTTCTTTGGTTTGTCACAGCAGAGCAGTAACGACTCCATCTCGTCCAGCCGTGTTTTTAACTTGTTGATGTACTTCTCTTTGCGGTGAATAAGTGCGTTCTGGCGGGCTTCGCGATCTTGGTAGCTGCGAACAAGTGCCGACACTTTCATGATGCCACGGTGGAAGTCACTGTCGGCAGCGTTACCATGTGACCCCTCAGCACCACACTCGATGTTCAATCTCCTCATCTCGCGGTGGAACTGATCGAGCATAGCTGACTTGGCATCTTCGAGATGAGCAATGTGTAATGTTAGCTCCTTCTCCCGCTGTAACAACCGTTCGTAAGCTTCCTCTACTCCTCTCATCGCTGCTTCACGAGCTGTAATATCGCCTTCAACCGAATGCTTCGGAGAGAGCTTTGCTTGAGCAATTCGCTTTAATTGCTTCTGAAATTTTAAATTCTGTCGCTTTAACGAAGCAACTTCATCTTCTTTCTGACGCAGCTCGTCCTGTAGTTGACGTTTCAACTCATCTGCATCCTCCCGTGCATGCTGCAGCTCTTCATCCTTCGCAGCTAGTTCAGATTTCTGCTTACATATCTCGTTCTCGTGTGCAGCTAGCTCGTCTTGCATGTTTTCTACCTTCAGCGTAAGCTGCTCCGATACGTGGAGATGACTTCTGGCGTTATCCATTTCAGCCGTGTTGTCACGAATTTCTGCGTGCAATCGTTCAATCTCATCTTGTTGTTGGTCAATCTCGTGGCGTAAGTGGTCAATTTCAGCCACTTTCTCATCTAGTTTTGTGACGGTGGCGGCATTTTCAACGGCTAAACTGTCGAACTGCGCTTGCATCGATCGGTAATCACGCTCTTTCTGTAATTTTTCGTGCATGACACGCTGGTCTCTTCCTGTCGCAGACTGTTCGCTGACTTGCAGCTCGTGTTGAAGCTGCTGTACTTGTGCTTCCAGCTCCTTCACACGCGCCTGCTGTTCGTAACCTGCAGCAGACTGCTGCTCACTCGACCGAAGTTTCTGTTGATAGTACTCCACTTGTGCTTTGAGTTCCTTCAACTGCGCGTCATGGCTACCCACACCAATGTTTTCACTTGCTTGAAGCTTTCTTCCAAATTGCGTCGCTGACGCTTCTAGTTCTTTCACACGCGCTTCGTTTTTGCTATCTTCAGAAAATCGCTCACTCGCTTGAAGTTTGTGCTGGAGATACGTCACTGTCGCTTCTAGTTCCTTCACTTGAATACGCAGATCCTTTTCGACCTGGGAGTCTTTTGCGCGCTCGTCCTTCTCATAGTGAGAGCGATCCATCAAATGCCGTGACATTGCCTTCTCTTGATCCAGCTTGGACTGCAACTCTGCCATATCGTCCTGTAACTCAGCCACCTCACTTTCTTTATCTTTTAGTCGGGCCATCATTTCCATCTTTAACCGATCGTGCGTTGCCTTTAACTCTTGATGCGCGGCTTCAAAATGCTCAAATTCATTAGTTGCGCTGCTTGAAGTCCACCTTTTTGCCTCGTGCGCCGCAATTGTTTGCTGCATCTCATCTAAGATACGGTTCAGCTTTTCGCGTTCATTTTGCAGTTCAAGCAGCTCTGAATCTAATTTCTCCAGTTCGGAAGCATAATTGACCAGTTCTCGCTGTAGCTTTGCGTTCTCTTCCTCAAGCTTCGTCCACTCATCACTTGACCGTAGTTCCGCTTCAAGTTTTGAGTCCAAAACTTCCTGCAAATGAATGGCCTTCTCATTTGCTTTCTCAACTTGTCGACTCATTTCACGTACATAACCTTCCAGCTTTTGAGATAGATCTTCTTCCACCCCTTGTTGACCTTCACGCAAGAGTGAAGGCATCATAGCCTCTAGCCCACGTATCTCGTTATGAGCAAGCTCAAGCTGGATAGTCAAATTCTCATTGTTCATTCGCAAGCTCTCATACTCGTATTGCTGAGCTCGAAGCTTCTCTTCCAGAGATCTAATTGTTTCCTGCAAATTTCGCAATTGCTGGTGGCCTTCGTTCATCTGCGTATCACGGTGAACAAGCTGAGCCGTCAACTTTTGCAGTTGAGTTCGACCATCCTCCGTAGCCATTACTGATGATTGTTGTTGGGCTTCAATCTGCTCAGTCGCCTGCCGCATCACTTCTTGGATTCGGAGCTCGAGCATTCGTTTATCATTCTCAAGTTGCTGTACAAGCGACTTCCATCGTTCCGCCTCATTGTTGGCCGCTGTAACTTGATATTCTAGCGCTGACTTCTCCGAAGCTTGGTCCATTATGTTGCGCTTCATCGCTTCTTTTTCCTCACATAGCAAACGAACTGTATTCTCGTGAGTGGCCTCCTGTTCCAGAGAATAATTGTGTACTTGCTGAGCTTCGTTAAGCCTTGCGTCAGCCTCAACTCGGATCGCTTCAATCTGCCTTTGCAGCTCCCGATTCTGATCTTCTAAGCGAACACGTTCGCGCTGGAGCAGTTCCACTTCTTTCGTAAATTCATTGTCTGGGGACAGAAGTTGCTCATTTTGCGCTCGTATCTCAGCGTTCTTCATGTTCAGTAGCTCTAGTGCACGGAGATGATGCTCACATTCACGCTTGAGGGAATCGTGTTCACCAGTAAGGTCGTGCAAGTGGTGCTGAAGTTTTTCGCACTCCGTTCGCCACTTACCAAGCTCCTCTCCTCCTGTCAACAATTTCTTCTCATGCGCTTCCATTTTCTCCGTAGTCTCATCTAGCTCCAATCGCAGCTGCTCATTCTCTCGTTTTAAACCGTCAAACTGTTCCTCTACTTGCGAGACAAAATTGTTGTACTGGTTCTCGACTTCAGTAGACTGCGACTTCATCGTTTCTTCGTAAGCAGCATCCTTGGTGGCCGTTTCCTTGGACAGCTGTTCAATCTCATACTTTGCACGTGCTAATTCTTCCATAAGCTGCTGCATTCTCTGAGTATCTGCGCTACGGGATTGGTTTTGTTGCTCGGCCTCCTGCGAGGATGCCACCAGGCGACCAATCTCAATGCTCTTGCGTCGGTTGATGTCCTTCAAGCTCTCAATCTTTGCTCTCAATTCAATGTTCTCCTCATTGATTTTGCTAAACTCATGTTGCAACTCTTCCTCCAGTCGGGATTTTTCATTCAATAATTGCTGCTCGCGCTGGCTCATGGCAGACATAGCCTGCGCTTCAATTTGCGCACGCATTTCCCCTGTCTTTTTCTCAAAATTCTGGAATCGCGTTGATTCTTCTTGAAGTGCTTGACATAGTCGCTGTTGCTCCGCTTCAGCCTCGTTTCGGTATTTGTGTTGCTCAGCCAGATGCTTTTCGTGCTCCTGTGCCATCCTTTCCATGTGCTCCTGCAGCTTGCGGTTTTCGTCCATGATATGCTCCAGATCACCCTCCCACTGCCTCATTTCTTGTCTGTTATGGTTAAATGCGTTTTCCAGCTCATTCACCTGATGATCCTTCTCCTTGTATTTTTCCTGCCACGTTCTCACATCTTGCTCAAGCTCTGTGGCTTTGTTCACTACAGTTTCGTAATGCTCACGCAACTCATCGATTTTCTGCTCTAGAATATGCATCTCATCCGACTGATGGTTCCCCTGTTGCTTTAGCTTTGTGTTTTCCTGCACAACAACCAAGGTATCGTGTTTCATTTGCTTCAACTCCGAGTGCAGGACGTCATTTTCCTTTTGCAAGGTCTCTAGAGATGCATCTCGCTCCTTCAGCTTCGTTTCTACATCCACCCCCGCTTGCCGTAACATGGCCACCTCCGAACGTAGCTGTTGGATCTGATAAGTGCCTTGTTTCTTCAGCGATTCAACTTCCTGAGCAGCAAGATGGTATTTTTCCTCCCATTTCTGCTTTTCCACTTTATCTTCAGCAATCTGCAGCTCCTGTTTCTGAATAGTCTGTTAAAAGTAACCACACAAAAAGATCGTCCATACAACACAGCACAACCACATACACACATATATGGGTATTGTCAGTACTAACTAATATGTTTCATCTACCCCAAAAATAACACCTCATGTACACACACAAACCTCTCCAAGCTCTCGAATAAGCTCAAGATTCTGCTGAGCTTCTTCAATTGCCAGATCCAATTCTTTACCCTACATTATTGTATCCATAGACATTAAATTATACGCAGTCAACGTCTGTCTATCTCTCTCTCTCTCCCTATCTCAGCTACCACCATGTCGTACCTTCCAGCGATCAATATGCCTCTTTTGAGACTCAATGACTGCTCCAAGCTCTGCAAATCGTTGAATAATCATGGGCATAAGTGTATGATCCTGTTGGTGCCCTTCCTGTTCCTCCAAAAAGCACCAACATATAGCTCTAAGTATCACAATCTCGTTTCAATCCATTTATCACGTCTGTCTCATACCAAAAAGTGTAAAAAGTCTGCAAATGAACGCACGGCCGCCTTGACTTTACTAGGTGAGTATCTAGCGGGTGATTCTTCCAGTCCTGCAGTCGTAGAGCGACCTCGAGACGTTGAAAAACGCTGCCGAGAAGGTTCTGGAGTGACACTAAACTTGAATCCATTACTTTCCTTCTCCTGCTGATAGCGTGGAGTAGAGAAACCCGTTAATACTTGAGGTCTTGTACTCTCCTCGTCCATGGCCTCTTCTTCGTCTTGCATCTTTTTGGTCTTTCTTGGACAGGTTAAAATGAAAGTTGATACTTAAGCTACAAACGGATTTCACAGGGAAAGGTGGACCACATGGTAGCACCTTGAAGTTTAAGGTCAATTGAAGTTAATGCTGTCTGTTATATGGTGCGTGGTGCCATTGAAAATAAAGATAGCATTTCTGCCAAGGGCTCAATTTACTCACTATACAATCTACATGACATATTATCACTTGCAAGTTATGCATCTATTTCATTGCTGGCTGTTGGAGATAAATAGCGACGAATCGTATAGGTTTATTTCATTGTGAGTATAGTCGATGACGACGATAGGAAGTTTGCTTCATATTAAAGACAATAGCGACACATCAAGTCAAACAAGACACACACACTGGAACTGGAAAACTCGTGCTATGTGTTGATAAACCACTTTCTGCAATTACAAAACCAAGCGATAATGAGGAAGAGAGATGACTGCTGTGCCCTTCATGTACACGAAGTAGCCTAATTTGTCCAATTTATGGATATGTTTTGGTGAATTTAGTAGATATCGTGACTGCAAGAAGCTGTTTCGTTGCTCCTTTGTTTGCTTGTATTCTTCATCTGCTGCACTACAAAGTTCTTACACAAACATGAGGTAAATGAGACTTTCAGTCTTTATACCAATACCATTGGAAGAAAGCGCCGTAAAACATGAGTCGATGAGTGAAGAATTGCATCAAAAATAAATCGATGTGGCTGACGTGTTTGTTTATAATGCTCGCGGCCGCTTGACCTCATTCTGCCGTGACAGCACTGACGCCTCTGCGCGACCTACTGGACGTCGAACGTGAGCTGTTTGTGAGTAGTGATCGCTCGAAGGCTGAGTGGCAATTGGTGCCAATGAGGTCATGCAAGCTATTCAAGGCTTCAATGTTAGATGGTCGACTGAGCATGTCCAAGCAGTTTCAATGCCTTGACCACTGGAAGCAATCAAACGACACGTAAAAGTCATCATAACGTTGTCCGCTCGTTTGAGATGATGTGCAAGCGCGACATGAACTGCGACGAATGCTCTCCAAGATGCACGGCATGCACGCAGTCTAAACGTGAGTGGATAGGATCTGCACGTTTGTGTTAAGAAGGTTTGGAACATCCATGATGCTGGTCAATTCAGTCAACGTTGAATTGTACGCCTGCAGCAGAGCTGAGCATAGGACGCTGTCACAACGGATCGTTATATTCATGAGGCAGGCCAACCTGCTGTAGGCGGCAAGCGCTTTCACAATCGAAGCAGAGCCGTCAATTTTCCAACAGCCGGTCATACCACCTGCCAAGACGCTAGCTATCATCACTTGTATTGTTTCTCTATGTGCAGGAATCACATAGCGAATAGTCCAAAGGAATAAATGGCTTGCACCAATTTGCTTTTTCCATGAGACCAGATATCGTGTTAACAAATGGAACACTTGTTCTTATTGCAAGAAAACGTCATGTCTTTTTTATGTCAATAATGTAATGAAAGGAAGTAGACAAAACCGCGGCGGATTTTCTAAATCCTTGAAAAGATATTGTAGAGAAAAGCCACGTGTGTCTTGTCGTCGTACAGGGTTATCCATCAATGACGTTTTATACCGCAACTTTCGTCAATTTGAAGTTACAAAGCGATCCAAGAGCTGAAATCTTCCAAAAAGAGTGTCACTTTTCAACAATGACTATGTTTTGATTAATCAAAACAAACTCCTGACATAAAGAGCAGGTTGATGACCAGACGTAGCTGCAGATATTCGCTTCAGTACTAACAGAGAATTAACATCACAGTACTCATTTTATCTGGCCAGCAGGTATGTTATCGTACTTGCCAGAATACAAACGGTACACCAACCATTTTGTGTTTTATGTTTTCATAGCGTGGTACACAATGTTGTGCAAACTGGCTAGTCTGAACATTCAGTGCGTACATACGCAGTCGAGTGTGACATCCAAGTCGAAGGTGGCTCTTAGTTAATTAATTCCATTACGTTTGCCACCGCCATCTTCACGTTTATCACGTCTTGAGTTTCCGACCATTCAGTCACCATGTACGTAATCGTTTGCTTGACCATGAAGAGCTAGTTATCGTTGGTGGGCGGTGATGGTATTTCGTCCTTAGGTCTGGTTGAGTATTGACTGTATCATTTGATTGTATGTATATTTGTTTATTTGTCATGCAGGGTGACGTATAAAATGGATCGTATGACAACGTACTGTTACTATCTTTCATCCAAGTACTCCGAGAAACAGCCTGTAAAAGACAATGTGCTAGTGACTGCCTCGGGCAGTTTGTGTCCCATTACGGTCCGCGTAGACATTGCCGATAAACTGGAAAAGAATGCAATCATTCCGCTGCGCTACACTGCCACGCTGGACATGTCTTCGGCTGACCCCAATTTTAAGTTCCCCGTTCCGATTGAACGTGTGGCGGTGCCTGATTATCTCCTGGACAACAGCAGCAGCGCGTTAGCAAGCTCAAACGGGAGCACGTTTGACATAGCAGTGGCCAACGTGGTTATCTGCGACTGGCGTTCATGCGACCTCTTCTCGATGGAAACTAAAAGCTCTATTTACTACTCGTCCAAGAACAATCCGAATAATTTCAATGATAACGTAGCCGTTTTCGGATCTCAAGAGCTTGTGATCCCTAAGGACGGAAAGTACACAGGATACGCACATCTTGTGGCCAACATTGCCGGCGATTCGCGCGCCGATTTCGTCACGTTTTTCCCCGTGCAGATTGGTGATGTTGCTGGTACGACGCCTCACGATATTAGCATGGATGGCACAACTACGTATTGCTGGACTGCAGAGGATGTATCCGTGTTTGATCCGGGCGTTTCGAGCGACCTTACTATTCGAACAGGTCAATATTGTCCTGGTACCATGTTCATGTCGCTCTCGTCAACTGAAGTTAGTGTCGGAGATACGATCGATATTACGTGGATGCTGGACATGTCCGACTCGTCCACCGATGACTCGACTCTTATTGCTGAGGTATCGACGATAGATGCTATTAAGAACCCGCGTACCGATATCTACTCAGTTGTGCCCATCTCCGTCTTCAGCGGCTGCCAGCGGAACGTTCAAAACGCCAACTGCTCCACATATACCGGAGAAGAATCGTCTACCTTTTCCATTGCGGAATATGATGATATGAACCTCACAAATAATGCCGTCAGCTATTCGACTAGCTATACTTTCAATACTTCGGGCCAGTTTACAATGTTTGGCCGAGTTGCCATGGTGACTGTGGACGGCGAGCGAATTGATATGGCCATTTACTCGAGCGTGACAGTTTCTGTTCAAGGTGGCAGCAAGAGCAGCTTCCTGTTCCTATACATCGGTATTGGTATCGGCGCTGCTATCTTGCTAGCTGGCATGCTATTTTGCTACATGAAGAAGCGACACGACAAGTTGAGCACGAAGGATATTCCGTTCCGTCAGCCTGTGAGCAGGTTGAACCGTGCAAGTGAATACACTCTAGCGTCCTCGAACTTCATGACGTACAAGACACCCGCACAGCAGACGCAGGGACTGGATACGAGCGGTAACTCTGCTCCATCATACCTTGCAGTTAATGCTGTAGATACCGGTGTATTTGACAAGACGATTTGCGCGGAACCCGGCAGTGTGTCCGAGTCTGTGGAAAGCAGCGAATCCTTTTCATTAAACCCGTACGATCGTGCCAGTTTTGCGGGTTTAAGTGACGACGTTTCAAGCTCCCAGCCTTCCGATACTAGCAAATTTTCGTTCCAGTCTGGCTACGATAACGAGTCGGAGTGGGAGTACGATACTCGACAACTCCGGGGTGTTAATAGCGGCAGCGGCTATGGTGCAGACCCTAGCACCAGTCTGTCTGCTGTTGGTACATTTGAAATGGGGCGTGGCATGCCCATTTTGGAAGAAGACGATTTGGATGATTGCCATGACTTTCGGAACGGCCAGCAACAACAGCCGTCTGACTCTGGTTTCGGCACGCGTAATATGACTAGTTCAGGTTGGACCGTGAGCTAACACACAAGTCCATTACTATGAGTTGACTAAGCGACGTACGTGCAAAGTTTCGTGAGCTTATTACAGTCGATGCTGCTTTGTTCTGCAAAAAGCGCACAAGTGAGCGATGTTGTCGTACGCGTTTTTATTATTATCAAGCAAATGGTGATCGAAGCCATTAATGGCGGCAGCACAAAGAGGTACTCGATGGTGATATTGTTTGCCAAGTGGGCGACATCCTTTGTACTCTTCTCTTTCAAGGGATAGCATGAAGTCTAATGATAAGCAATTGTAGCAATGAACTGTGCTACATGATAACAGTTTCTTTCTGCCTATCGCTTTGATGTCATAATGACATTGTCTTTTTAACGTCCTTACAGAGCTCTACTACGCACTAATTGCACCCCTCTAAAACTAAACAGCGATATGCGCGTGATCATCTGATCCGTGCATTGCTGGAGGGCTTGCCAACTCGTCGTCAGCTTCTGCGATAGCACCATACACATCGGGCTGGATTGACAGCAAAAAAGCTCGATCAGTGGCCGACGTTGAAGACGGCGCAGCGTACTGAGACGAACGCTCTCTGGATGAGTAAGAAGATGACACTGACTCGTGACGCGTACGACCATGATTCAATGTCTCGACGTCGACCGAGAGAAGTGATGACAAGGATGCCATACGATCTTGCTCCTTGAACGAATCCACATGACCAACCGAGTGGAAATGCGCTTGCAGAATAACTCTTAGCTCGTCTTGAATACACAAGATACGCGCTTCTAGATCCACATCATTTGCACCGGCACCAAACGGACACTCGATAGAGGAAGCTACATTATCCAGTGCAAACAGCAGCACAGCAGCAATCCCGACGTAAAACAATGCCATAAATCCCATAGCTGGAGCTAATGCAGCTCCTAGGAGGAGCAAGAATCCAACAAAACACACATGTAAGCATTGTGCCAAGTTGAAAGCAATTGGCACATTGGCCAAATTAAAAATCCTCGTGTACATTTGTGGCAAGGTCGCTACAATTCGATTGAGTTCCATCGCTTGTTCCATTGTCACATAGCTTTTCCTTCTTGCTCGATTAATAGTACGACGTAACCACAGCTCTACAATAGCTCCTCGCATTTTATTAATTGATCCAACGACGTTGCGTTCTCGATTCCATGTGGAATCTCCTCGTGTCAAGACTTGTGTACTTGAGACTTCATCTGCTTCTTTCTGTGTTAATAAAGCACGTAATTCCAAGGGTGCATCATTTTCGTGACAATCATGAAAGACCAGTGTAATATACAAGAGAATGTATCGTTTCACGTCACGAATAAACTGACATTTGTTGCGAATTTGACCATCATCAGCTAGTCCTTTGCGTGAAAAGTGTACAAAGGCACAGGTAGTCGCTGTGAGTGTTCGTGCAGTATCAGCAATGGTACTGACATCAGCTATACCTTGTTGCCAGTGACATAAAGCTGTATAGAGTCTAAAACCGATCAGAACTGCTAGAAATGTTGATGCTGAGAGTAGTAATGGGTACAGAACTGTAGGAGATGGAAGAATCGATGGGTTTATATAACGCTGGAAGAAAATAATTAGAGCTGATAGAATTAGTAGAACGATTGCACGACGTAATGTTGATACAGTAGCAATAGAGGAACCATGAGAATGAAAGAGCAGACGCCATAGGATCCGATTGCTATAGTAAATCATGATACAAAAATGTATTGAACCATTGAACGAACACTTAACGAAGGAAAACGGTCGTCAAGCTTATAACTATGGAAATGCATAATTATATGATATCCAATAGGTTTCCGCATTCCGCATTCCGAGACACACAAGATGCAACAATGTCAACAATGTCGTCGGTCACTTGAGAACGAACTTCTTAGCGCACCAGGTAGAATTGTATTGATTGTATACTATGTCTAGACATGAGCGTGTATTTCTGAGCTTTATTTTGGTGTATTGTTGGCTGAATATGGTACAGTATTGGGTGAATCCTATGTGCTTCTTCCGACTGCAAGTGCCTCTCAGAGCATGTTGCTATTGCAGAAACTACCAGCAAGTACAGCGATACTACCAGAGATGAATGAATCTGGAGCATTCGGAGAAGAGCTGTATGCTAGTGCACGCTATAATCTATCACTACAACAACAGCATCAACAGGAACAGAGACGGCAACAGGCGCAACGTCGTCAGAAGCTTCAACAACGACAGCGACGACAGCAGCAGAGGATGAGAGATAGCTATACAACTCCTGGTGATTATTTTGAAGCTCATGTTGGACGTACAATACGACAAGAGGACGAAAACATCGAGATGGATGACAGTTTAGTGGCTGTACCGACGTATGCAGACCTGAGTCATCATGTCCAGCTCCTTACAACGCAACAAGCACATTGGTATACAAGATATTAGGTCTTGAGGTTGTAGATCATGTGCTAATTTTTACTCATGTGTAGTGCGGGACTACCTGTTGTAACGCCGGTATGCAAGGAGTGTGTGGACAGTATGGTAACGATGACCGACGGGTGCGTTATGGTGAATTTTGGCATACCTTGCAACCACTATTGCGCCTTGTATTGATGACTAATATTGATTGTTGTAGACGTGCTGAGCGAGCTCGATATGAAAAGCGCTGCTTTACAGGATTCCTTCACAAGACGACGAGCTCGAGTGTTCCTAACCAAGATATTGAGCAGATCGACGACAAGATTCGCTACGTACGTGTGTGATGATCTCAAACTTTGATGCTTGATGCTAACTAGGTTTTGAAATAATGTGAATAGTATGAGGATGAGTTGAACGCACTCGTGGAAAATTTGAAGCTCATGGAGAACGAAAGGATCATGATTGCTCAGCAGGAAGAAGCGATGAATGAAGTGGAAAAGACTCTTTTGCATGAAGAAGTAGGATTGTGGGACCAGCTTAACGGGCTGCAGCTGCAGAAATATGCTTTTGAAGAAATTCGGGATGCTGGTACAGCGCAAATTGATGCGATGGAGCGTAAAGTGGCGTCAGCCAAACATTTGAACATCCTTACGGACATGTTCGTCATTAGCAGTGATGGCACGTTTGGCACTATAAATCAATTTCGGATGGGCCAGTCAGCGTCATTTACGGTGGAATGGAACGAGATAAATGCAGCTTTTGGCGAGTGTGCTTTGCTGTTACAGACGTTAGCAAACATCGTTGGCCTGGATTTTTCCGAGTACGTCTTATGGTTGCAGTTTGACGACTAAACTAAGCTTTGTCGTGTCAGATGACTAATGAATTAAATGTTGTGTTTTAGCTTTAAGATTGTGCCGCTAGGTAGCTTCTCGAAAATAATTCGAACGAGCAATCTTCGCATGGAATACTGTCTGTAAGATGCCATATTTTGTAGACATTACCTCTGCGGCAACGTGTACTAATATGATGATGCTTTTTGCTCGGTAGACATGGCTCGGACCAACAAAATTTTGCTGAGTCTCATTTCAACTTGGGTTTGGGTGCCTGGGTCACATGCCTTGGCCAGTTGATGGCCTTTGTTCGAGCGCGAGACCCGTCGATCCGGTTGCCTTACAAAGTTGCGAAGCATTCCGTTGGTGGATATTCAATAATCTTCCTAAAAAACAAGCACAAGGAGTGGACCAAGGCTCTCAAGTATGCGCTAACCAACTTGAAGTGGTTGCTTACATGGGTGTCTGCGCGCGGATACAGCATTACAGCACCAAGCGCTGCCAGTAGCTCAGCTCCGAGCACAGATGTTATTGCTTTTGCTGCCAGTCACACTCACACAATGGACAACAGCGGCCCGAAGCAAAGCGTTGTGATTACGGAGCACTTCTCGTAAACTTGTATTTTAGGTTAGAATGAATATGTACATGTGGCAAAGGGTGTCGTCTAACGCTTGTCTACCTTTCTTGTCTCGTCTTCAGTACAATTACCAGAGCGGTAAGTTATGCTGGCGCTATCCCCATTCTTTGTTCTTGAGTGTAAATGTCTTGTAAATATGTGGAGGTTCGGCGACGCTGACCCTCGGATAATCGCCTAAATAGTCTCGCATGAGCGGTAGACACAGCTCATTCCCTGATGTCATCAGTCTTGATCGTGTGCCGTTTCACTTTCAAACAAGCAGAATCTTGTTTTTCCAGTGTCTTAGGCGTCTTAGCCGCATTGGCGTTCGTTACGCTTGATAACGGCCGCTTCTTGCCAAGTTTTCCGCTCAGGTCTATATTGAGGCTGCCTAGCTCCGCTTTCTTCTCTGCTTCCGGTTCCTCGTCGGAGTTCGTGTCGTGCGCTCCGGAAAAGAAATGCATCAGCAGTCTTGCATCTTCAGACTTTGGTTGGGGCATGGGAGCCAAAGTTGGCTGGCTCGACCCACCAGTGATCTTCATGTTCGGCAGGATCTTGCGACCACGGACCGACACAGCGAGAGAAGATGGTAACGGTGCGGACGTTACATGCTGCGTACCTGGACCAACACCTCCAGCGTTAAGCGAGTGTAGAAAGCGAGCCTCGACAACAGACAAATCTTCACGGGCGCGTCGGATGGCTTGGCGGTTGGCGGTGTTGTTTTCTACGGAACGGAATATCTGCTTGCCAATGGAGCTATTTCCCTTGAGCTTTTTCGTCACGCGCATGGCCTCGCAGTTCAGGCGCTTGGCAAGATACCACCGCAGCGAAGTGCCGTCCTCGACGTCCAATAGCCCACGTTTGAAGTAGTGGATGATCATATTCGTGAACGCTTCCTCCTCAGGGGTCCACTTTCCACTACGCAGACCCGGCGTGCATTTGGACTTTGTTGATCGTTTCTTGAGAGTTGTCACTGTCGCAGAGAGCATCTCAACACGAGACACCGAAGTGAGTACCGCAGCAGCATCATTCGCGGTGCTGCTAATCTGCTGGTGATGCCTTGACTGACATGTATCTCCTCCCTCATCGTCTCGTGGTTGTAAAATTGACGGATTGTACGTATCGTGGACGCTCTCCTGCAATTTACTGCTTCCACTGTGAGCTAGGCTCACAATGGCCTGTGCGACTGCTGTACCTGAGCTCATGTTGCTGTTTGAGCTTGAGCTGCTCGGATCGGTATTGCTAGTAGTAGTATCACTAACACTCCGACTTCGACTTACCATGGACAGCATCATCTCGTGCGAAATGATGCTTGTATTGAAGTGTCTTCTGGAACGAAAAGCGTGTGAACGATGAAAAAGAGATTGCTGGACGTTCAAGCTTGTGTTGACGTGACTATAAACCAATATCTCCGTCTACAAACGTTCGACGTTATAGCAAAACTTGTTATTTCGATTGAAGTTGATGGTTCGTACGGATTCGACAGTGAAGTAGCGGCTTCAAGTAGATTGAGTAACAGAGAAAGAAAGTCAGCTGAGCCCAATAAACCCACGTCCGCCATTCAAACGCACAAAAGTGAAAGGATGCAGAAAAAGAGCTGGTGAACAAACCTGGTTTTGTATGGTGAGACACTGAGACTTGAACTCGATTGGTTTAATCTATTACCAGCACCAAACCCCACAAATCATATGAAGATTAATCAGATCAGAAGAAAACGATGTATTGTACATAATATTTGCATAAACTTTAGGTTAGAAGACGGGACAGAAGACAAGCAAGACTACTATGTGCCATACAAAAATGATATAACTTACCAATTGTTTCTTGCTTCCTTAGAAATGGCAGAATGACAATACGTTTCACTATGATTATTTGTCTCGATAGCAAGATACAAACAATCAATGGAAGAAGCAACGTATATGCAGATGATTCAAGTATACAACGACAGTCTTATCTCAATGTGCTTTGACTAATCTACTTGCGATTGCAGGTGAGACCTTGTCCAGAACTAAACAAGAAAAGACTTTAATAGCAGCCAATGAGACTGAGGCATCTATGTTGAAGTTGTGTTATGAACCAATTGCAGGGCGGCATAGAGCAAACTTCAACTCCAGGTTTTCACATCCGAAAGAGCATGTAGAACGTTAAGAAGGACACGAAACAAGTATGTGAGAGGCAATCTTTGTGTCATGACTTTACTTTGCTAGTTTTTTTAAGCTCATCATCGTACAATCACCAGCCTCACCCACTTCAACTTGAGATTTGGCGTTAGTAAGAATGCAACGATTGGCAGCATTTGTACAAACATGGGTGAACAAATCATCGCATTTAGACTACTGGGAAGTCATAATGTTACAATGAAGACCAGACGCATCGAAATAATTTACTCAGATGCGACAAGGAGGTTACTTCCGGATATTTTCTAAATATACCAAGAGGGTACAAGAAACGGACATAACCAACATGTCACGTTTATGTATGTAATGAAATAGTCCTTTAATGGTCCAGCTATTGCGAGTGGGAGAATCTGTGGGCCCAGCAACGCTCAGCAAAAATGACAAGCTAGCAAACAACGGGGGTGCCAAAATGCAGCATTTTCCCGCCAAGTATAGCGCACATTGTGTCCCTAACTTCGTGGCATCCAAGTGGGATTTGCGGGAAACACTTTTTTACATGAAACGTAGCAAGTAATGGGGTCCATTTGTGGTTTATGTCCGGCTTTTACTACTAAAAGTAGTACAATTGATGCAACTTGAAGTTACATGACTGGAGCATGCAAAACTATCTTATTTCATTACATATTGCTGGACGCACTCCCGTCACAAAACGTGTACCACCACATCACAGATACAGTCATTAGCCATTTTCGTATACTTTATCAAGCTAACGTCCCAAATTAGATTGTCACTTTTGTCTTGATATCATCACCTGCGTCTTAATTTATTTATCTGCATAGAATAAAGTAAACACCACTGGCAATCAATCAATCATATTAGGACAAAATCAATCATAATGGGACAAAGAATACGTCGTAATGACAACGCCACGTATTCTATTAATCTAATTACGGCAGACACTTTGCAAGTAACCATCCATGAGCTGGGTACATGCTGGAGAAAAGTGTTACAAAAAACTCATCTTGGTCTGCAAGACTTCGGCGTGGATTTCGTGCAAAGTCCATTACTGCATCAGCACGTCGACCGAGTTGAAACGCATCTTTACCCTGGAGCATTGTTTCTAAAGAGCGTAGATGCTTCTCTGTCGTACGGGTCATTTTGAATTGAATCCGATCATCCACTCGTAATGGCGCACCGTTGCGTGTCTGTAGCCGTAGGAATATACCCGTCACCATGCACGACACATGAAACTCGATACCATACTGTAAGGAACCACCGAGACCAATCGCTTTCATTATGCCGTTGTTACGACGTGCGTGGCCCAATTCCAGTAGTACGTTGCATAACTGTCGTAGCATCTGCTTTTTCAGTGTTGAAGGGAGCACCTCAGCCAATGGTTTGCAAACAAAGTTTGTCACCTCCGCAGCCAAAAAAAGCAGCTTCATTTGTGCCAAGACACTAGTCTGCACGCGAGCACGTTCAATCCATCCCATCAACTTGGTAAGCAACGCCAAACTCAATGATTCCGTCAGCACTGGCGCACGACGAAGCTGCTGTAGGAAGAGAACCTGGAGGGTGAGTAATTTTCCTTGTTCGAGGCAAGCTGCCTCAAATTCACTACCACTCAATTCAGGCACGTGCAACCGCAAAGCCAATGCATCCCACATTCCTCGACGCTCTTCAATAATCCACTTCTCAATGCTTTTTTCTGCTACTTGGCTCATAACGTGAACCGAGGCCACAGCACGTCCGCAAGCTGCCAAGCACGCCAGCTCTCCACCCCGAAAGGCTAGAAAACTCCACAAAACTCTACCAAGAGGTGTCCCAATCGCTTCCGCAGGAGACTGGATGGCAGAAATATTCGGGTTGATTGCAAGATCTTCCTTGGCAGAAAGACTACGGTCCGAAGGTTGATGGCCTCGGTAGTTTTGCTGTCTCAATGCCTTTTGGCGGGATGCAAAGTCGCGTACAAAAGCGTCAATTTCCACAAATACCACATTGCCGCACTTGTTCCAGTTAAGCCCCGATGAAGATGGTGCAGAGCTTCCACCGCCTGTGTTTGGACTGCATTGCATCTGCTTGAAAAACACTTCTACTAACGACAAATTACAAAATCGCAGTACTCCTGATATCGTGGCCGTCAAACATTCTTCTGAGATACCATCCTTGGTCTCCTCCAAACTACTTGAGACTTCAGCGCCATTGTCTTTTCCAGCTGTAACTTTATGATAGTGTACAATTTCATCTAGTTTTTCGTACAATGCTGTGCAGCTTGAACCGTAGAGGACCATCAACCACGGAGCATGTCTGGAGTTGTAACGGTTACCGTCCAGGGAACCGCGATCGTTTACTTCAAAGACACCAAAGATCAATTTCAGAAATAAATTTACCCGTTGCAAGCTTTCCGTACTGGACAATTTGTCGTGATGCAGTGTAGTAATCTGCCCAAACAGACGAAGAGCCAACTGCAATCGAATGAACCCGTCCTGCATCATCGCTGCACTTGGCGTCGCCGGGAAGAGTCCACTCAAAGCTATGCTTTTCACAGATTTCGTGTTCGCTCGGCTTCCTAGCGGCTCCATTAAAGCATCTAACGTGAACTGCTGCAGCGTTTCCAGATCTCCCACCATCATCTTCCACTTCGCCCAAAAGGTTGATTGCTGTTTAATGAAGTTGACAAAGTAAGGCGGAAGAACATTACTTGACACTGCGTGACTAGATTGCACATGAAAGTGCGGTATATCAAGCACGAGCTCCAAGCACAGCTTTGCAAACTCCAGCAGAAATGATGAACATACAACCTCGCATTGCGCTTCTAGCCAAGCATTTGTTGATTTCCAAGTTGTGCGGCATAATATATCGCGCACTAACCATGATACAAACGGATATGGCAATAACGTAGAGTGCAGCGGAGGAACCATTTGGTCACTAGACACAGTTGCCGCTCCCGTGAGCTTGTTTTTCTCCATTTGAATGAGTTCACGCATCTGTTGCACAATCTCAAAGGTCAAGCACCAGTGCTCCCATGCTAATCGCGTAATGAACTGATGAAAGTGCTTGCAAATGTGTGTAGGCGCATGCGGAACAAGCCCCGTAAGATAGAAAGACCAAATTTGCGACAGCTTTGCTGTTGGTGTCAGCAACAAATGGCAGGTGTCGCGTGTTGATCGTGATGCTGACTGAGTCTTCAGGTACTCGGAGCAAGTAGCCACAAAACAGGAACAAATGGTAGTTCCTGTAGAAATGGTGTCTTGATCCGGCCATGGTGCACTAATCGCCGAGCCTTCCGTGTTTGTAGATGGCTGATATAATGTCGAAAGCAAGGGTTCGAAAAACGCTGTGATAAGTTCCCACTGCTGTTCTTCTGGAGCCACACGACAGCACAACGTGAACAAATCAAGAAAGCTCGCTAGGACACCAAGGCGCTGCCAGTACACAACAGGATACTTTGCTGATGACAGATACGAGTCACTAGGCACTTCTTTTCCCCGAGGAACTTCACTACAATTTCCAATCTTTGATGCATTGCCGCTAGACAACCCACCTTGCCATCTCAGCGATGCCATGTGCTGGCTAAGAAACCTGACGCAAGCCTCGATTTGTGTAAGCGGAAGCTCTTTCCAGACAGGCAATGGGATACCAACTAAAGCCTCCCAGACCAAAGCATCTGCTGGACATGGTAAGAGTGGCAGTCCAGAGGTGGTGGAATTGTCGCCATCGCTAGCGGATGAAGTCGAGACACGGTTGCCCATACTTGAATCATGGAACCGGTAGTCATCGTGGACGCCAACTAAAGCATGCACCATTTTTTCGACATGATCTTCCAGGTGAGCAGAGCATATCAATTGAAGCCCCTTCGCGTATATACGTAGCACGTCGTCAAAGTGGTTACACGCACTGACGTCCTTAGTTTTTTGGGTAGTTCCCAACAAATTACGATCTGCAGGAAATTCGCGGCTAATGTCCCCCAAAATCATGCACAAAACGGTGTCACGATCAAGCTTAGAGGGCATCTGCGGAGACTGCAACCACGCACGAAAATCAAAGCGACGTAGCACAATAAGCTTTTCGTCACTCGATAGCTTCGACGAGCTACTTGCACTCATCAAACTTGCAAACATTTCCACGAAATGCGATGGCGCAGCAGCTGGCGAGAAACACTCGCTAAGTAGGTTGATGCGGGACGGATCTTCCAACATAAATTGAAGCAAAGTACGTGTCTCGCGATCGTCAACGCAAACGAAGTCTAATCCCAGCTGTTTAATGGCCCGCCATAGTGTTTCTCGCAACGGTGGCACCATCCGAGACAGCTTCGTATCTAGCTTGGTAAGACGACGAAACCACTCAAGACCTTTTTCATGCAGTCGTTCCGCCTCTTCGTCTGTCTTTTGATTAAGCAAAAACAACTCCCTTTCCGCAGTATTTTCCGCCGCGTCAATATTTTCCTCTTTGGTAGTATTCGCAGCGTATTCAGTTGTCGTATCCACGCGTGCATCATTCTTCCGTTTTTGTTTCAAACTTTGAAGCCTTTCGTGTTCCATGCCAAGCGTTCGCACAACTTGGTCGATAAGTAAAACTTGAAGAGATAGCATCAGATCATCGCCATCAAGCTCCAGGAATTGTTCAGCTGAAATAGATGGTGCCGTGGAAATTGCCATACTGCCTTCATCATGCATTTGGCCGTCGTATTCGCTTATCGATGATATCACACTTGTCACCAACATCGAACTCATATCGCACCGCTCACCCTGTGCACGGATTGACTGGATAGCATCGTCTGCGCGAGAGTCCATCATCCATTCCAAGAATTCAAATCGAAATGCCGCAGGACCGCGACAATTTGTGCCTTCTGGACACGGCAGATTCTGTGTCACGGTTCTTGTCTTACTTGTAAAGAGTTGAGACACATTGTCCACCATTTCAGAGTCGAGTGCCACGAGAATAGATAATTTCTCCGAGTACTTCATGGCCATCATTTTCAACCCAGTCTCGTTTGGCGGAATAGAGGTTGTGATAGCACACCGATCAGGTGATATCACGACCGATACCGTTGGCAACGACGTTAGGCTCGACGGCCCCAGCACTAGAGGCAAAGGTCTACTACTGAGGCCATTCAGTCCAACAACCTCTCCGAAACTGCCATGTCGTCGCGCTAACACCGATGCTTCTTCCACAAACGCAAAATCATCTTCTTCGCCGGCTGAAGAAGGTGAAGGAGTCAAACCACCAGCATTGTCGCTTTCGTGTTTGTTAGCGGACCGTTTCGGGGTAATTCGCCTCACAGTAAATTCAAAACCACACCAACTTGTCCACAAAGGTAAATCAGACCATTTCATATTGTTTGGTGGTGAGTTCAGCAATTTATCGCTGAGACACAAGACATCTTTTAGTCGGTCCACCTCGTAGTGACGTGGCAAACCCGACAGTAGCTCTTCTTTTAGCCACAGGTTTGGATCCTTTTCTTCCAGCCAAGCATCCATGGCAGTATAAAGCTGGGATAGCGCCACTAGGTGAGCATACCGCCGCTCCTTTACGTCCATAGCCCAGCCCGCACCAGTAGAAGAGCAGCTACCCGAACCCGTAGCAGTTAAAACAACCTGCGCCTGGTTGGAGCAGTAGTTTACAAGCTTTTGCAATTTGATCTGAAGGTGTTTTCGCAAATGCACATGCTTTGGGTTGCAGCTACCGGTCCAGTCTAGGAAATGGTGTGCAAAGACACGAGATCCGCCAACGCTTGCAAAGTACAACGCAAAAAATACCTGCCAGTAGATAATTTGCGTAGGCTCTGACTCGGGCAGATCTAGACAGTAATTGCACCAGCGAAACATCTTGTACTGCGATATAGAATCAAGGCTTTTGTGGCCAAATGTCAACGGGTTCCCAAAATGAGATGCAGGAATTGGACCTTCGTATATCATTTCCTCTGCCTGAACATCCACATTGTTCCCATCTCGTACCGCACGGAGAGCTGCAGCAAGCCTGCCTTTCGTCTTCCTTATTTTATCCAACTTCTTCATCGTTTTGGGTTCAAATCTGATCATAAGCTGCCCCATCGTTAAAAACAGCGGAGCTTCCTTTCGCGTCTCGACAAGCAAACTCCATAATGCTAGACGCGGGCAACCGCTGACATATTGAGCAACATCAAATGAGCCACCAAATATTGAAGCAAATGTTGCCGATGCGGCAACTGCTGGGAGGAAACTCACAACAACTGGCTCGTCCTCAAAAAATTGCTGTTCTCGTTTCCCTGCATCTTCCTCGTGCCTTGCTACACGTCGACAGAAGGCGTCAAAAGCAGAGTCAATCAAGTCCACCAATTCGTACAGTATTGCAGATGATCCAACGATACTCGCATTCCCACCAACAGCTTTTTTCTTGAAAGATGGTCGACAAAGATTCTCCATACTGCACAGTAGCAAGACATCCAAAATATGTCGAAACGCAGCATTTTCGTACCAAAACGGAACGTGTAACAATGCCTTCATCCAAAATCGCATCGAATCTACAAGCGACAAGTCGTCCACAGAATATTCAAAAGACTGACGGATCAACGCACATAGCGATTTTGTTGACTTAGAATAGTTGCAGTTTGATATCAACGCAAGAGAAGCGGCCGTGGCAGTTAAAGAAGAGTTCCGGATAGATAGGGCAGCACTGGTGGATGATGATGCCGACGGTGACAATGCCCCTGTGCTATTCTCGCCCCCTAGAGCCGAAGAAATCCACGACATTGCTCCATGAAATAGAGCTGAAGTTGTGATTGACACGGGACTCGATTGGGGATAACACTCGTTAATGAGTGCAGGGAGCACAACAGGGTGCAAGTAGCAACTGCATTTACGCACAAACCGAAGTTTCACCAATATCCGCTCTTTGGCTGTGTTTTCCCACCCACCAATACAACCCTTGTTAAGAACTTCTTGCATGTGATAAAGTTCGTCGGTATTAATGTACGAGAATTCATGCAGTGAGTTCAACAGGCTCAGCAACTCGTCGATAGATAAAGCTTGCATCGCTGCCATACAGACCTCCAGATCATTATCAAGTTCCGTTGCTACACCACCACTCTGCTCAGGTCCTTCAGTGTTAGCTTTGTCACAGAATGATTCTGCAGACTTACTGCCTTCGCTGTTTCCAGTCAGCGCCTTGAGTCCATCTCCAATTTCGCAATCGGACACCGGCGCCGGTGCTAATTTCGATGATACGTTTTTACTCTTCTCTAGCCGAGCTAAAAGAGGGAATAAATTCTCGAGCACTTTAATAGCTGCCGCATAATTGTCACTCTTTAGCAACACTAGCAACGGCTCCCAGCGATCGAGGCGGTCGCTGAACAAAAATGTCGTCATCTGGCAAATTACGTAAGCCACAATAGGCTCCGTTCGTGGAGCTGCTGTAGCAAAAAATGTCGATTCGATATCTGCTCCGCCCATTCCTCGATGAGGCGTCAAGACCTTTCGACTTCCCTGATGAATAATAGGAGCACCAGTGCTTCTACCGACTACCGTTTCTACTGTGCTACCTTGATTGCTGCCGGCCAGTCCATACTGAGCAAGTTGCTCCTCGAATGAAGTATAAAATGGGAACCCTTTGCAAGAAGGCGATGCTCGCAACGTCGAAGCTCCAGCAAACCATCTGCGCAAAGTCAAGGCCTCCCGAGAGCGATCGTGACGGAGATCAATAAGTGTCAGCAACGGCTTCTGCGTCTTCGGTGAATAAAATCTTAGCTTCAGCATAAGTTTCCAGCACCACTTTTCAAAATCTACACTTTCGTCTAGCCATAAAGCGCGCCGAATCGATTTGGCGATAGAATTGACCTCAAACTTCTGTGGAGACCCTTCTCCAGACAGTACAACCGCTGACTCAGAGTCAATTGCACACTCCTTACGTGTTTTGTACAAAACTAACGCTTCGGCAACCATGAGAGCTACCTGGCGATGAAGCATCGCGTCCGTAAACAATCGTTGCAACTTGACGTCATACTCCCAATTGATGTGGTCAAGAAGAAAACGAGCCAGCACACTTCGTGGTGATGTTGTATCGTCAAGTAGCAGCCATTCTTGTAAGTTCAGCAAATCCTGCGCCGTTGGCATCCAGCGATTGATTGGAAACGTCTCAAACACATGAATCCACGTCTCCGCGCACTGGTGATACTTGAAAAGCAGCCCAATGAGAAGCGATAACACCCACGGATGTGCCAAACAAATCGTGCTCAAGGGACCTGCTACTCGCTCACCACTTTCGCCTAAAGCCCGCTGGCATCTCTCAACAGTGTACCCTGCAATAAACAACTCCTGCACTGCGACAGACACCAAATCATTCCGCTCGCCGGATTGGTCTCCGCTGACGAAAGGCTCGGACTGACACGATGCAGCAAGACTAGCTACCGCGTCCAGCAGATACATTGCGCTTTTTGTGTCCGTTTCAATTAGTTTATAGAGGCGTTGGCGTGCCTGTGCCCCGGTATCTACGTTTTGACAATTCTGTTTACCAATATACTGCATCCACCCAGATCCCGTTTTTACCTCTGCAGGTAGACTTTGGAGATTGAACAATAGAAGAGCCAGCACATCCCACTTTGCCAAGTCAGATAACGAGCCAAAAGGATACAGGTATAAACTCTTCCATGCCACACGATTGCAATCGGCAGACATCAAACCATGCAAACTGGTCAGAAATAACTGATCAAAGGGTGCCGGATAGTAAACGGCGTCTTTCATCCCAAAACTAGTTGGTCGGCCGGAACCAGGAAGCTTCGACGCGTCAGAAAGCAGTTGCCCAAGAAGCTGTGCAATTCGCGCCGGTAGCTTTTCAAACTCTTGAAATGCTCGCAAACTATATGTAAGCTCCAGCACCAGTGTTAAAGCTCGACTAAAACATTTTTTCACGTCCGGGGTGCAACAGAACAACTGCTCAAAAGCAAATGTGTTCGGAAATTGGTTTAATATAGCAACAAAATCTTCGTCCGATAAAAAATATCGATCCAGCATTTCTGGGTTTTCCAACAGCACCCATTCGGAAGATACGAGTCCTTTGGTTCCCGCTACACCAACATCGGCACTCTTTGCTATTTTCGCACCATTAGCAGGTCCGCTGGACACAATAACCGACATCCGCCGTAATGTCTCGGGATGAAATACCAAATGCAACATTGCAATATAGTGGTCAACGAGATCTTCACTCCACGCGGTCCTTAATGAGCCATCTGTACGAACCATAGCTCGCGGAAACTGCAGGAATCTTAAGAACCATGACCGCTCATGTGTTGAAATCCGAGGTAAGTACATTACATGCATTAAAAGGTATGGCATATTCTGTAGCGACTTTGTACGCAAGAGACTCTGTAGACACAATGAGATCCATTTCTGTAACGATTGGCGGAACCGTGACACACTCGTAAACCATTCGTTCGTCTTCGTTGACACAGAAGATGGTGGAAGATACAGCACAACCTCGCAGCTTTCACACAATTTGCACCATTGGTTGGATTTCATGGGCGCGTTCAGGTTGTTACAAGCATAACACTTGATTTTGCGCTCCATTCCGGCACTGCCCGCAGCGCTGTAATGCATTTTAGCACAATTACTATGCCAAACAAGCTCGCCCCGGTAGAATGAATGCGGCACGCGTCCAAATGCCCCTCCCTCTCCCAATGTTACCTTTTTTTCAAAGAAAATTAGCACATCCAAACAGTACTTTAGGTGGTCCACTGACGACAGAAGTGACGAACTCTGAGGTAAGCTTTCGTAAAAGTTTGCACTCTCCGGAATAAGATCCAAATCACCAGTGCCAGTAGCACCCCCACATGTTGAGCTTATTTTGTTCAGGAACGAGACAAGATTCGGCTCTTGTAGCACACTATTTAAGTACTGCTCCACGTGGAAATAGGAAATCGCACGGTCAAACGTATGCATCGACGCCTCCACCGTTCGCAGCTGCCGTAGCTTGTCAAGATGAGCCTTTAACTTCTCAAGCTGTGACGTCTCTAGCTTCGCAGTTTGAAACTCTATTTGCTGCTCAATCTCCACGTTGTCGCCACAGCGCTTTGCCGAAGAAACACGCTTCTTTTCCAAAGTCCACACTACTCAAAGTAAACAAATCATACGAGTTATGTCAACGCCAAAACACTACTGCCATGCTCACGCGTACCTTTCTTGATAAGCACATCAATTTTCTTTTTGTACTCATCCATCTTCGACGCAGCATTATGCAATATGTACTCTGAAAACAAATACCTCTCCACTCGCGCGTATAACTCTCCTTTGTTGGTCTCAATGTGACGCATCTTCGTCTCCTGACGCTTTTGAGACGCCTCAGCTCGCATCAAGTTCATTTCATAGTTAACAAATGGCTCTAGCTTCACACGCACATGTTTTTTCTTGAGAAGCTGCTGATAACGTGTTTGCGTTTTCCCTGCTTCATTTGCCGTAATTAGAGTTGATGCTTTTGCATCTTCCTGCATCATGGACGGATAAATGCTATGCATCCCAGCTTTCTCCTCAGCCTCATGCGATTTCGCAAAAGTCTGTCGCACTGCCACGCTCGCACCTTCCACTGATACATCTGTCGCTACTTTTGCCGGCGTTCTTATCACCGAGCTTCGTTTCTCCAAATTGCGCGGTGATGCAACAACTCGATGCAGCTTTTTTAATGTTGTAGGTGACAATGACGGCGCCGGTGGTAGAGTCGTACTTGAATGATCAGCCACGTCGTCGGTTTCAAACTCGAGCGGTGCTGACGGTGCAGTTGCATCAGTCTCCAATGAAACTGTAATCTCATGAAAAGCACGAGGCATAGACGGCCGCGTCGGAGGTGACAAAGTTGAAGGAAATGGAGCATTCCCTATTGGCTCCAACGGTATCGAATGGATCTCTGAAAGCTCTGTCCCTTCATAAAGAGGTGCAGAAGGAGCAGAAATGGATGCATCAATCACTGATGTCACTGGTAGAGAGATATCCACTCGATCATACGTCTCCCTTGTATCTGTAACCTGATGATCCTTCTCCTGTTTCTGATTCTCTCCATTTTCTTCATCCTGAACTGGAAAAGATTCACATTTTGTATCGTCACTAACTGACTCGTTTGTTGTCTCTAGATCCTCTAGTAACACCGTCAACTTGTCCTCATTGTGTCCAATCTCCTTGTCTTTTACAAGTGGCTTTTCAATCGCTTCTAGCTCAGGAATTGTTGCGTGAACAACAGCCTTCTTCTCCTCCTCATGATGGCTCCATGTTGCGTTCTTTTCCGTTATTGTCTCCACCGATTTCGCAGCTTTTGGACGCTGTGGGCGCTTGCGCACTGCCTCCATGGCTAAATGGGACGAATTAGAGGCTAAAACCTAGGTTTTAATGGCTTCAACCTTAGAAAAAGTAATAAGTTGCTTCTTTTTGAGCTTCTAAGGATGTAATTGACACCGTTAACTTACCCACAAGACCACTGATAGTAGTGAAATGAGATGGATAGAGATGTAAGAGGCAGAGAGAGCAGTAGACACAGGAAAAGCTTTTACTTAATTCGTTGCTATTTATTTTCTTTCTTTGGTACAAAAAGTGGAAGTGCCAGTTGGCTGCTTTGCTGATTGATGAATGTAAATGATTGCATCGATCGATACACAAATATATACATATATGGTACTAACATTCACAAACATAGCAGGTTCTGGGTCGACGGGCGTCAGTCAATACATGTCGCAGACGTCACAAATGACCATGTTGAAGTGAGAAAAGCTCAGCAGCTTATTGATTTCTTTGTATAGTCAGATAGATATGTTAAATAACAACAATGTCAAATGAAGCAATCATTAACAATCATACAAATAGTGTTGGTCTTGTCATACAAGAAGAGTTAAGACCGAGTGGTTGTCATTATAAGGTAAAGTAGACATGCAATCGATGTAAGACAGTCTTAATGTTGTCAGAAGTAAAGCAACACACGATGCACTTCTATGCCAATACTTGGTGTAACTTAACTCTTGCTACGATCCTCTGTCCTTCTATTCTTAAAGCAAAAGTCTTTACAAACCGTAGTGTTAACCCAAGCAAGTTTTCACCTACAAGCGCTGTACTATATCAACAACTTTACGGACAGTGACAATCTTGCTACGCTGGATAATGTACATGTTGAATGCTTTGAGGCTGATAAAGGCACAACATGTTTCATTGTCGCGTCATTTTCTGCGTCGGAAGCTTCTTGTTATCGTACTCATAACTACATTCTAGCAGGCTATGGATCGGTCTTGCTTCATCATTTGTTTCGCAATTTACTAGCTTGATGCCAAATGCAACGAACTAGAGAAGTCAACCTCCTGACAGTCTAGCTCACCTAACAAGATTGCAACTCGACGGCACGCTATCAATATTGAATCGACACGCGATACATCCATACACGATCATTCAAGACGAACACCGTGCCGACTTCATTATCGCTCGTACTGTCTCGATCTACATCGACACAAGACTGCAGCAACGCGGGTCGATGGTACTCGACGGCACTAGCTTATCGATTGACATTGCGCTCATGTGCTACAATTCTCCATCAGAAGCCGTCGTCTAACACACGCTCAACAAATGCTTTGCCCGAAAAGTAACAAAGAGGGATGGAAAGAGCTTGGATGACTCGTGTTTAACAACCTAAAGCAAAAAGTCTTGTAAAGAACACATTGTAGTGTCTTGAAAAGGTGACAATTCTCATTCTCATAGCTTTTCAAAGTACTTCAGTGGTGAGTCTCCGTATCTTGCAATCGTTTCTTTGGCAATGGCCACCACTTTGTCGTGCACTTGATCAATTGTTCCCGTAGCGTCCACGATGTGCCACTTGGGCGTCGTGCGTTCCATAATATCGTAGAAGTTTCGATACACCTTTTCCTGGAATTCTGTAGTCTCATACCGTTCCTGGCCAAAGTCAGCTCGAGTAGATGCCTGTGAGACTGGCAAGTCAAGAAAAATAACCGCATCGGGCTTCGGTAGTCCGATCTCTGGCGCCCAGCACCAGTCAAGAGACATACCGCTCTTTGCAGCAGAGAAAGCCGCACCACTAAAAGAATAACGGTCCAGTATGACATGGTGACCATTGGCTAAGATGGATTTAATTTTACCGACTGCTTCCCATCGGTTTGCAGAGAAGAGCAAATGGATCGCATGATCGTCCATAACATCGGCAGTTGTAAGATACGAATGGATGCTCTTACCAATGGCCGTACTCCGATCAGGAAAGTGCAATAACACAGCTGACTGAGATGATGATGAGGAGGAGGAGGATAAAGAAGAAGGGTCGTTTAACGTCTTATATAGAAGCTTACTTTGTGTTGTCTTACCACAACGATCTACACCTTCAAAGAGTAGGAAGATACCGCGTTGAGTCATGGAGTTTGGAAATTGGATACTTTTGAATTCGAGACGTGTGGAAAACGCCCAATTTGATGGTTACAACCACGAAAGTACTGGCTTTGACGACATTTTGTATTGAATGAAACCTACGACTTGGACCACTGTTTCAAGAACGAAACGTCGGAACGTTATCTACCTTTTGGTTATTATCAAATGCATGCATGCATGCATCATAGGATACGACTTGACTGTTACAACAGCACTTGTGGCCTTTATCATTGCCATGGTCGTTGCAAAGCTAAGAACAAACGATCTTCTTAGTGGTGTCCTGGTGCAGCTAACGTCCATACCGCGGCTTTCTTGTGCTCAAAGCAATTTTCTTCTTGAACCATTTTCAAATACGCCTTGGACAACTAACCAACCAACTAAACACTTTCAACACGACTTGAATCATGACCAACCTAAAAGTTATTCTCACCTTTGCTGCTGCTGTTACCATGGCCCATACTACCTTTACTGCTGTGAATGCTGCCAGTCTTCGCTCGGGAGAGGAGAAGTTTCTTACCAACTTTGCCACTGACAGCGTCAAGGCCGAACGCCTCCTTTTGGAGATGGACGGTAGTGACGAAGACGAAGACAATGTCCGCAAGACCATGGGCAACAAAAGCCCCCCAAAGAAGACGGAGGGTCGCAGGGACATAGATGAAGACAGTACGGAAAGCATTGAAGGTAATCGTTTCCTTGTTGAACTCGTCGACGGTGAGAGCACCGCAACGAAATACGGTGCAAGATTCAATGGAAAACGCGTTCTCGCGGCTGATGAAGACGAGGAGTCGGAAGACAGCAATGAGGAAAGCTCTAGTGAGAAACTCGAGGATGAGGCTGAGACTGAGACTGCGACTGAGGCTGAGACTGCGGCTGCGACTGAGGCGGAGACTGAGACTGAGGCTGAGACTGAGGCTGAGACTGAGGGCCCCACTATCGATGGCGTCCGTTTTTTGACGGAAACCGACGTTAATGATAGCGAAGAGAACACCAGCAGTGAAAGCGTTCGTGAACCTGTGTCGCAAATGAGACAAAGAACGACAGAAGTGCCAGCACCGGCGCCGACGTCGCCAGTAGCGAGAGACGTGCCGACTGCAAACGCTTCCTAATTGAATTGCCGTGGTGATACGGGTCTTATCTCCTTGTATGATTAATTTGCGGTTTCTGCATCACTAGCAATGGAATCTGCATGTAATGAGATGACTCACAACAATATATGCTCACCGCCTCTTCTTCTTCATCTTAACCTCTTGATTTCGTCATCATCTTCAATCTGATCCATGTCCGTCACCATAGAATCTTTATGATCCTGTGGTACATGCCTTTTGCTGCTAATTGAGACAAGCAAAGATTCAGAAATTTAACACAAGCCATTGCTCAAAAGTCCAGTCTGCACCAGCTTCAAACGGGACGCCATTTAACGTATACATGGGTGTGCCCGACTTGCCTCTGGAGCATGTGTACTTCCACGATTCACGGACAAGGGCATCCACATCAGTGCCCCCATATCCTGTCATTTGAGTCTCCCACTCCGCATCAGTCAACGATGGAAACGTCTTCTGAGCAAGAGCCTTAAGCTTTTCAATCACTTGTATGGAGCTCAAGTCCTTCGTCGCTTTGTTCCAAAAACTGCAACCAATCCATATAAACATGTCATCTCTGCTGTATCCATTGCAACATTGGAGACACATTTGATCGAGCTTCGAGTCTTACATTTCCTGATTAGCATAGACCGCTTCCAGCCAATCGGTAAAGCTTCGGTCACCCAACGCCTTGGTGATAGTGAAGGTACCTTCAGCAGTAGCGAAGGCGTGTTGGTGGTATGGCAACGGGAACAGCACGAAGCGAACACGCACTTCATCCGTCTCATAATGTGCTGCCAACTTCTTCAGTCCAGGGTACGCTGATTTACTGTCCGGACATAACTGTCGCAAACATTTATGACGTAAAATAAAAAATGCGCGTAAACTATGCTGCGCAGTACATCATCAATCTAATACCAAATCAAAAATTGATTTATGACTTTCAGTTTTATCTTTCCGTTTTTTATTCAAAGAGTTCTTAAAAATGACGTTGGCGGTAGTTTTATCCGCTTCTTTGCTACTCTCTGTATGCATTAATGCTCAAGTTCCTATTCCAGGAGAACCTCCAGGATTTACAATTGGTAGAGGCAGTGGAAAAGCCAGAGTACAATTGGAGACATATATTGATTTGCTCTGCCCGTACAGCAAGGCTGCGTATAATGGGGTGAAGGCGTTAGCAGATCACTACGAGTCTGGGGAATTTCGTGTCAAGGTGGTGATATTCCCCCTACCGTTTCACCAATACGGTTTCACTGTAGCAGAATCGGTCTATACGATAACATCGGCACTTGGTGACGATTACTTTACGCCGTGGCTAGAGGTTCTGTACGAAAACCAAGAACGGTAGGCGATTTATAGCTAAGCTATTGATGAACCAAGTACTGACCTAGCATGTACTTGATCTTCGACTGGCTGTTTATAGGTTCTGGAACAAGGCAACTGTGAAATTGAGTGCAATGCAAGTGACGAATCAGCTGAGAGATTTGGCAAATAAGACGTTTCCAAGCCTCACTAGCAAGAAATGGGAGGAAGGAATGACGGGTTACGGGGGTACTGAAGCGGATCAGCACACTCGCATTACATGGAAATATGCATGTACCCGCACAGTTACGGGTACGCCTCAGTACATCTTGAATGGCGTGCCATTTGACGAAGCTGATTCGGCCTGGAAACTTGAGGACTGGCTTAAGGTCATTGACCCGCTGGTCAAGGCTAACAGATTGAAGGATGGACTTGTCGTGGCTAAGATAATTTGACTGGGATGTCTCGATTTGCTATGGACAGATAGACAACTCATTAACTAAAGGCCAATGTGAGAAAGCTTGAAGGATGATGGTGAGATATCAAACGGTCAGATTACCAGCTGTTTAGTGAGCTATGCTTTCAAGGTGTGATGTGAAGATGTAGGCAGTTAGGAATCTTCACGACGCCCTAAGATTAGTGTAAGGTGTCTAGTATCTGTATCCATAGGTTGGTACATTTTTGTCATTGAGAACACACGCCTGTATATCAGTTTGAGCGTTGACAGCAGTCATTCCTTTAATCACGAGATCGAAATGATGTCTCAGTGTTTGTAGCGATGGTGCTAACGCAACTCATGGGTCGAAAAGATGCTGAGTACATATCATAAAACATTTAGTGGCCTATAAGATGTGAGTACGTATCATGTATCAAAGGATCCAATACATAATTATGTATCAAGGAAACTAATTTGTTCATTGAATACAATTCTTGTCTTAACAGTGGCAGCCGTTCATTTAAGTGTTGCACGACGGCACGCAAATTTAGTACATACGATATCCAAGTAAAAGAAAATATGAGATTTATCGTCTTTTCTCATAGTTCAATCATTGTATATTTCTAGCTATCAATTGTACTGGCGATTTGATACGTAAGAACTGAAAATGGCAACCCCGTCTCAATGAGGGAGCAAAAAACACTAGAAAACCAGTTTTGAAGTCGGCTATTCGAGAACGAGCTCTTGTTGCTCGCTGACTCTACCATCAACAGACTCACGTTCACCACCATCTTCTTCATTGGGACTCTCTTCTTCCTCGTTACTTGCAAGCTGATCCATATGTTCATCATCACTTATTTGCGTAACAAGTTCATGATTCGACTGTTTGTATCGTGTGTTGCGAAGACAAGCAAGGGTGACGCAAACAGATAGAATGCTACTAACTGTTGCGATTACCAACGCCGCCCATAGCCACGTGATTCCGATGTGAGCCTGACTACTGTTTTCACCAGACTGACTGAGTGTAGAAGCCCCAACATCTAAAGCGGATGAATCCGATGGCGCATAGCAAAACGAACCCTCAAGGTCGGTTGCGTTTAATCCCGTATTGGTGACACGCTGAGCTATATCACGAAATTCGAGTCTGTTGACAAAGCGATGCAGCATTTCTACAGCCACATCCGGTACATCCATCGGCACTATGTGTCCTGCACCCGTGACCACCACGTAGGTCAGGTTGCCATCTTGCTGCGCAAAGCCTGCAGGCTCTGTGCGGTCTTTTACTCGCCACGTGTATTTCTTCGCCTGCTGATATGCTTTTGAACCATTCCAGTTCAAACTCAACAACATTTTTTCCGTGCCATAGTGGTTGCACATCATATCCCATTGGCCGTTGTAAAAAAGCATACGAAAGCCTCCTTGAAGCAGCGACTGCACTGTATCTAGCGTGCTGACACCGTCAAACTTAACCAGCCCTCGGTAGACACCATCACTGCACATGTTGAAGCGAAAATTCTGGTCCTCATTGCCATGCACAGCTTTACGTACTTCCATCTTATTCATATACTTTACAAACATGTCCCGTGCTGGTGGATACGCTGAAACGCTGGGCACATACTGCCGCACGTCGTAAATGTTCAGTTTTGTCCCCCCGTTTCCGGTCTGAACACTGTTTATAATGGCATCCATATTATTAAAGCAGGTTTTTGAATAATATATACCATCATCCAGTAAAGATAGGCAATCAGCGTATAAAGCCTTAAGCGAGCGGACCTGCCCAAAAGTCAGCAATCCAACACCATGAGCATAGTCACTGTACTCGTACTGAATTCTTGGGTGCACCCATCCATTGCCAATGCCGCTTCCATCCAGACGTATCTGAATTGAGCTATTGAGATCATCATTTTGCTTCAAAATATAATCTGAAAACTGAGGAATCCATCGTCCCGCATGTGACTCACCGAACAGGTACACAGCTCGCGAATACTTTACCCCATCATTACCTGCAAGGTACTCAGAATGTCGCTGCAAGAACTTGATAAGAAAGTCATAAAAATCAGCAGCCACGGCTTTTTCATCCGATCGATAGTCATTGCCACGTGTATACGACATGCCCGTCCCAACTGGTTGGTCCACAAAAAGTAAATTAGCAAACTGATGCCAACTATGCTTATTCTCGGCGATTGTCGACTCGTTCACCATCTTGAACGGTGAGATACCAAGAAATAGACCCTGCATACTCGAGCATCCAGGACCACCATTTAACCTGTAGTAAAGAATACCAACCGATACGAAAGGTCACGAGGATAGAATAAACATGGTGTTTAATGCGTCGTACCAGATGACAAGCGGTGCCTTGTCTGCGTTCTTAGCTGCTTGAAAATGCCAATAGAATATAAAGTTCTTGTCACTATCGTGTAATGCAATGCGTCCTGCATGATGCGTCACGTTGACTAACGAGTCCAGTCCCGGCAGGTTTTTTACCAAATCCCCTTCGTTCGTCTGCTTGTGCTTATCTGGCTGTGTCTTTGTCGATAGAATACGTTCTGTCTGTACATCCTCGTGAATCTTCCGAGCATGTGGACTGCTTGGATTCAAGCGCTGTGCTGATACTAGTCCACTTGCCAAAGTGGCTATTAATGCAATTGAACGAGACGTCATAATGCACTGCGGAGTCAAATATTGATAATAAACCTCTCAAACGTCATTCGGACGTACCTATTTAGTAGAAACGTTTAAACGTTTAAACAATTAAGCACTTTATTGCTCACGTCAAATCATGGCCCAAATGTTGTTTCATAGTAAAGAGCTTGTGAGAAGACTCTTAGGGTAAAGTCCTGCTCTTCAATCTGAGCAGATTGGTGTGTGGTTTTGCCGTTGTCGGATGAGAACCACCATCAGTCGATCGATCATTGATTGTCCATGATGTTGTACACTGCAAGGTCTTCGATAAAAGACGCTTAGTTCACAGAACGATTGTTCCATATGGACCGACACTTACGCCTTTGTCCAGCTTCTGTAACAACTCGCGCCTTACTTGTTAGCTCTGTGCTGCTAATGAACAACCACAACGAGTGGAGATAATAGCAGTTGGGAGACAGGAGCTAGCTTTACTTTGCAATCTTGGCGAGGTCAGAAGCTAAGGTCTGCGAGCCCAAACACACTACTGATTGTGGTAAAGCAGAGCCCAAATTGTTTACTTTGTTGACTTGCTCCTGGTTGTTACGGCTGTAATACTACGTCAGGTTGCATGATATGTTCCTAGCTCAAATGGGCGCCAAGTAAATTATACTAAAAACTCCAACGCGTTATCATCACCCAAACCCGTCGGTATTTGTATCAGCGAAAACAAAGCGCCCATCCTGACCGTCAGAAGCTCAGCGTACGAACTATTTCAAAGTGCTATGCAAGAGTGACGCGCATCTTGTCGACCAGCCTCAGGGTGCTGCCCATTTACTCATGTACGATATTTAGCCGTAAATGTCATCGTTGTCGTCGCCCTGGCCTCCTGCACCACCGGCAGCGCTGCCGCCAAAGCTGTCTCCGCTATCCATGAGGAAATTGGCTGCCAATGCCTCATTCTTGTCGCATGCCAAGTATGCCTGAATCACATCCGTGCGCTCAAATCCCATCTCGCACAGTCGATCGACAGCAGCGGCTTCCTCCTCAGATAGCATGATGCGGTGGCCGCCCACACCAGCACCTGCACCTCCACTAAGGTCTTCCAAACCACCGCTGCCCATTGAAGCCATCATCTGCTCCATTGCTCCAGGTGGTAGGTTGCTAAGCATTTGAGAAAGACCACGAAGCTGTTCGGGACTCATTCCCATTTGTGCTGCCATTTGAGTCTGCTGCTCTGGTGTGAGCGAGTCCACCAACTGCTGTATTTGTTGAGGGGTCGGCATGGCACCGCCACCACCTATACCCAAGTCGAACGGTGCTGCACCCACGCCGCTAGGCGCTGATCCTGTTTCACGGGTTCCAATAGGTTCGTTTAGCAGTTGCACAAAGCGGTCCTGGTTCTGGTGAATCAAGCGTAGCAGCTCTGGGCTCTGCACACCAATCTGCTGAAGCACTGCAGGCAACGCCGCCGGGTTGGACTGCACCAGTTGACGCAGCGCGTCGAACTGCGGGTGGTTGCGGAGCGCTTCGAGCGTGTTTGCCGTTTCGTCGCCACCAACACTGGCGCCACTTCCCGCACCTGCTCCACCTGAAGGAGTAGGCGTCTGCGGGGGAGCTGCAACCTGTTCAGGAATGCCTGTCATCAGGTACTCAACTGCACGTTCTGGGTTGTTGAAAGCCGCACGCAGGGCACTGCGCACTTGATCTTCGGGAAAGCCCATATCCACAAGCTGTTGCACCGTTGCGCCCATCTGCTCGGCAGTTACAACGTTACTGCCTTCTCCCGTCGAAGCATTTGCAGCAGTCGTAGCAGGAGGAACCGATGGCGTTGATACCGCCGGAGCAGTAGCTGAAGAGCTGCTGGATGCTGATGATGTATTGAAAGCAGGAGCAGACACCGGGACTACCGGTGCAGCATCCGTCGTTGAGACTGAAGTTGTAGAAGAAGCTGTTGTCGTCGTAGCTGAGGGTTTTGCCGCCTTTGGTTTTGTGACCATTACAACTAGAAAATCATTCTCTTTCACATTGTATTCAGCCAATGTACTATCATCCTTTAGTACTTTTCCTGCATGAATAAGTTTCTGTTGCGAGATTGGAAACTGCTGTAGCTTTTCAATCTTTTCCTTAACGGCCAACACCTGAAAATAAAAATAACAAACGTAACGTCATGAGACAATTAAACATCCGTCCTCTCTTGGTTGATCATTATCATTACTCTGTAAAACGAGACAAAATCGAATGGAAATGCACAATACTCTATCCACTAAAAACTAATTCTACTTACAGTATCTGTAAGTTCAGTGTCTAAAGAGAAAGCTACACCTTGTAGTGTCTTAATTGTGAGCTTCATCTTCTGTCGTGTCCTTCCGTTACTTCTTTTGCTTTTTACCTCACGAATGAATAAGTTTATTTACTACGGAGAAAAAAGATTTTCCAATTGGTGCTAAAATGTCGCCGATTCATACTAAAACAATCATTTTTACATTAAATCGTTATATTTGCAACTTTTTTTGTAGTCATTATGACCAATCATATTGCAACATTTTCCTGAATCAATAAGTAAGATACTTTGAAATCTTCTAGACATATGAAACCTCTCATACTGACTACTAACCCGCACGCAACGTTGTATCCTCTCACTCTTCAACTTCAACACTATCACATAACCGCTTCATCTAATGCTACGCTCCCTCCTGTCCCTCCCTCGCGCTTCCATTTTCTCTTCTAGTAATGTAAGTCACTCATCATTTATTGGTCTGATTACGTATTCATTCATAACATAACTCACTCACTCACTCTCTTGCTTGCTTGCTTCTATTCTGTCATGTCCTTTCCATAGATTCGTCCTTGTCGTGCATTAGTCCCAATAACTTTATGGTTACAAAATGGAACGCGATCATATGGTGCAATGAATGAAAATAACAAGACATCGATTATGCTGCAAGTAGAGGACGGTCCTGGTGCACTACAAGAGACACTCAAGTTCTTTTGGAAGCATGATGTGAACATGACACGCATTGAATCACGTCCTGCTAAAGGCCATAATATGAACTACTGTTTTTATATTGATTTTGAGGGTAAACGAGGACAAGCAGATGTGGATGAACTCATGGCGGACCTTTCAAAGAATTGTTTGGATGTTATGGTGCTTCACGATAAGAAAGGTTGGCTGTGCTAGTGATTTAAAGCGATTGATATTGAAGTGGAATATAATAATGATGTGTTCGTGTGATTAGTACCATGGTTTCCTCGCAAGATCAAGGAGCTTGATCGCTCGGTGGCTAATATACTCGATGCTGGAACAGATCTCGAGTCAGACCACCCGGGTTTTAGTGTACGTGGTGATTCGATTACCGATGCGATCAGTAGCTCGTGTTTTATGATACCAGAACTGACTGGTTTGCTGCTGAACTGTATAGGACCAAGAGTACCGTAAACGCCGGAACATGTTTGCTGATTTGGCCCATAAACACCGCCAAGGAGATGCCATTCAGCATATAGACTACACGAAAGATGAGGTGAGACGTCGTCACGGGCTATGGCGTGTAATGTGGACTGTGGACTAAGATGAAATCCCATTGTGTTGTATGGTCATCGTTTTAGGTGAAAACTTGGGGAGTCATTTACAAGCGAATGAAGGAGATGTGGAAGCAACACGCATGTGATGAATTCAACTACATTGTTCCGCTACTCGAGAGCAATTGTGGTTACGCTGAAGACAACATTCCGCAGCAGCAGGATATTTCAAACTTTCTTAAGGAATGTACGGGTTTCGTTCTGCGTCCGGTAGGAGGACTTTTATCAGCACGTGATTTTTTGAATGGGCTTGCGTTTCGAGTGTTTTTCTCGACTCAAGTAAGACCGTGACTCAACTAAGCAATGTCATAGGTGATGCTTGTTGAACATGTGCTTACTTTTTGTATGTCCAGTACATTCGCCACCACTCGATGCCGTTGTACACACCGGAGCCTGATATTTGTCATGAGCTGATGGGCCACGCGCCAATGTTTGCTGTGCGTATCCATTGTTGTATTTTAAAATAGTACGAAATTATCTTTTCAGCCGCATCTAATGCTTTTTTACGCCAACAACAGGACCCTGACTTCGCTGACTTCTCGCATGAAGTTGGTCTTGCCTCTCTTGGAGCATCAGACGAAGAGATCGAGCGTCTTGCCACGGTACGCATGCGCATGTGATTGTAAGAATTTTCTTTCCGAGTTTCTGAAGTGTTGAATTGATGTATGCATGCGAGCAGTGCTACTGGTTTTCTGTTGAATTTGGACTTACGAAGCAGCATGGCGAGTACAAGGTTCGTGGTCATTCAACTTTCTGTGTGGGCTGTGTTGTATGATTGAACTCAATCATGCAGCGACTGATCTTTTTTCGTCTAGGCCTACGGTGCTGGACTGCTTTCAAGTTTTGGCGAGATGGAGTACGCCTGTGCGAGCAACACTTCTGCGGATACTGCTGTGCCGGAGTATCGTCCTTGGGATCCATTCTCTGCTTGCAAGCAGGAGTACCCCATTACAACCTACCAGCCTGTGTACTATGTGGCTGACAGTTTGGTAAGGATGCACTGACTTGTTTTGCATCACGAGTAAGTTCATTAGTGCAACCATTTTGTAGTTTGACGCCAAGGAAAAGATGCGCGGATTTTGTGAAGACCTCAAGAAGCCATTCCAAGCTCGGTACAACCCGTACTCCCAAACGGTGACCATTGACCGTGCCGTTCAGCGTCAGGGAAAGCTAGCATGCTGGTGCATGCTGGTTCTCACAGTAACGATGTGGCGTCAATTAGGTCTTGCTGGACGGGCGCTACTTTGCCATTTGGCCACAATAACATCTTCAGTTAGAACATGGCATTTGCTATAAAAGACCTCGACTTTGCCTGCTTTTTGATGTTCTGTCTACAAAACGAGCTGGTACGTTGCACTTCTAACACTGACATGACAACGACGCTATTGCTGGATTGAGCAGTACACTTGCAACAACTTTGACCGCTTGGATAGCAACATTCGACACGCGTACAATTTACAAGGTAGTAAGAAGCAGATGTACATTCAATTACCATTCATCTCGCTGTGTCAGTTCCTCTTCATCCTGTGGCCATTTGTAAAGCCGCATCAATAATTTCCGGAATAGAGCCATAGCTTCCAAAGACGTGCCGGTTCTCATTCTGCTCCTCAGTCTCACTGTACACAAGTGCCTGTTCCTGTTGCATCTCTTTGGTCATCAAGTGGGCAACATCATCACCAACACAGCTTGTTGTAGAACTGTCACCGTCTACACAGCGTGTTTTGTAGAGAATATAAGCGGACAGCACTGCGCGAAAGAAAGGTGTAGCAAGGAGTTTGTCCATGGGAAGGTTGTCACCTTTGGTGTCAGCTAATAAAACACGGAACCGCAAGTGTTCAGGCGCTAAGGTCTCGTAGATATTCCGCCAAGCCTCATCGCGCAGCATCTTTGGCGCGTAGACAACGCGGCAAGCAATCTCGGGGTCTTTCATCTTTGCGGCATAAGCCAGCGGGAATGAGCGCGGTGAGTTAATAAATATTTGATGGTGCGCGTTTAGCGTGTACTCGTCATTATCCAGCAGAGCAGAAGTTGGCGAGGTAGTAGACTTGGACGTATCCCGCAAAACCGGTGGGGGGAGATCAGTGCACATATACCGTGCAACAATGTCGTGAATACTGCGAGCCAGTACGGCACGCGTCTTTTTCAATCGATTCAACTCATTGGCATCCATGACATAGAACTGAAGCTTCTTCCAGTGCTGGGTCAGATGCTGCACATCCGCTGCTGCATTGTGCACAGTTGATGCATCCACGGCCAATACTGCCGCCAATAGTGATGCAAAAAAACAACCCAGTAAGCTTGAAGGGACAGCGCGAACGAGCACACCAAGTGTAAGGCAGGCCAGGACGGCTTTGACTGCTGCAGCACCCAAATGCAGTAAATTGTTGTCAGGTTTACGCGGAGGAAAGCGGTAAATGAGATCGCAAGCGCTCGCCATGAAAAGACGACCGGGTAGCTTAAAGATAAAGCGCAACGCCGCAGCTAGAAGCCATACAAAGTGCAGTGGGTGCTTTGGCAGATCCTCGACGCCCAGCAACACACTGGCAAAGTTAATATCCTCATCACGGAGCTTCCAGTACTTCAACGTTGCGCAATACGCCATCATGTTGCGTTTCAGCTCGTGCATCGCAGGATGATTTGATGTTCGAAAGTGAATCTGCATGATTTCCTCGTTCATCGACGCGCGCTGTCTTCGAGAAAAACAATCGTCTCGCGCAACCTTAGCGCAGTACACGTGCAGTGTGCGCGTCAACCGCAGCATCTCAATCTGAGCTACTGACAGCGGCAGAGGCATCGTCAGCGACGCGCGCAGTCTGGCACTAAAATGCTGTGTAAATTCAGTCGGATCTTCTGCAAAGATTGCCACCTCGCGCTCCTCCAGCAATACAGGCGCCCCGTAACGAAGACATGCGTATCGCCGCACGTCCAAGTAGCTAGCAGCTGCGCAGTAATGCATAGCCACGGGTACTACAAGTGCGCGGCTACATGAAGCGGTGCGTAACGCAGTGGCAATCTGAAAGACGACTCGATTAAGCGCCGCTTTGCCTGGACTTCCCGGGGTCGGTGCAAAGTCCACAAATACTCCCATTTTGTACTTCATCTCGTCGGTAATGACATCATCCAAATGCTTTTCGTTAATAAGGTTGGCGCGCAGCTCCATCTCCGCGCGTACATTGGCCAAAACACGTGTCATGTCTGTCGTATTGACAGCATCCGGAATCTCAGCCACCAACGGCGTAATGTAATCCTCTACAATCGCGCTCTCTACGATATATGGTACGCGACGGTGCCAAGCAGGCGAGCGGTCAATAAGGTAAACAACAGGCATAAACTCGTGCTTCTCGCTCTCACGGCTAATGACTTTGAACTCCATGACACGCGGAAACACAGCACGTGCGAGGAAGGAGCGTATACTGTGGCTACGGTGCCGTGGCAGTGCTTTCTTGGGTGGTAATGGCCACAAAGACCCAAACGTCAGCGACGAAGGCATCACTTTCTTCGACAAGGATTCGTGAGTCTTCAGTAATTGAGGCTATAGGAATGAAGACGACGCATGACGTGCGCATGTTTTTGTACTTCGGTACCACTGTGAAAAACGATACTTTAACGACAGACTGCAACCTTTTGTACCTTCTATATCCTTATGAAATGGGGGAAGCAAAGAAAAGGAGTCGCAAATACAAGCTTTGAAGAGGCGGCCGTGACGACGCATGCATCGATGCAGGAAATGAGCCCATTGGTCAAAAATAGCTAAGATTGGAAAGGACTGCTAAAAGTATCGGACTGGTAACGCACGGTGTGGGTGTAGTTACGGCCTTGTATTCTATTGTTACATCTGTGATAGTAAGTTGAGATGATAAGCAGATTACGGTGTGATTTAGCACTAATCATATTTTCCATTCAAGCAAAGACTTTATCTTTTTATCAAACATTGGACACAAATGTAACAAAACAAGCGACAATATTGACAATAAATGATGATAACATTTCCACTCTTACAAACCAAAGTATTAGAGCTGCCAAGGCAATTTTTAGACGAAGGGCATGTATGTATCAATGAGACTGCCTCTTAATCTATTCAAAGACAAGTAAGGTCTGGTCAAATGGTTTTCGCATCATTTGGAGATTAGGATCAGAGGTTGTCAGGAGAGTTGGATCAGCCAAATCAGGTAGTTACATGACGACTAGGTGCTAATTGGCAATATTTATGGATGCTATCTGCCAAAGGCTGTAGTATTTGTGACTTACGAAAACAATCACCTGTCAAAGCTAGAAATCTGTTAATTGCTTATTCGTAAAGAGGTCAGCAACATACAACTCATTACGCGAGAACTTTCACTGACAGCAAGGACCTGTCGCTTCGGCTAATATGATCCACTGTCATAACTGATTCTGGCAACCCTCTGAATATAGTTGCCGCATCACTGCAGTCGCACACAACCTTCTCGTAGAATGCACGCCTCATCAGCTTGGCAGCACATGACACGTCCGGAGACATATTCGCACGCTCGTGTTCCACTAGCAGTACAGACATGAGCAGTAGTAGCCCATTCTCCAGCACGCACAAGGTGCATGACATTTCGGTCAGGATGAACACGAGGAGCTCCACTCAAGCGAACATCTTGCCACGCCTGGATCCCAACTCCCAAATTCAAAGCAGGCTTGTTAGCCTTCACGAGCGGGTCAACAACTTCAAGCCATTGCTCAAAAGTCCAGTCTGCAGCAGCTTCAAACGGGACGCCATTTAACGTATACATGGGTGTGCCCGACTTGCCTCTGGAGCATGTGTACTTCCACGATTCACGGACAAGGGCATCCACATCAGTGCCCCCATATCCTGTCATTTGAGTCTCCCACTCCGCATCAGTCAACGATGGAAACGTCTTCTGAGCAAGAGCCTTAAGCTTTTCAATCACTTGTATGGGGCTCAAGTCCTTCGTCGCTTTGTTCCAGAAACTGCAACCAATCCATATAAACATGTCATCTCTGCTGTATCCATTGCAACATTGGAGACACATTTGATCGAGCTTCGAGTCTTACATTTCCTGATTAGCATAGACCGCTTCCAGCCAATCGGTAAAGCTTCGGTCACCCAACGCCTTGGTGATAGTGAAGGTAGCTTCAGCAGTAGCGAAGGCGTGTTGGTGGTATGGCAACGGGAACAGCACGAAGCGAACACGCACTTCATCCGTCTCATAATGTGCTGCCAACTTCTTCAGTCCAGGGTACGCTGATTTACTGTCCGGACATAACTGTTGCAAACATTTATGACGTACAATAAAAAATACGCGTAAACTACAGAAGGCGTAATATACAGTACATGCATCCATCTATCTATGTACCAAATCAATATATGACTCGAGCTGGATACCTGCATCAGCGCTGCCGCCACCCAGAGTAAACCCAGGCGGACGACGTGGAATGCGCTGAGCGCAAACAAGGCTAAACAGAGCTGTAGATAGCAGTATGAAGCGTGCTAAAAGTGTCGAGTGTGCTATCTTTGCTTTCGAGATCATTTTAGATCTTAAATGAACCCTGAATGAATGGTAATTGAAAGATTACCGGTATCTATCGATAAAATTTGCCTGATCTTAGCTTATGTATTGCCGTTTTGCACGAGGTAAGATACCGAGGCTATACATCCTCCAGTTCTGCATACCTTTCTGATTCGATATTATATTATAAAAGCACGCCTCAAGTTCATTGTTTTTCTCAAATCGTTTTTGCTGCTCCTCAATTTATATTATCATTGGAGACTTTTCCAAAATGTTCGAATGAATGTCAATAAACACGCTGCAATCGGCAGTCTTCTCACAGGCGGTGGGTTAACTGCCGTACAAACTATTCTATCTCGACAACTAAGGCCTCCAAGTTCCTTAGCACTGTCTCTAGGTAGTTTTGTAGGTGTATTTAGGTTATTGGAAGGAACGGGTCGCCATCTTTCGACTAATAATGGACGGTGTTCGCTAAATGCGTCTCAAGCGGCGGCAGTGGCATCGGCAGTGGCGTCTCTTATACTCGAAGATGAGCGAAAGACTGTAATAGTATCATATGCAGTAGTTGAGGCAGTGCTAATTATCGTAAAGAAATGTACCTTGCTTGGAGACGCCAAGTACATTGGTAGGAGCGTCTTATCACACTCGGCATTTTTTGACGATTCGAGCCAAGACACTAATGGTTTGACACATGTTACTTGTATGGACAGGTATTCCGTTTGGAGCATTGGCAACAGGACCATTGATTGATTCATGGATTTACCAGAGCGATGCCATCACCAAGTCTCAACTGGCTGCGCTCGACAGTTTTTGTCAATTACCTTTGGGCGTTTTGCGTCGTATGCGAGACGAGATGCCGTCAGGGAAACTGGTCTCGAGGTGCGATGTATTCCACCGTAGTGAAACATGTATGCAATTTCATAGTGACTACTTTGTCAAAGGCATGAAATTCGCGATTCGACTCTACGTGGCCATATACGCCGTGTCGGTGCTTGGCTCCAAGTACAAATGCTGGATCTGGGGACCGCGACCGATGCTCGCACCGCTTGTGGTACGCTATCTACGCACCTGCTTGTGTCTTACCATGCTCTACCAAATTTCGCTGGGTGTTTCGTGTCTATCACCGAGCAACCGACATCGCGCAATCGTCAGAATGGCGGGTGCGCTCACTACACTGGCATTTCTTGCTGAGCATAAGCACCGGCGTGGCAGCGTCATGAAGGCGGTGGGTGTATACACTACGGGCACTGTGGCTGCTCAAATTGTGGCAACGCTCGGGTTGCCGCTCCAAAGTGTAAAGCTAGGCCAGTTTATACTGTTGTCTGCCGCCATGTCCGTGATCTTTAAGTACACGACGCCTGACTCGTCTCGTATGTCCCGCATGCTCTACGGGTACAGTAACGAGCCTGTTTTTTCGGGTGACGACGAGCCACGAAGCGATGAGCTAGAACCAAATGATCGTTATGAGCTAACAAGCTCGACGAACACGTCAAAGACGCGATAGAGGGGCGGACCGAGCCACCACAACTCCGTTTCCATCGTGCGAAGCCAACAAGTGCACAAAGCTCTAACCCCCTTTCTTTTTTCTGTGCACATTCCAACACACAGCGCACAACACCGCGTTAATTCATTCACTGCGCGAGCCAGTCATTGAGATGGAGGGCGATTGCTTTGTCAAACACAATTGCAAACTATTCCTGAGCTCCCGTATCGAAGGTGACTTCATTGGTATAGCAAAACGAAATATAGGTGCCCAGGTCTTAACGGCGTTGGTGCAACCAGTCGAAGGCAGGTCTTAATTGTAATCGGGTTGCACCGAGGCGCATAGCCGCGAATCTGTAAGGCAGGAGTTCTGCGACGTAAGGTATTACCTGCATCGAAAGCTAATTTCCGAGCAACACGGCGACAAACTCGCATTGTTTGACGTGCATCCGCCAATTGGTTGATGTATAAGATAGCGGAGCTAGAAAGATCAACTACGCACCAAATAAGCAATGTACACTCCATAGCAACCTGAACAAAGTGCGTCGTAGTAACCCGAACACGTGTTAACGAGCGACGATAGAGATGCCATGTTCATTCGGGTAAGATCAAAGAAATCCCACCTAACGCTACTCTCCTCTTCCGACTAATTTGAAGCTCGGTCTGGACCGTAGCCAACCAAGCTTCAAATCCTCGATTTCATCTATACACTCACTGCTCTATTAAAAATTAATGTATGACGACATACTGATGCGCAATGTTTTTGCTTGCACCTATGCTTTGCAGACAGGACATTGATGCTGCAAGGCCAGGCCAATGGCTGAGACGTAATCGGGGTGTCGTATTGTTGCATTTGATTGTCGGCGCCTGACTCCTCTGGCATTCTCCAGCCGGTGCGATGGTGCCCAGTGTTGACATTTACATACACAGCAGCTCCTCAACCGCAACAAGTAGTAGCGTCACTAGCCCCGCCATGAGCTCCGCTGAATTAGCGGGTATGGTACTCTGGGAGAAAGAGGGCGCGTTAAAATCCATCATGTTTCCATATGTGCGTAATCATGCAAACGCAATGATGGCTCGGATCCGACAGGAAGACCCGCGTGCCCACTACGTAGCACTTCAGGAGGTGAACGAAGTGTGCCTGTACAAACGCATTAATCAAAATCAAGAGATACTGGTGCCTTCTGCTGCGCCTCCAGTGGCGGCATCGCTGTCGTCGTCCTTTTCATCCATGGCGCCGTTTTCTCGGCGTGATGTCAGTATCACGCGCGACCAAATGGATAGCACGCACTGTAAACCTGAAGAGTTTGAGTTTCGAGGTATTACACACGTCCCTGGTACCGTCGACACGGTGATAGATTTCTTAGCTAGTGAGTCGGCACGAGAGAATTACTGGGTGGCGCTCAACACACTTCGAGACGTCAAGGCCGCAGCCTTATTGTCCAGTGCGCGACTGCAGCCACAGTCGCTATCAGCATCGTCTGTCACGTCTAATACCGAGATAGACATCACGGCGTTCCCGCGTTGGAGTCGTAAATACATGGCCGCCCAATTTTCTAAACACAACACACATGTGCTGGACTGCTGCTATGCAGAATATGCGACTTGTTGTATCGAGACCAACAACAGAGGCCACTCCCGACTACGTGGATTCGTCTACCGTCGCTCCGTATCGGAACGTGCATTGAGTAGCACGTCCAGTGTGTCATCCGAGCCCCTGGCCAAGGCCCGCGTACAAGGAGCCGCCAGGTTCTACATCCGCGACTGGCTCTTTGACGTCGTGGAGACGCAAGAACCTCTTGTCTGCAAGTTGGTCTTGACCTGTACAATGCTCATCCCACAAACAATGGGGCGAGGCGGATTCATGTTCAGGTCAGCCTTTCGGGAATTCTGCACTGAATTGATGGTGGGCACGCGTCGAGCACTGACCCATCAATGGAAGGACCATGCTGCTCATGCTGGCGTTCGCTCTTCTTCGGCATGGAGACGAGAGACGCGTTGCTGCTCAGTTTGCTCGGCACAGTTCTCGCTGTTACGCAAGCGCTACATTTGTCGCTCGTGCGGGTCTGGAATGTGCTCAAAATGCTGCCTGAAGACTACCCCTGCTCCCGACCGCTTGCGTAGCGAATTCAGCAGCTCTGTGGTATCTGGGGCTAAAATGCAGCAGCGTGGAAGCGACAATCGAGAGTGCCTGCTATGTGCAAAGTTTGGATTAAACAGCGAGCTCAACATATCCTGCGCACGACAAACAAGTAGTAAAGGCCGCCACCTCTCAACCTCTATATCCTCCATGTCCGCGTCGATTTCTCGAGGTTTCGCAGTTTCGTCGCGTGGGGTAGGAGCAATTCTTGACTTGGAGCAAGAAGAAGTCGACCAAGCACACCCGGATCTAGAGCTGCGCTCTACCACATCCATTTCAGGCTCAAGGGGTCAACGCAGTCAACAAAGTATTGGAAGTATTAGCAGCCAGCGCAGCATCAGCGGACCGGATGACGATGATGAGGAGTCGGACGAAGATGCCAGACCATGTTGCTCGCGTGTTGACCTACGAGCTGCAAACTCCAAGCTGCGGGCCAAGTCTGCAGAATCGAGTCGCAGCTCACATAGTGCCCCAAGTATTGTCCTCCTATCGGATCTGGATGCCCTCACGCTTTCAGGTAGTTTCCATCGTACAGCTAGCGTGTCGGCACGTTCGTCGGCTAGTTTTGCTGCAAGCTTGTCGACACGATCCCCAGCCAATGGAAGGAAGCCTGCCAAGTCGGCGGCACCTACTCTTACAGCTCCACGTGCGCAGCAATCGCTGCAACGCCAGGATCGCGCAGTTTCTGCAGATGATTTTCTTCTGACAGCAGCTAAGCCTCGCGTCGGCACGAGAGAAGGATCTCAGGAGAGTAGCGCTAGTACTGAAGAAGACGAAGAAGTGTACTCGGAGGACGATCTGGCAAACTTTACCCTCAAGCTGCTACCTACTACGCAGTAAGACAGTCTTTCTAGTTTACGTCGCCAATTGTTTTATTTAGTGCAAGGCTTCACCGAGCAAGTCTAAAACAGAATAACAAGCAAACAAAAGCTTGTCCGACGCAGTTGCATCTTTTGTACACCAGCACTACTTGCATGGTATGAAGCTTGTATGTTTTCATTTTAACTGTAACTACGCAAGCTTACGAACGAAGTTGACCAAGAAATGCTTCGACAAATGAATGATACGTTGTTGTGGCATTTTAAGTACAAAAGAGAAAAGCATTGGTGTTCCTCAACACCTCTATTGCTGATAATGCATTTTGAATGGTACTTTAGATAGGTTTTCTCTAAAACAACGTCGTGCTAGCCGAGTTTTAGCTACTGCTATGCGCTCACTATTGAGTGCGTTACTGCTTGTTCTTGACCTTCCATTGCAAGACCAACGTTATCACAACCAATGAGCAGAAGAAGTGACAGACTTAGACGGAGCTTAAAACGCGTATGATAAATATATCGAACAACACTCGTCTTCTGCTAATATTTCGAGACAGGATGTCGCAACGTGGTACGCTCGATTCCTACAAAGTCCAGCTCGCCGAAGGCTTGCTCATCATTATTGAGACAATAGACCCCCAGATTACGAAGCAACATTATCTATCTAGTGTTACTGATTACCTCAAGAGAAACTTGGAAAAAGCTGGCAGCTCAACTGAAATTGCAATGAGGTCATGATACTCAATGATTAGCTACTAGCTTAGAATTTACTTGCTGTGATGAGCTTTTCGCTTGATTTAATCTCATGACATCATGAGTCACCTTGATCCGACGAAGAGGTCCAAGCGATTGGCGACGGCTGCACCCGAAGGCCTGGGTAATCGACGCCGTCTATGTCTGCAATGAGGTTTTGCAAAGCAACGGCTGTAGCACGTCGTCCCTTTCCCTGGTGGGCAACTGCGTGGATAGCACGCTTGTCAGATCGCGCAGTGCATCAAGGACAGATTGACACATAACGGCGCGAACGCATGCAACATCATCGATGTCATACATTGGCCGTTCCTCACACAAGACTCTGCAGCCGTCAGCACACAAGCTACAGGCTCAGTGGATCAGTGTGTCCAACGTTTGCCCAGATTACACCTGCTGCCCTACCGGGCAGACAACACGTCGGTATACAGCAGTACGTCACGTGTGGTGGTCCACTGAAGTGCCATTGTGTGTAAGCTATGCACGGTCGAAGTAATTGCTATTCACGAAATTTTACTGACACACACCCCACAGTACGCACGTGCTTTTTTGCTTGTCACGTTAGAAGGCAACGTGATATAATCTCGTATGGATGGATTAGCGTTTCCATGAAGGCATGTAGAGCACACCATTATAACACGACGCCGTCCGCGGACAACAAAGTTTGGCCGATTAACAAAGGCGCAGTCAAATGCATGATGATGCAAGTCTTTGGAGCCAGTATTAATGCCGTTGTATCGTAGTGAAAGCACATCCGACTTCATAGTTCTTTGCACCCAAGTAAACGTATGATTGACTCGTTTATATTCCTTCTCCCTTACGTGTCTCGTATTTTGTGTACAAATCGCTCGTGTTAGTTATCTCGTTTTGCAGTAAATTGAGCGCTCGCGACATCCTGTTGCTAGAAGAGGACCTTACATGCAGGGACACCAGTCCTAACGAAACCAAAGTGCTTTTGTAGCCAGGTTCGTTTTCAGTCCCAAAGGATAAAAGAGAAATTGCGACAAATTCGATATAAGAAAGAGAATGGTCCATCCAATTGCTAAGATCTAGAAACAAATCTCTATAGTCCATTAAACATTGGCACATCGTGCATTGGTTGTATCCATGTAGAATTGATTTCTCTGCTGTATGGGTTTACCTATCATCACCTTTTTTCTGTCTTATATTTTATGAGCAGGCATAATGATGTATATGGTTCAGTTCATATGTAAGATGAAAGGATGTTGTCTTACGTAATCACGACAAGTCTATTGTCCTTGTTGTCCACTACAGACTGATTAAAAGCTTATGCAAGTAGCATTGCTTCCATAGTGTAGCCGGTAACATACTGCTTTAGATACTAGTAGCTAGTAATTGATGAAGAGGTTGATAAGTAGATAAAGCGTTCCTGACCAATACCGGATATAAAAAATGAATGACAAGCGTTTTCAAGATAGCTTGGATATTATTCTGCTCTTTGACGACGTTTCTCATTGCCACAGTTTTGTTAATATTGAGAACAAATCCTCGCAAGTTCAAAGTATCGTTAGACAGCTCGGCTTTCCGGATCTTGACTTGCAAGGCGCATCGGATTGCCAAAGCTGCTTTCTGCCAAACCAAAAGTTGAGCCATTCGTACGTCGCTCGACCATGATGATAACCGTCAGTCGGTTATTGAGAGGAATGAAATGCGGCCGGTTGGAATTGCTTGGGTGGTTGGCAGTTTCTGATGGCAATATTCCAAGTCAGGTAGTCGAAAGGACCACCAAGATGCTCGAACAAACGAACATTCTTTGTAAGTTTGGGTCGTTCCAAGCAAAAATCCATCTTGATCACCGCGCACTTTTTAGAGGGCATCAATGCAGCCATACAAGTTGCAACCGACTGACGTGATGATGGTCGGTCATTGAGAGAGCCCGGATTTTATTTTATCGTAGCGCGATCGCGATAAAAGAACTCGTCACTAGTCACAACCAGTCGCCCGGTAGATGTAGAGAAACAGTTGACTCAAGTGCAACGTCTCGACTGCACGCACATTCAAGGACAAGTGACACGTGTGGCAGTGGGGGGGATAGACGGACGCGTTTTACCCAGCAAATTATTGGTCCACTACGCGCTAAACGACGCAGTTTCGGTCCAGAAAGCAAACAGCATCGCAACAACAACTGTCCAGAAATGACCACGTGCGTCCTTACAATTCGTAATACGAGGGCTTTCGAGGTCCCGTGAATATCGATTTTTTGTGTTACGCTGCAACGTAATGGGCAGCGATCAGACGAAGATTTTTAGTAAGGGTCGGAACGTGATTTGCACACTACTTTAATCAAATGAACGATTTGCACCGACGATTCACGCTGACTTCACTCTCCATTTTCATTTAATCTGCGCGGAAGAAACCGGTACATTTAATATACCTTATCTCACCCATATTAACAAGCTTAATAAACGCTCGGGTACTTTCCAACACCTTTAAATTGCTTGTAATATGGACCGCTTTCGACTGGATGGCGTGGATCAGAATGGTGTAGATACGGTCGAGCCCATGCGCCCGAGTTCCTTTGACATGTCCTTCTCGCTAGGTAGCTACCCTCGTGCGCAGGGGTTAAACAGGGACAGTGATTTGCACCCAAACATTAACCAAGATGAGAACAACGATGTAAGCAACGAGAACACTAATATCGACAGTGGAAGGAGACCGAATAGAGGACAAAAGGGAAGACTACACGTGGATGAACTTATGGACAGCTCCCGTTCGCAACAGATTGACGACAGCGGTCTGGGGTCGTGTATGAACCAGAAGAGACACAATACAACAGGCTCACCCATGTCCTCGTCGGTGCATATGGACGTTGCTAATATTGCCTCGCGGCTGGAAGAGAAGGCCCATGAGGCCATCGATGTCGCCAATTTGTGCGGCAAAGTGGCGTGGAAGCTGAACAAACGTACACAAGACGTACACATCTACAGACCAGCGACCCTTCCGTCGGAGGAGGATGCCTCTGTGAAACTTTATTTCCGGGTGTCGTGTGAGGTCAAGGCGCATCTTGGGACAATTATGGAATACCTGGCACCAAGCAACTCGAAAGGCTACTTTGATATCGAGTCACAGGTTTTCCCAGGACTGCTGCACGCCGCAGTTATCAAGCGCATGGAGTTGCCAGAACGTGCACCATTGTCCGGGCAGACACCACAAATCTCGTCTAGCACTTCGGCGACTACGACTACGAGTGCTTGTCATGACGACACGTCCAGTGTGGGCGAAGACTCGAGTGAATCGTTCCCGCACTTGCAAGTCAAGTGGCACGCCAGTCGCTTTGCTGGGCGATTTGTCAAGCCAGTGGATTTCTTCTTTGTCGAGTACGCAAATATTGAAACTATGGCCGACGGCAGGAAACGCGGATACGGCTACATTCGGTCGGTGGAGTCATTCAAAGGCGATGAGCTGGTGATTCGACTTGCTGGTGAAGACGTAGCCATCCCTTCCAGTGTTGCAAAGTGCAAGCGCGCTGTAATCAACAAAGGTGTCTACCTAGTTTCGCCCTCGGCTGATGCCTCAGGCACGTATGAAGTGACCTGCATGATGGTGATTGATTTTCAAAAGCAGTTTGCAAGCTCTGTGGGGGCCAAGATAATCCAAAATTTCACGGAGCGACTCATTGGTATTCGCGAGCTACTTTTCAACACGCTCTTCTGCCCGATTGCGGTGCTGCCGAAAACTCAATGGAAACCTGCACGCAGCAATAAGTGTGCAATTTGTATGTGCTCCTTCTCTCTTGTGAAATCCAAGCACCACTGCCGAGCTTGCGGCGAAGCTGTTTGCGGACAGTGCAGCCGAAAATGGACTTTGCAACCTGGAGCTCAAGCTGAGACCCAGGCTCGACTATGCACGAGCTGCTCGTTACAGGCAAGGAGTTACTTCATGTCAAACGGGGAATCCAGCCGATCACCAGCAGGGACTTCCTTGCGTTTTTCGTCAGTTATTAATGATTTCTCTGCAAGTTTGCCCGCTGGGAGTCGCTCTAACGTGCTTCGCATAGCTACGGTCGACAAGTGTAACGTACAAGTTGCAAGCTCTGTATCAAACGAACTAGATACTTGTACAGCCGTCACATCAGCGTTTGCAAAACTCGTAAGCGCATTGGGTGACCAGAAGCCTCATTTTATGTTAGTGTCGTATTCGTGCCACCACAGTGGTGTTGCAGTCTATGAAGCGCTCACTCAGGCTGCTCCAGATACTCTTTTTATGGGCAGCACATCCAGCGGTGGCGTATATGTAGGCGCTTCCTTAACACCGTCGGGCTTGAACAAGCGGGATAACAGCAGTAGTGACTCGCGGAACCGACAGCACAGCAACACAGAGGCTAACGAAAACGTGGGTCTGTGGGGGAATATATGACCCGGAAGGGTCTTATGCAATCTTGAATGCCGATTTGGATCGTGAGAGTCCACGTGACGCAGCGAGAAGATGCCTTCTGGACGGCATGGAAATGCTTGCAATGGAACCTGACGAGAGCCCAGATTTTGTATGGACTGTACTGGGAGGTGGAGATGCTACTTGCAATGTTGATGGGCAACGGGATGGAGAAGAAGAGCAAGTAACTCGGGCAGTGAATGAAATTGTGGATTGCTCCTACTCGGTAGTTGGTGGCAGCTCGTCCCGATGCAACAGCAGCCGCGGACATGCTACTCAGTTGTGCTCGGAAGGAGGCAACGTAGGGTGCGTGACGAAGCACGGCGCGTGTTTTGCAATTTGCTGTCCCAGTGTCGAGGTTGCGCACGCATTGTTCACGTGCTACGATGCAACAGATAGGACCTTTGTTGTGACAAAGGCAAGTGGCCGCAACCTGTGTGCTCTCGACCACAAACCTGCATTGGAAGCTATTAACGAGGCGACACACGGCATGTTGACCGAGATGACACAGCGACCAGAGAAATATAACCTGGAATTGAGTTTGCTGCCTGCTTATTATCCTCTTGCACGCGAGCGACGTGGCGCAATACCCCGTGGCCTCAAGCGAAACAGTTCACGCTATCAGATGCTACAACCGGAAACGTCCGCGAGCGATTTGTCGCTGCATTTGGGCGCAGATGTCCGCGTTGGGGAGCGACTGCATATGATGGCTCTTTCACCGCAAGGCGTAGCTTCAAGAGCACGTCGCGGGCTACGTGACGCTGTTCGAATATCAATCCCAACAATGGATCTCCAGGACGTTATAGGGTGTTTCCTGAGCGTCGGCACGAGCTATGACCGTGTGATGCAGGGTGATTTGAAAGCAGTAGCTGACGCAGCGGGAAGTGCCTTTCCCCAAGGGTCTTCGCTATTATCAGTCTCTCATGGACAGCAAGGTGTCATGGTCGGCGGTAACGAGGCTGTTCACGCTAACAGCATGCTGACGGCTTTGATTGTCACCAACCGCAAGAAGTCACTGAAGTCAAACCTGCACCGATCGCTTAATGTTCGAAGGACGGCTACGTGAATGCCAGATCCTTTCACATTTTACCATACTTGCTAACCAATTTATAAACCCTAGAAGAATCTGCTCGTGCAACGATCGTCATCATAATGCAGGACCATATGTTTTAACGCTCCGTTTTACCATTTGGTAAGCACAGTATCTTGACTGGTACCAGTACTCTATAAGTCGGCAATGTCACCTTCATAGCGCGCAACGGAGCGGTCCGAGAAGCGTGGCTCTGCACGCACAATAAAGGCACCACGGTGTTCTGGGTTAGTGATGAATACACATCCAGGAACGCCCAAGACAGCGGCAGCTTCACGCATGGCGATGGCGACCTTGTTCTCTTGGCGCTCAGCCAGCTGCTGCGTGAAGATGTCGCCAGCGCGGCCACTAGTAATGGCCAGGACGGTGGGTCCAGCACCACTGAGGAAGCAGCCGTGGGCGCCAGCTCCCAGGGCGGCCTTGATGAGCGGTTCAAGGTGCGGGTACTGCGCAGCACCACGCTGAGGCTGGTGCAACATGTCCTGCGTGGCGAATCGAAGCTCATTGAGGTTCCCCGATCGGAATGCGTTCACGAAGATAGCAGCACGGCCAATATTGAACACGGCGTCCTTTCGAGGCACGTTGGGCGGCAAAATGGCGCGTGCCACGCTCGTGGGACCCGTCGAGTCAGGGATGAACACGACGCACTGCAGACCATCTGGCATTTGAACACGCGAGGAATACCAGCGATTGTCGGCAAAGATACCAAGCTGCAGGCCACCGTAGATTGCAGGTGCCACGTTGTCAGGGTGGCCTTCGATCTCAGAAGCCTAAAGCAAAGTTAACGCAATATAAAAGCAGAAAGCGTCACTAAAAAGCACGACAATATTTCTACGCTACTATCCGTTTTCTTACCAGTTGCAAAAGCTCTTCGTGTCCGTGAACTGGCAAGCGCATACCAGCTAAAGCAAGTCCAGCAATGAGTCCACCAACAATACCAGCGGAGCTGCTACCTAGTCCACGGGCGAATGGGATACGATTCTTGCAGTGCACCTTGATATAACGTGGTAGCTCCTCACCTGCAGCTTCAAATGCGGCCTTAATACCCACAATTACTAGGTTACTCTCATCCGTGGGCAGCTCTTTCGCGCCTTCCCCTTCATTCGTAAGCACCACGCGACTCGCGTTCGACGACAGGTCATCATAGTCCAGATGTTCCGCTACATCCACAGATATCTCTGTCCATATATCTAATGCCATTCCAATCGTATCAAATCCTGGGCCCATATTAGCTGTCGTAGCAGGCACACGCACCACTACCGACGTGAGTTTGTGGCGTTCCAGATCCGAAGGCACTGCTGCTGTCATCGCCTTTGCCATCGCTTTAGCACGACGCTTCGATGCCACACGTTTTTCATCCTTGTTACGAGAACCAATATAGTAAGCCAAAGCAGCACCGGCTGCCGTCACTGCTACTTGTGTGGCCATACGCTGAGTCGTCGCATTTGAGTTGCTACTTGTCATGATGGAACAAAATGCTTAGGTACATTGATGTGGCCAACATAGCAAAAAAATACCGTACATGATCGATAATGGCTCGGTACTAATTTTCAGTCGAGAACTGTTCACATATATAACCCGCTAATAATTAATATAATGTTGCTTCTCTTAGATTTTATCTAACAGCAGTCTGTAGCACTATCTTTTTGATCAAAACTATTCAAAATTATTCATTTTGATTCACTAAATTTAGTGTCGCCAAAAAAACACCCGCAAGCGTCGCCATCGACTTGAAGGTGCGTTTCCATCAAGCAAAAGAAATAACTCATTCTTTATTCAAGTATAAAGAAGCCAGTGAGACGCGGCGAACCGTTGAACGCAGTTTGATACTAGCTGTCCCCTCGTTTATACTGTATAGAGGATCTGTCGACTAAACATCATTTTTAGTACTCAACAGTAAAACCAATGGACAGCAGTGATGATGATTTAGTACCCATTGGAACATCGCTCTCATGTAGACGCAATGCTATACGTGGGATAAAACAGGAGACACCACGTATGGTCGACTCGGACTCGGACAATATGCCGCTCGTACAACTGAAAGAGAAAGCTTCCGGTAGTAAAAAGACGGTCAAGCACAAGGTCGAAACGAAGAAAACAATGACTATGAAAAAGGAGACGGGTATAAAGAGAAAAAAAATGATATCGTCGTCATCATCATCTTCCTCAGTGAAAAGCAGAAAATTAAAGGCTAATTCTTCCGTTTCAAACGGAAAAGCTAAAGTAAAGAGTGAAAAGGGATCAAATGCTCGCAAACTCAAAGTACACTCGAAAAGCGAGCGGCTGGATATGGCCATTAAAGCTTATCGTTGGTGGAATGCCGAGGAGCTACCCGAAGGTATTCAGTGGCGTACCCTTGAGCATAATGGTGTCATGTTCCCACCCCCCTACAAACCTCATCATGTACCATTAGTGTATAATGGAAAAGAGATTGCGCTGAATCCGAATCAAGAAGAAGTTGCTAGCTTTTATGCGGCTATTCCCAAGGACAGTCCGCAATTGGGCAATCCAAAGACAGCCCAGATCTTCAACAAGAATTTTTTTGCAGACTTTAGAAAGATATTAGGCAAAAAACATGAAATCAAGAGCTTTGACGCGTGTGACTTTTCTCGCATTGCTGCATACTTGGAAAAGCAGCGAGAGGAAAAGAGAAACATGACGAAGGAAGAAAAGCTACCGGATAAAGAAAAGCGTGAAACGGAGCTGTTTACCAATGGTTTTGCTTTTGTAGATGGTCATTTAGAAAAGGTAGGCAACTTCCGTATTGAGCCACCTGGTCTATTTCGCGGACGTGGCGAACATCCGAAGACTGGCACACTGAAGGAGCGCGTGATGCCAGAGGACGTGACAGTCAATGTAGGTATCTCAGATCGGGTTCCTGTTTGCAATGTGCCGGGTCACGCTTGGAAACAAGTGATTCACCGTGATACTGTTTCGTGGCTTGCCTACTGGAATGAAAACGTGATGAGCGGCATTAAGTACGTGTTCTTTGCAGCAAGCTCAAGTTTCAAGGGCAAGTCAGACTTGGCGAAGTATGATAAGGCTCGGCGATTAAAAAAGAGCATTGACAAAATTCGACGGGATTATACGAAAGGTTTACGCGCGAAGGATATGTTCACTAAGCAGCGTTCAACTGCTATGTGGGTAATTGATGTTCTTGCACTGCGTGTGGGAAATGAAAAGGGCGAGGACGAAGCCGATACAGTCGGTTGCTGTAGTCTTCGGGTGGAGCACATGTCCTTTAGAGACGAGAACTGTGCTCTCACTTTGTCGTTCCTCGGTAAAGATTCGATGCCGTACAACAACACTGTTGAACTAGCGCAATACGGTGACGTTGGCAAGCTTGTGTATCATAACTTACAGAAGTTTTGCGCCAAAAAGGGTAAAAATGAGGAAGTGTTCCACGAGCTATCGGTCACAGAGCTGAATAAGCACTTGGGATCACTGATGCCTGGGCTCAGTGCCAAGGTGTTTCGTACATTCAATGCGTCAGTGACGCTGGAGAAAGAGCTTCCTGGGCCGTCAGGAAAAGAGCTGGATTTACAGGGAAAAATGGAAGTCGCGCCGAAGGTTGTGCTTTACAATGACGCGAACCGAAAGGTAGCGATACTGTGTAATCACCAGCGCACAGCGCCGAAGTCGTTTGACACTACATTGGACAAGATGAACGCTCAGCTTGATCAGCTAAAAGACCAGCTGAAAGACCTTAAACGAATGCAAGCGCTGATTTCGAAGGGCAAGTCCAGCAGTATCAAGTTGAAGAGGGAAAAGACTGCATCCGACAGCAAAGAGGAAGATGCAATTGCTAAAAAGGCCCAGGCCCACCTTTTTCAACGGGTGCCGTCGGCTGACCAGGTTGCTAAGAAGATTGAAAACTGGAAGAAGAAAGTTAAGGCTTTGTCTCTCCGTCTTCAGGACAAGACGGACAACAAAGAAGTTGCGCTTGGCACGTCCAAGCTTAATTACATGGACCCGCGCATCACGGTCGCATGGTGCAAAAGGGTATGTCTTGTATGTGCTGACTGCATGTTGTGCTGACTGCATGTTGTGCTGAATGCGTAGCTAAATAGTGTGCTATTTTCTTGTCAAAATTATACAGAACGAAGTCCCGATATCGGCAGTGTTCTCCAAGACGCTACGGGAAAAGTTTGTGTGGGCTATGGACGTGGACCCTAACTGGAAGTTTTGATCTTAACAACGATGTAAAAGAGTGACAGGGTTGAAGTACCGTCTTTGTGGCTCTTTGTGCTCGGCTCAAGACGTGAATGAATTGTAAGCATTCATTTGAAAATTGTTTTGCAAGTTGAGCATAGTTTGGATTTACTCGCGCGACACTTTCTTCAAGTACTACTAGGTGATTAATACTAGAGTATTTTACGAAGATCCTCTCTTGTATCATTGTCTGTTTCGTAGCGAGACCAGCTAGGATTGCTGTGCACCCTCAGCGTCCTTTTGCTTCTGTTCCCACTCTTCGCAACACTTTTTAAGTTTCTCCATTAGCTCCGTGTGGCCTCGTCGCTCAGCAAAGTTCCACGCCTTGTTTCCACTATGGTCTTCAAGACACGGGTTTGCACCCAAGCTCAGCAGTTTGCTTGCAGCATCATCTCGGCCGTGGTGCGCAGCCGCCATCAATGCTGACGAGTAGTCAGACTCAATTCGCTGGAAATTTACGTCCATGCCATTCTGAATTAGACTGAAGACAGAGTGGAAATCTTCCTGGCGAAAAGCATGATAGATAGCTGCATCCATCACAGAGCCAAGAACCTGTACATTGCGGTCCTTCACCGAAAGCGATTTAGCACCAGTGCCATTTCCTGCTAATGCCTTACCGTCGTCGTTTCCACTGGACGATGGTCCTGCTGAAGTCACGCTAATCGGCTCACATTTATCCTTCTGTCCACACTTTGCACAGAACTCACAATGTGTGCATCGCTTTGAAACCATGCGCTTGCATTTTCGGCACCGCGAACGCTCCCCATACTCCATATTATGTCCATTTCCTCGTATTTTCTGTTCCAAAGATGCACTTAATGCAGCTTGGCTAACATTCGTGATCACACTTTCATCAGCAAGAATCATTGCTTCATCATCATCCGCATAATCCTCGAGGTCATCCTGGTTTTGACTGAAAAGGCCTCTATCTTTCTGCAAAAATGACTTTGATTGGTACTGCATCACATAGGCAGGTGCAATCCGTTGACTGGCCGTGCTTAGGCTGGACACAGCTGTAGTAGATGTGGTCCCAGCAGATATCCCTGTCGACTTCCATGATACCGAAGCACTGCTTGTTGCAGTTGTAGTAGACGTGGATGAAGGCATGAGAGAATGTGGTGTCAAAGTTTCGCTAGAAGACTTGCTATTGCGAAAGTTGGTACTATACGAGTGGCTATTGGTAACTCGTCGCGATTCACCAAGTCCATCCTTAACACTAGAGGGCAAACCACAAGAGCTTTCAAAGTGACGTCGGTAAATATTCAATCGACTCCATTCGGCTGCATACTCTGCGTATAAATAGCAGTCAAGCTAGGTCAGCTGTCGCAGCAGTTTAGAGCATTGAGTACGTAAACTTACCTGGCACAGCATTATCCAATAACTCAATGACCTTAGCAAATGTTCCTGTAAGATACGAGTTCTGCTTCCTCTGTGTATCTGTCTGTACGTTCACATCTAAAATCTGCAAGAACAAGACACAAGACCACCACCAACAACAAACGTCAATGTGTCCGTTGCCACACAACCAGTTTTCAGCCTCGTATCCTTTCTTCGCAATGAATAGCGCCCTCTCACCCGTAACAGCGCGCGCACTTGAGAGAACATCTCAATTCGCTTCTTCTCCGTAGATAGCCCTGCCTCACATCGAGTGACGCTGTCCACAAGCCACGCATCCAGTACTTTCAGCCCTCCCTCGTCGTAAAACCTACTTGCCGCAAACAAAGTATGAAGCCATGTGTAAGGTTGATTCAGTGCTTATAATCACAGATGCAAAGCCTCTCACACTTGAGCGTCGGCGTCGCTGAGCTGCGTAATTAGCAGCGCCAGAATTGCACGGTGCGCCAGGGTGTGGATGGACGGCATAAGCTTACACAGCACCTTTGTGCGCTCAGAGCCCACGACCTCACCCTCATCATTCATGATAAAACCTAATACGCTCACCACATTCATAGCAGCCGAGTCTTCCCAGATGCGCGTGCGCATGGTTTTGCTGTTATTCAAACTGTGACATTTTAAAGCCAATCAGTGCTATTTAAAGGCAAAATCATGGATACGTCGACACTGCGGGAGTTCGCCTTTAAGAAGCTGCAGGAGGCCAGAGAACGAGGTACGGAACTGGCGGCTGTCACGGCTGCTCGTGCAGCCTCTTCCATCTCCAGCTCCGTGCCAGTGTCATCGTCTTTTGTTTTTCGCTCACAGAGCTCTACGACTCAGCAGGAGCAGCTACCAGTACCTCTCGAACAAAAGCTGGCAACGCTTAGTAAGTAAGCAAGCGTAGTGGTGAATGCGTTGCAAACTAAAAAACTATCATTGATATTTGTAGAGGCGTCCAATGAAGCATTGCACGCGAAGCTGGCGGGCTCAAACGGCACGCTGGACGAGAGCATCTACAAATTGGACCTCATCAACGAATCGCTGGCATTTACTATTGAGAACATCCAGGAAGGCTCTCATGTAATGAAGCTGCTGAATCGCCAGCTCAAAGACAGCGTTGCTATGCAGAATCCAGCGCATAAGACGTTTTACCAGCGCCGCTTAGTATAATTAAAACGTAATGCTTATCATGCACTTCGAAATTAGTACGTCACCAGCATAAGTGCTATTGCAAAAACCTTTGCAGCATCATGTTCCGACATTCTGTGTTCTGGCAAGCATTTTCAAAAGAAGATGGTAAACATAGCTGACACGTGCAACATTGTCTTTATATTTCAGCTTCCAATGACCCTGGGGCGTTCATTATCACCAAGGGCATTAGTCAAAGAAGTGGCAACCTGAACCGACGTAAAAGGCCAAAGCTATCAACACGTGACGTGGCATCATTCCGTACGAAGAAATGCTGTCGATCCGAAAATAGTGCGCAAGAGATTGATGTGAGGATTACACTCATATTCCGGTGACCACATATTGCAAAATTTATACGGATTCAACTACAGAATTCGGATTGAAGTTCGCGAATCAGAGGGCTACTAGTGCCCGTACATACTAAAATTAGGGAATAGCATGACTCACTACCTCTTTGTCAGTGGGTCAATTTCGATTCCGAAAGGTAATCTAGCGGAAAGGGCAAAAGCCGTTGCGTTAAAATCAATCTGAAATATACGTCTGTACATGCTGGAAACTAACGAAGCTCAAGTTGCAGCGCGTGCACGAGCAAAAGGTTGTAGCTTCATATTTGTATTAGGAATGCGTGGTCTACATAACAATTGCTGCGTAGAGCAGATATAGTTACCATACTTGCTCTCTTGACGCTTGTAGACTGTGTTCTTTGCAAGAACTTTCTCCGAAAGGGCGTGGGTTCGAATCCCACATTGGCCAATTCCTTCTTTCATCTGTCGATAGCTCGTTCATATCCGCTTATGCGCGAGAACAAGTACGTGTTCCAATGATTTTGCATGGTGAGACGGACTGTTGTGGTAGACTGTTATGACGCACTGTTGTGTCTGCCAGACCGCTCGTTGTACCAAGTGTTGATGATTGATTCTCTTCGCACGGGTTCAAGTCCGGCAACGGAACCTTCTTTGATGTCAACCTTTGTCAGCTTCACGTCACTGGAACTTTGAGAGCAACTCCACAACTGTGATGTACTGTAATATGCACTTCAACCAGTCGAGGCAATAGATTGTAACCGTGACCAGCAACGCGACTTTAGCTCACCAACTCGCTCGATCGCAACGAGTTGAGAAAATGGAGGTCAATACGCTATCGTCACGTCCGAGCAATCGCTTATGTGCGTTGGCCTCCGACAATGCTTCAATGTTTGTTATGTGAGAGCTTTATCGCGGTCAGTGATCTTTGATTACAGCATCGGGACGTTTCTGTGATGTCGCGAGCACTGGCAATAATAGTCCGTCAATCAGCCCGACTTCTGTCACCGCAAGCAGAAAAAAATGATAGCAGAGGCAAATTGACAAGACGGGTAGCTGTGTGTGCGTACTGTTTGTGTATGTTGATCGTATATTTGATATTGTGGTGTGGTCTGATTTGTGTTGCGCTTTGTATGTAGGTGGGGGGTTGTGATCATGTGTGGTGGTCAATTGGCCGAGCGGTCTAAGGCGCCAGTTTTAGGCACTGGTCCGAAAGGGCGTGGGTTCGAATCCCACATTGGCCAATTCCTTCTTTCATCTGTCGATGGCTCGTTCATATCCGCTTATGCGCGAGAACAAGTACGTGTTCCAATGATTTTGCATGGTGAGACGGACTGTTGTGGTAGACTGTTATGACGCACTGTTGTGTCTGCCAGACCGCTCGTTGTACCAAGTGTTGATGATTGATTCTCTTCGCACGGGTCCAAGTCCGGCAACGAAACCTTCTTTGATGTCAACCTTTGTCAGCTTCACGTCACTGGAACTTTGAGAGCAACTCCACAACTGTGATGTACTGTAATATGCACTTCAACCCAGTCGAGGCAATAGATTGTAACCGTGACCAGAAACGCGACTTTAGCTCACCAACTCGCTCGATCGCAACGAGTTGAGAAAATGGAGGTCAATACGCTATCGTCACGTCCGAGCAATCGCTTATGTGCGTTGGCCTCCGACAATGCTTCAATGTTTGTTATGTGAGAGCTTTATCGCGGTCAGTGATCTTTGATTACAGCATCGGGACGTTTCTGTGATGTCGCGAGCACTGGCAATAATAGTCCGTCAATCAGCCCGACTTCTGTCACCGCAAGCAGAAACAAAAATGATAGCAGAGGCAAATTGTCAAGACGGGTAGCTGTGTGTGCGTACTGTTTGTGTATGTTGATCGTATATTTGATATTGTGGTGTGGTCTGATTTGTGTTGCGCTTTGTATGTAGGTGGGGGTTGTGATCATGTGTGGTGGTCAATTGGCCGAGCGGTCTAAGGCGCCAGTTTTAGGCACTGGTCCGAAAGGGCGTGGGTTCGAATCCCACATTGGCCAATTCCTTCTTTCATCTGTCGATGGCTCGTTCATATCCGCTTATGCGCGAGAACAAGTACGTGTTCCAATGATTTTGCATGGTGAGACGGACTGTTGTGGTAGACTGTTATGACGCACTGTTGTGTCTGCCAGACCGCTCGTTGTACCAAGTGTTGATGATTGATTCTCTTCGCACGGGTCCAAGTCCGGCAACGGAACCTTCTTTGATGTCAACCTTTGTCAGCTTCACGTCACTGGAACTTTGAGAGCAACTCCACAACTGTGATGTACTGTAATATGCACTTCAACCCAGTCGAGGCAATAGATTGTAACCGTGACCAGCAACGCGACTTTAGCTCACCAACTCGCTCGATCGCAACGAGTTGAGAAAATGGAGGTCAATACGCTATCGTCACGTCCGAGCAATCGCTTATGTGCGTTGGCCTCCGACAATGCTTCAATGTTTGTTATGTGAGAGCTTTATCGCGGTCAGTGATCTTTGATTACAGCATCGGGACGTTTCTGTGATGTCGCGAGCACTGGCAATAATAGTCCGTCAATCAGCCCGACTTCTGTCACCGCAAGCAGAAAAAAATGATAGCAGAGGCAAATTGTCAAGACGGGTAGCTGTGTGTGCGTACTGTTTGTGTATGTTGATCGTATATTTGATATTGTGGTGTGGTCTGATTTGTGTTGCGTTTTGCGTGTAGGTGGGGGTTGTGATCATGTGTGGTGGTCAATTGGCCGAGCGGTCTAAGGCGCCAGTTTTAGGCACTGGTCCGAAAGGGCGTGGGTTCGAATCCCACATTGGCCAATTCCTTCTTTCATCTGTCGATGGCTCGTTCATATCCGCTTATGCGCGAGAACAAGTACGTGTTCCAATGATTTTGCATGGTGAGACGGACTGTTGTGGTAGACTGTTATGACGCACTGTTGTGTCTGCCAGACCGCTCGTTGTACCAAGTGTTGATGATTGATTCTCTTCGCACGGGTCCAAGTCCAGCAACGAAAACTTCTTTGATGTCAACCTTTGTCAGCTTCACGTCACTGGAACTTTGAGAGCAACTCCACAACTGTGATGTACTGTAATATGCACTTCAACTAGTCCAGTCGAGGCAATAGATTGTAACCGTGACCAGAAACGCGATTTTAGCTCACCAACTCGCTCGATCGCAACGAGTTGAGAAAATGGAGGTCAATACGCTATCGTCACGTCCGAGCAATCGCTTATGTGCGTTGGCCTCCGACAATGCTTCAATGTTTGTTATGTGAGAGCTTTATCGCGGTCAGTGATCTTTGATTACAGCATCGGGACGTTTCTGTGATGTCGCGAGCACTGGCAATAATAGTCCGTCAATCAGCCCGACTTCTGTCACCGCAAGCAGAAAAAAATGATAGCAGAGGCAAATTGACAAGACGGGTAGCTGTGTGTGCGTACTGTTTGTGTATGTTGATCGTATATTTGATATTGTGGTGTGGTCTGATTTGTGTTGCGTTTTGCATGTAGGTGGGGGGTTGTGATCATGTGTGGTGGTCAATTGGCCGAGCGGTCTAAGGCGCCAGTTTTAGGCACTGGTCCGAAAGGGCGTGGGTTCGAATCCCACATTGGCCAATTCCTTCTTTCATCTGTCGATGGCTCGTTCATATCCGCTTATGCGCGAGAACAAGTACGTGTTCCAATGATTTTGCATGGTGAGACGGACTGTTGTGGTAGACTGTTATGACGCACTGTTGTGTCTGCCAGACCGCTCGTTGTACCAAGTGTTGATGATTGATTCTCTTCGCACGGGTTCAAGTCCGGCAACGGAACCTTCTTTGATGTCAACCTTTGTCAGCTTCACGTCACTGGAACTTTGAGAGCAACTCCACAACTGTGATGTACTGTAATATGCACTTCAACCAGTCGAGGCAATAGATTGTAACCGTGACCAGCAACGCGACTTTAGCTCACCAACTCGCTCGATCGCAACGAGTTGAGAAAATGGAGGTCAATACGCTATCGTCACGTCCGAGCAATCGCTTATGTGCGTTGGCCTCCGACAATGCTTCAATGTTTGTTATGTGAGAGCTTTATCGCGGTCAGTGATCTTTGATTACAGCATCGGGACGTTTCTGTGATGTCGCGAGCACTGGCAATAATAGTCCGTCAATCAGCCCGACTTCTGTCACCGCAAGCAGAAACAAAATGATAGCAGAGGCAAATTGACAAGACGGGTAGCTGTGTGTGCGTACTGTTTGTGTATGTTGATCGTATATTTGATATTGTGGTGTGGTCTGATTTGTGTTGCGTTTTGTATGTAGGTGGGGGGTTGTGATCATGTGTGGTGGTCAATTGGCCGAGCGGTCTAAGGCGCCAGTTTTAGGCACTGGTCCGAAAGGGCGTGGGTTCGAATCCCACATTGGCCAATTCCTTCTTTCATCTGTCGATAGCTCGTTCATATCCGCTTATGCGCGAGAACAAGTACGTGTTCCAATGATTTTGCATGGTGAGACGGACTGTTGTGGTAGACTGTTATGACGCACTGTTGTGTCTGCCAGACCGCTCGTTGTACCAAGTGTTGATGATTGATTCTCTTCGCACGGGTCCAAGTCCGGCAACGGAACCTTCTTTGATGTCAACCTTTGTCAGCTTCACGTCACTGGAACTTTGAGAGCAACTCCA